AAAAGTACAAAATGTGAACTGTAGTGGAGTAATAAGTATTTTAATGCGCTACTCGAGTAAGTATACTCTATTGCACTTCTGCACAGCATTATCTTAAATTAAGCAGAAGTAATGGCTCCTACAAGAACAATATTACAAAAGTAAAGTAGCAGCTGAGTACCGTTTATTATCACCTTTACCGATGTAAAATATATAAATACTTCTTTCATGGCTTTATATTTAATAATCAAACTAATAGCGCAAGGCACAAATTTATTAGGAGTGCATATTTATAACAAAAAAAGTTGATTACTGACCGGGCTCCGGATTGCTCAGCAGAAGGGTGGAGTTGAAAAATGCTATTGCATTGTGGGAAATTGAGGAATAAGGGGCGCTTTCTTACCTAACGGGATAACGTTAAACTACAATTGTAATAAGTAAATTAATCTATTAAAATACATTATACTCGGGCAAATACTCGCGTATTTAAGCACACAGATGTTGTGCTTTGTTTGAACTCACGCATTCTAAAAAAAGTTGATTTAAATAAAGAGATTCTCTCATTGGATTTTAGCTGAAACGGCAATTCGGATTTCCGCCACTAGATGGAGCCACTCTCACTATAATTCGGTGTCCAGGTTGTCTTCCTCAATCATTCCCCTCACTGCAATCCATGTTTAGGTCATTTTAAAGAAGTTTGTCACAGATTTTGTTTCTTTTGCATGACATCTTAAAACGTTTTTTCGACTCCTTTATTACCATCTCGAAAGGAATTAGGTTTTTTCATACAGACAAAACACAAGTCAGATCAGGAATCAGGATCAGGAATCAGGAAACATTTATTACCAAAATATGCCAAACATACAAGGAATTTGTCTTGGCGGTTGGTGCGCGACAGTAGACAGACAAGACAACAGTGCACAAGTAATAATATAAAGTAAAATGAAATGCTAATGCAATGGGTTAGTAGAATAGTTAGTAGATGAACACTGAGGATAATGCGCAACGACAATCAATAGTCATAATAGGCATAATGACAATATAACAATATTTAAAAGAGAACTAAAGTAGATATTTTCTAGACAATACGCAAAAAGGACCAGATCCAGCCCAATCCTACGAGTGGAAGATCATGTCCAACCCCATGAAGATACATTTATGTGAGTTGATTATACGAATTACTCAAAGATGTCTCACACATTTTTCGACCACAACATTCTTTTGACTTTTTATTCCATGACAATTTTGTCCCTAACATATTTTCCTCTTTTTTTTCGAAACATTTTCGACCAGTTTTTTGAAAAGTTTTTGACCATATATATTTATTAACTTTTTTAAAAACCTTTTTTCTACCTAATATTTTTCCTCGACTTATTCCCCATGACGTGTCTTTCCCTTACGTATTCAACCTTTTATTCTAAATGTCTTTTTTCCACTTTTTTTTCATGACATAACCTATTTTGACTTTTTTTTTTCTTACTTCTTTTGAAAAGAATTTCTACTTAATATTTCCACCTAACTTTTTTTCCATGGCATTTTGTGTGTGTGTGTTTTTTTTAAACTATGGTAGCATTATCAGTTAGATTAACTTGATGCAGTCTCCATGTATCGTGTTTGTGAGCGCCACCTCTCCACCACTCTTTACCGGAATGCAGAGCTGATCCAGGAGCCTTCAGAGGCCTCAGCTCATCGCACCAGACCTTCGCCTCTGAATGTGAGGGCCCTCCTAATCCTCAAACGAACCTCCAGAGCCCATAAAGCCTCGTCCCCTCAACCACTCGCTCCTCTTCAAACGCTCCCCCTAGCATCTTTTTTGGGGGGACGGGTAGTTTGCGATAGATGGATAATGGAAATCCCTCTCAAGTGTTGTGTTTTGGCTTCCTCCCCTCGGAGCTCCACAGATTACTTTTCTTTTAAATCTTCCGCCGGGGTAAAACTATTTATTTTCCCTGACAGTTTGGCGGCTTGTTTTTGACCTACTCTTCTTTGAGATGACTTAAATGACAAAAAACTTTTTGTGTGCGACCAAAAGGTCTCCATCTTACACTATTTGGTCGAGTCGCTCATTTGGAAGAACAAACAAAGAACACTTGTTCGTACAGATAATATCTATTTAAAGCAGCTGTAATACATTTGACCTAAATTAAATGAGGTTCAATTATTCTTTTTGTTTATTGTCCAACTATAAGAAACAACATAAGATACTATAAGATACTTATTTGAAGTGATGAAGAAGTAAAAGGTTTGGTGACGATTCAAATGTTGCGTCCTCTGGAAGCAGCAGGGCTCCGTCTGCGTGAAAGCTGTAGAAATGTCCCAACCACTGCTGCCAGACGGATGTTTGAGAAGGTTTCTCCAGGTGTCCTCATGCATACAGACGCAACACGAGACGTGTCCGTTGCACAGAGTCCCTGAACCTACCAGAAGGAAAAGATAGCTGATGATTCGACAATCCAATGACGGCTCAAATGGATTAATGAAGAGGAAGGAAACCAAGTACATTTAATATAACAGGAATGTATACGTGTATATTAGAGGATCATGTGTGCAAATATGAAGCTAGAGATTATGCGGATGGTTTTCTATTAATTTATCATGTTTTCACCCAACTGCTAGTGGACGATTTTCCATTGAACTCGATTTAATAGACATCCATTGAGACAGAGAGCGAATCCTAAGAAGATGGTGACATTGTTTAATCTTCAGTTAAATGTCTCATGAAACTTGGATGAGAGGAGATAGTTTGAGATATAAGTGTTTAGAGCTGCTAATCATTCTCACCCGACTGTAAACACTAAAGTCCGACTGAGCCGACGTGTGTAAAACATGTCAAACCAAACTTAATTAGTATAGATAGTGAAACCAAAGACGCTTATTCCTCTAATGATGTGACACTGTAAATCCCCTTTTCACAGTTGTAAATCAGCCCTGGATTGGGGTTAAAACTGTGAAGTGGGATAATTTCAGGTTCTCAAAGCATCACCTGGGATCCTCTGTGATAGAATAATCCAGTCCAACGATTCAAGTGTTTAGCTGATTATTAGCTGTTAGCTGGAAAAGCAAATTTCGCTGCGACTCCCTGAAGGATTTTCCCCTCAGAAATACAGAAGCGTAATCCCTCCCTATTAGAGTGTGTTGTTTCCGTGACAGGAAGATTTAGAGAAAGAGTTGCTAAGTGGACCCTTCAGTCTGCTAAATCTGTTTCCATGCAACAACCACTCGTTTTCTTAACAAACAAAGCCCTCATACAAAGAGTGGTCACAATAATAACAGTATGAACGCGTGACTGCCAACAAACTCAAACTACTGAAGCATCTGATCAGTAATCTGTAAAGCTCTGTAATGGATTACACGTTGAAAGTAACCCCCTCCCCCCCCCCCGCTGGTGCTGGCGGTCTCTGGGCCGGCGGTGATAAGGGTTAAGCTGCACTGAAGCCGGATGGATGCAGAGATCAGAGGCGGTGGTCCGAGCCTCAGAAGAAAATCCCCCAATGTGGCGCTGTGCAGATGAAGACACTCGATGCCGCTGCTCCTCCCGGCCCCAAAAAACAGCCTGTTTCTGGGCCAAGTTGTTGCTTCCACCGGCGGCGTCTCATCGGTGGACACGGCCGCTCTAAAAGTTAGTTATTGAGCGCCGCTTTAACTGCTTTCAAGCGTCCAGCCAGATGTTCTACAACGGTGCTGCTCCCATTCAGCACCCTCACTAAGGTGCATCTCGGATCAGGGGTTATATTTAAGACAAAGTCCTTAATACGCTTTAATGTTGCAGGTGGTGAAGTTTATTTGCATTAGTTTAATTCATTTATTGGCTGATTGTATTAGAGTAGTCACATAAATTAAGTGGAATAAAACGTTCTTGACCCAGAAGAAATAATCAAGAAAAGTAAATACCTGAAAACTGCATTTTAGATTCTTGGTTACACTCTACTAATGTATTGAGTTTTTATATATGTCTATATTTTAGAAGGCTGCATGGAATCCTCTCGTATCACCGCCTCTAATATTATAGTTGCTGAAGAATATTTGGTATTGTATTAAACTCCCGCTCCACCCGTCAATCACCACTATCAGAATTCATTGGACGTTTCTCCGATGCAAATATCGATTTGTTCTATCTCAGCCGGCCACGCCGCACTATTGACCTGCAGGCCGGTTAAAACCTCTTTGGGAACATCATCCTTCTTTTTTTCTTCCTATGTTTATAGCAGAGCTTTTTTTTCAAACCATAAAATCAATTGTTCCCGCCAGATGGAAGACGTCACCTTGTGGCAGACGAGGATGAGGCAGAGTACAGATCAGCTGGGAGGATTTTCTGCTGATTAAATATCTTCTGTTTAAAAAGACTGATTTCCCGATTGATCGCACTCACAGAGCTTTAACAACCGGAACTCTTCACTTCTCTTCGAAGCTGTGATCAGCAGCTGTACGCTTTATGCATTTGCACTTTTCGTGACGCAAGCCCTGAATTCGTGAACCTTAAATGGCAGCAGAGAGTGACTTCTTTAATGCCAGACGTAACCAAAGGGCTGCAGAAATGTCAGGTCGCCAGCAGCCATAAAACACACGCACACGCACACACACACACACACACACACACACACACACACACACACACACACATACACACGCACACACACACACACACTGCCCCAACGTCTTTCAAAATGATGTATGAAATCTGTCAGCTGCCCAACCGGAAGACCTCTGAGATATTGAGGGTTGACCTTTGACTTTGACACACACAGATGCATGCGCGCACACACATGCACAAATATTTATATATTGTCCTTCTTATAGCAGAGTTTGTTAATTAACCTCCAAACTGGCCTTCTGACCAGATTTGCAGCATTTTACGCATAAAGTGTTATTGTAGACACTAGAACTCAAAATGAGAGCTTTATGAGGGAGGGATTAAATAAAGGGGAATATGTATACATAGAGATAAATATTTGTGGAATCCCTCCCTGAAAGTCATGTGATTTCAAATGTTCCTCTAAATTTTTACGAATAAAATAAAGAAATTAAACAGTCCAGCAAGAAGTCATTTATTTATTAAAACATGGACAACGTTACAGACGTCAATATTAATAATATTATGTTAATCATTACGTGACATAGAAATACTAAAATTGATAAGAAACATCTCGTATCAAAACTGCCGCTAATAGTCAAATGGAGTAAACACATCAGTCGCTTACAGTCATCGTTTTGGCCTGACAGGTAGTTCATATTTTAAAAACACCACAACAAATGACTGACTTTAAATGTATGTACCCTTTCTGGCAGACAGTAGAAAAATTGGGCCTTTTAACCTTGTTTGATTTTAATTTCTCAAAGCGGTTTGCTTGTCATCATGAAGATAATCATGTTCACAATTATTCAAAGAAATTAGGTTTTTATTCTCATTTACTTTTAATGAAAAAGATGTTTTTTGACCTGATATTATTTTTCAAAATGTCCTTTTCTTCGGAGTACAGATGTCCAACGGTCAGGAGCGACTGAGTTAAATCCAACGGCGTCCGGCGGAAGCCTGTCCTCGATGGTCTCTAAAATGGCAGCGTGTCGAGGAATAACTTATCTATCACTGCAGGCGGCGGCACCAGATCCTCCAGCTTCAAATAGAAAATCCTCTGCAGCCCTTGGATGCACAGAGTGCGAACTTCGCGCAGTTTTTCCAAAAGTCTGGACAATTGGTTGGACCAACAGTCCGAGGGTCCGTCTGCGTCCTTCAAGCACCTGACGATGTTGTTCTGCAGCTCCTCCACCTTCTTCTGCTCCTTCAGTCCGTGTCGCTCTGCTGCGTTCCCAGAAACACATTTCCAACAGACATATTAGACATGAAACGGTGAAACATTGATAGCTTCGTGCCCCATTTCATCCGCACAAAAGTGTCTCTGAGCATCTCACCGGTGACCAGGGCGAGGGTGCACACGCAGGAGAAGGTGGACACGTCCAGGTTCATCCGCTGCAGGTTGGCGGAGAATTCCACGATGCTGTCGATCCACTCCCCGAAGCCCCGCAGGCACTGGAGCCGGTGCCACACCGACCCGTCGCAGAAGACCAGCTTCCCTTCCTCGGGGCTGGATCTGAAACAGTAAAGCTCAGATTCTAGGCCCTCAGACGGTGACGATCCCTCCCTCCACAAACAACCGTTTGGGGGCCTTTGCAACTGTTTACACATCTTTGATTTGTGCCAAAAATGCTTTGAAACAATCCCCTACTTTACTGGCCAATCCAACAACCAACATATTCCCCCTACGGCTCTGGTTTGTTACCTGTACGACAATCGCAAAACAAAGAGCTCCAGGAAAGCCGAGTAGAAGAGGAGGTCTTGGTCGTGTTTGGGGAGAGACGTAAAGCCCGGGATCTTGTGCGCCCAACCTCGAATCACCTCCATCGATCGGGTCAGGAGGTCATAGAACTGCCGCACGTGTTGAACGTCGTCCCCCGGTGGACTTCCTGGGGTCTCCTTCAGCTGGCGGAGGGTCACCGGGGGAAGAGGTGGAAAATAACAGCTCTGCCAGGCCTTTCATTTGTTACAACTCACTCGCGGAACAACGGCACACTGCTTACCCTGAAGTAGTCGACGCGAGAAGGAGGAGGGTTCGATTCCACGTGCGCCCTGACCAGTGCGCCCAGGAGGCCGCTGACGGCGGGGTACGAGTCCGGGGGAGTTTTGGGTTTGGACGGGAGCCGACCCCGTCGGCCTTTCAGCCCGGCCGTCCTCACCACTGCAAGAGAAACACCGTGGGAATCTCAATCCGAACCCCCGAGGGTCAGGTATGAAACGCGGTTTGATGGGGTTACCTTCTTTGACCATTCCCACCGCGAGGCACTTCTGGAAGCGACAGTATTGGCAGCGATTCCTCCTGCGTTTGTCCACCGGGCAGCTTTTGGCAGCCAAACACACGTACTTGGCGTTTTTCTGTACTGTGCGCTGAGTGGAAGAAGAAAAGTGTATATATTTAAGTGTAAACAAGGTGCAATGCAAGGTTGATGCACAGAGGTTACTTTGAGTGACAGACATTGGAGTCCAATCCTCAACTTTATTTCCATCCATTAGCACCTGTTTGAAAAGCATCGTTTGGGAATGCGATGTTGAACCATGGTGTGTAGCCCAGTTTCCAGGTCGGCACCAAAGTGGGCTTTACTCGAGGTGATCTAATCTTTTCAGGAGGATCTTTTTTAGTAGATCCCAGAGCCATTTTGGTCAAGACTGAAGTACAAAGCGTTCAATGGTCCTTTTGAGAATTAATATTAGCCCTCTGGCCCCCGTGGGCCGTCTGATGCAGCGTAAGGCATTCAGCAGGCGGACAGGGCAGTCTGGGTAAATACCGAGTCGTGGCCATTCATAATTTGGAGAATTGCCCCCGGGAGTCTCGCTTTTGAGAGGGGAAGGTGAAGGTTTTTATTCGTGGCACGTTGGGGGGCATTTTAAAACAGGACGTTTGCCCCTAATACGCGCGTGTCAAGAGATCAAAACGTGCGTCTCAAGCACAATGTGCAATTTGGGAGTTCAGTCAGGGCTCCCGGGTTGTATTAAAGGGTTTAAATAGTGTCTTCTCATTTTGACATTTCCAGTATTTTTAATTTAAAACGTTTTATTTTGTCCAGAAATGATCTAAGTTAATATCCATATTTCCACCCCCCGAAGCTGTAAAACAAACCTTGAAGAACCCCTTGCAGCCCTCGCATGTGCGCACTCCGTAGTGCTGGCAGGCGGCATTGTCACCGCACACCGCGCACAGCCCCTCCGTGCTCAGCGGTCCTCGGTCGGGGGCGCAAGAGGTCTGGTAGTCCATGAAGTGGTGAGCGTGGGCGAACTGAAGCGGGTGAGGAAACCCCACCCCGGGCTGCTTTCCGTGGGAAGCGCAGCCCAAAACCCCGGCGCTGTCCAGCGGCCGATGCGCACCGGCGGCGTCAAATTTCACCCGGCAGGTGGACATGCTCTGGCCGCCGTGTTGCGCGTGTCTGAGTGAAAACAGCGAGAGTCTGGATAGCGTGTTTTTCTTGTGCGCCGCCGCCAAATAGTCTTGTCGGAAACTGTAGAGAGAGCCGGAGTCCTCCCATACGTGTCCGGGTGGAGTTTGGAAGGCGGTGTGCGGCGACGGGGAGCGGTAATAGTAGACGGAACCCGCGGAGGAGAGCAGCTCGTTGGACTGGTGCGGAGGATGCTGATTCTGCTGATAGCGCGGACACCCGTGCGCATCCTCCACCTTGACGCACGGGAGCTCTCCCTGCACCGGCATCTGGAAGAGACACGGGGGCTTCGCGTCGTACGCGGCGCTGTACGTGTCACCCGAAGGGCTAAACGTGGGACCCGAGGTTGCAGCCGAGAGTTCGCTGTTAGTGAGGTCCATGCTGAACTTGACAAACTCCGGGGTGAGGAAGTCGCAGCTGCGCTCCCCGCTGGCGCTCTGAGAGGCCGGACTGGCTCCTTGTGGAGAGGAGCCGCTCTGGGTCGGGACGCACGGCATCGCCCTGCAAACATGGACGCATAAGGCGGAACGTCACCGGAGACCAAACTGTTGCGCTTATGTCTGATATTAAACACATTTTTTTTGCTGTTGTATTTTTTCTTATTTTTACAATGGAAACAAACTGCTTGGTTGAAAGTCAGAGACGACTAAGCCTACTTTAAATAAAACTTAAATAAGCTGAACATCTCTAGTACAACAGCAAAGTTCAGATCTTTAGTTGAGTGTTAATTACCTGAAGATTTAAGTTGTTCTATTTTCCAGATGAGGTTATTTTCTGATTGCCTGAGACAAAAAAACTAAAACAGCATTAACTGCAAGGTGTATACTTCCCCGCATGGTTGATTTCTCCATCAATCCGTGTAGAAGAGTAAGACCCTACAATACCTCAAAGCTCCGTGCAGTGGTGGAGGTCCGTGACGAGTAATCCCATCTCCGCCGTGGCGTTTCTTGTCTATTAACGCGTCAGCTGCCTGAGACCAGACAGGTCCGGTCGCTGTCTGCACAGCAAAGGTAAAGACTGTTCCTCCTCCCTCTTGTCGTGAATACTGGCTGCCAGGGACACCGACAATGTGTTTTTGTTTACGTGGTGCGCGCCCCTGTGCCAAACCCTGTTACGCACGAACCACGGTGGGCTGGACTGCTGTGTGGCACAGGGAGTTTATGTAATCCGCAAGTAATGGGTGCACTTTTTTTTCTATGGGGGAATATATTGTAATTTTGTAATCCAAACTATTGAACGGGGGGCTGCAACACGTGGCGTTAATATTGCAGAGTCGTTTAAAACCGGGATAACCACGAACGGCTCGTGCGTAATCTCTCGTTGATTAAACCACGTGTAAAATAAGACATGCAGTCTTTGTGTGTGTTGCAGGCTTCATCTCCTGTGTCACGCCTCGTGTGCTGGAACAGAAAGAAAACGACAGCTGGCGGCCCTCCTCTCACTCTTTATTATTATCCAGGAGGAGGAGGAGGAGGAGGAGGAGGAGGAGGGTGAAGGGGAGACCAGCGTTGCGCAATCTCCGCCCGCCCTATCGCGTCAACGCCGTGGGACCGCCTCCTCCCCGACGCCGTTGGACGAGCGCGGCCCCGGCGCCGCGTTCCCGATTGGCTCTCCGCGGCGTCGCTCGGGGCAACTGCGGGCTTCCCCCCTCACTGCGCCGTCAAACCCAAGCGACGGTCCGGACAGCGGCCGACGGTCCTCGGTGTCCGCCCTGCGTCGCCGCGAGCGAGTTTCAGTCGGCCACAGAACCCAGGAGTGCCGTAAGTGGGGACTCCCGTCGTTCTGGGGACGTTTTTGAAATATTTCCGACGAATGTCGAACTCGTCGTTTTGCTGGCGCGCGGCCAAAATAAATGAAAGCAGCGAAACATCTGCGGGGGGCGGGAAGGGGGGGGAGACGACCTCCTCCCCGCCCGCGTCGCCCTCAATCCCGCGTGTGTTCCAGTTATTTACACCCCTGAAACGGCGCGGTGTTTGCTCTTTCTGTGTGTGTGTGTGCGGCACCGCGAGGGGCTTAAGACGCAGCTTAACGCCGCCCCCCTCAAAGATCACGGTGGTTTCCTTCAGCAGTCACTTCCTCTCGCGCCAGGACGTCGCGTAACAAGGTGCCACCACCTGCTGCGTCAGGGGGCGTTGGTCTCCTGCCCGGGAAACACATAGAATAGAGTCTATTCTACCCAATAGACTAATGAAGCAATGTCCCCGTGGAGCTGTGGACCTGACCGCTGGTGGTCAACGTCCAGCACCGCCAGGCCTTTCCTCGGGGCCCACGATGGTCCCGTTTGGCCTTTAAAGGCTCCAGTGATGAGGCGCACAGAAGCTGCGCTGAACATCTGGGGATGTTGGTGGATGTTGATAAAGACACTTTGGATCGAAGTGATTTTTAAAAGCTATCTCGCTATTCGCCATTCGCCCGCCAGAGGGCGCCGGTGAGATCTTCTCTGACGTTCACGTTCATCACTGGCAGGAGTTTGATGGAAATTAGGAATAATTTGAGGGAATGAGTGAATTTATCAGTTGCCATTTTTGGTGGCAAACCCTTTGAGTATTTCTAGTCTAAGCGAGTTAAACTGGGAATGGAAATACTTTCTTGGTACCGACCCTGGTGGGAACGGAGGCCCTTATCTTACTGGTATCATGTTCTACTCATTGCAAGAGGAAACCGTGTCTATCTGCTGTTAATCCTTAACTACTAATATATTGTGTGTTCATATCCTATAACGCTCCCAGTGTGCCCGTGCCGGCTTGAGTCATGTGACATGAGAGATTAAACCAGTTAACATTAAACCTTCACCTGGAAACCTCTACAAATGGAGTGTAATTAGTGGATAATTTAGTCATTTTTAATGATTGTTGTTGTTAAAAATCGCTTCTGTTATTGATCAAACTGGTTATTATTGTTGATTATTGAGATTTTTTTTTAAACTGATCAATCTCTCTGATCATGGGGGGTTTTAAATGTCAAAATTAATTACAAACACACATCACAGAGCAAATGTGTATCCTCAAAGAATATTTTCCAAGCAAAACATTGAGTGATGGCAGCTTCTGAAATGGGTTCGTTTTCTGCTCCTTTGCTCTTTGATGTCGTTGTGAACTGAATGTCTTTGAGGTTTTGTACGTTAATGGTGGATAAACTAACGTTACAACTGAACTTTTCTTCATACGGACAAGGCTATTCCCCAAACCCTCACGTCTCTCTCAGTCCCGGAGGCGTTCCTCTGCACCCCCCCCACGCCCCCTCCACGCCCCCCTCCCTGTCCGCCGTCCTGGCTCCGCCTCCTCACTGCACCTTTACCTGTGCTCCCTCAGGAACGATGGCGTTCAGGAGGGCTCTGAAACACACGGCCGTCGTCGGCGGGGGGGCGGTCGCCGGGGTGTTCGGCTTGTCGCAGCTCATCGAGTACAAGAAGACACAGGTGAGCCGATGGGAGGGGCCGCCCCGCAGGTCGCTGTGCACGGACCCCGGGGAATGAGACGTGTTTATGTTTTTGCTTTTTATTGGCTGTGTTGTGTTTGCCGCATCGCCTGCTTTTACACCCCGACAGGTGTGAAATTAAAGGAGGAAAAACTTTAGTGTTGTTCCGAACAATAATGTGAAAGGGGTTCCTTTAAAGGAGCCCCCCCCCCCCCCAGCAGGGAGGGACCTCCTTCGGGGCATGTCCGCTCTAGATGTTGGAATGCACTCGCTTTGTTTCCTTTGTGTTTTACTGGATGCTTTTCAGCTGCTGAGAGCGTCAAGTAACTCAGAAACCTGCTTAGAAAGATTATTAAATGATTGTTTTCTATATTTTTACATCCTTGTTTAAAATGTTCATTGAACCAGCCGCCTCTGGTCGTTATCCCTCCACTTCCAATAAAGTGTGTCGTGCTCATGAATTGTAATTGTGAATTTGCGGAAAACTTTTTATGAGCCCGTAGGGGTTTGGCTCTTTCTATATGTACTCAAAATAAACCTTGTGTTGGATATTCTGGGTAATTAGTTTGTTCTCTCTCCTGCTGAGGGATTAATATCAATGTCTTTACTGGGTGTACGCTTTACATGGAGCCATGCTCGCTAACTTAGCTTAGCATACATACTGTAAAATGTTGCCAGAAAGGATGTTACTGGTGCCAGTCCAGAGAGAATGCAGTTAATAATTGAATAATAATTATTATAATTATATAATAATTATTATATAATTATATTATAATTATATAATTATACTATATTATTATAATAATAATAATTTAATAACAGTTAGCTGTAGGGCTGCAGTTGTGCAGTATTTGTTCCCTTTACAGGGCAGACTTCAGTTTTTATGCTAAGCTAAGTTAGCCGTACGGTTAAAGAAGGGATTTTTAACCCTCCGCAAGAAGGGAAATAAGACGCTTGAGCCACTGATGGTGTTCGAAGTGGACAAGCAGCTGTTTCCCCGACCTTGGCCTATTTTAAGCAATGCCACACCACTACATACCAGGCTTTATGTGAATGTGCAACCTAATGTGAACTTTGTTTTTTGTCCTGACGCGATAATGTCTTCTGTTGCCCACCGTCGTCCTCTCGACCAAGCATGGATTGGTAAGCAAGAAGCCCAACCTGATGAAATCTAATTATTTTCACAATAGTTTGTAATCATGCATGCCTCTAATCCCAGTAATTGCAAGGCTGATGAGATGAATGTCCGTCTCGTCTCCTTTAGCAAGGGCATATGGCTTGGAGAAGTTTTCAAGGGAGCGTCCGATTGGCTGTTAGCACGGGCCTCGCTGTGCCATTCAGTGACTTAACTTGATTACGGGGGGCACGCCGGCACTTAATTCCGTGGCGGCGTTTGTCTGTATGCATCATCAAAAATAGACAATGATTATATCATCTTCTCATTTGCGGGTGCAGACCTAAATTACAAACGCCTGCGACTATTTGCAAGTCAAATGCCACGTTTGCTTCAAAGCAGCTTGATGCAATCATTTAGCTTGAACTGCTAAATAGAAAAAAAATGAATATTTCATTAGCAGTGAAATTACACCTCTTCCTATCAGAGGGGAGCTGTGTTTTTGCTTTTATTGTGTTGTATGTGATTATTCTTTTAAATTAATCATTTTTATATTGTTGTTTTTGCAATGTTGTGCAGCATGTTGCATGTTTCTACTAATCCCATATATATTTATGCACTTTTTTTTTTACATACACCACTTGGAAACTAAAGGTGAAAATGAGACATCATAAGCACTTGGATTTAAGAATAAAAGGTTTATCGGATAAATAAACTTTTTTTTAAACTAAATGTTCTACATTTGGTAGCGAGTGCTCAGGTAAAAATAGTAGTACAATGAAATAAAACAATACTGGTGATATTTAACCACATTTCACCTGTCCTACTATCTATTAAAGACACAAAAAAGAAAATTAAAAGATTATCATAGAAAACGTTTGTTTCCGCCGGCGAAGAAAAGTGATCTCTCTGAATTATTATTAGCTTTGGAATGTGATCACAGTACCACGTAATCCTCCATCCATCCCGCACAGTAATGCATACTGTGAGCACAGTGCAGGGATCATGATACGGTGAACTCCATAGTGTATTGTGTAAGTGCACGTCATAATGCATTATTTCACATGTAACCCCACGAGGCGATTATAACGCATTAACACATTGAACTGGCCGTGATGGCAGTGAGCTTATAATGTTTCAAACTGCACCTGCAGGAAAGTGTTTCCTGCGTTCCTTCGGCTTTGCGTGGGGCATTAACACAGAGCGGCAGTAGGAATCAACCCTGCGGCTTTGCACGCTTCGGGGCTCGTTGGCGTCCTCTTGAAGTCACGTTGAAGGTGCTGCTGCTGTGTGCGTCTGTGCCTGACCCCCCCCCTCTCCTCCCCCAGGCCCAGCTGGCCCGCGTGGCTGCCGAAGCGGATCTCAGGGTTCCCTTCGCCGACGACCTCCCCTCTCGGCAGGCCCAGCTCGCCGCGCTGCAGAGCACCGAGGAGTTTGACGTCCTGGTGGTCGGAGGCGGGGCCACGGGGGCGGGGTGTGCCTTAGACGCCGTCACGCGCAGTAAGTCTATTGTTAACCCCAAAACCGTTTCTTTTTTTTTTTGGTCCTTTCGGCTTGTTTTTCTTCACACATCTTTGCTCATTTCCCTGCAGACCTGAAGACGGCTCTGGTTGAGAGAAGCGACTTCTCTTCGGGGACGAGCAGCCGGAGCACCAAGCTGCTGCACGGCGGAGTCCGCTACCTGCAGAAGGCCATCATGCAGTTGGACTACGAACAGGTTCCTTTCGCGCTTTGACCTCCTTCGATTTCATCCCATTCCAGCGGCTCCTCCTTTGACATGCTCTGCTCGTTTGTTTTGCGGGAACCAGTACATGATGGTGAAGGAGGCCCTTCACGAGCGAGCCAACCTCCTGGAGATCGCACCTCACCTGTCCGCGCCGCTGCCCATCATGCTCCCCGTGTACAAGTAAGTGCCGGGAGTTTCGTATGTTAATGTTGCTTTCCGTCCCCTGAACTACGCCGAGACGTACGGACAGTGCGAAATTTTAATCTTTAACGACGTGTGTGCATTTCCAAGATGGTGGCAGCTGCCTTACTACTGGGCGGGCATCAAGATGTACGACTTGGTGGCCGGGATCCAGAACCTGAAGAGCAGCTACGTCCTCAGCAAGGCCTCGGCCTTGGAGCGCTTCCCCATGCTGAACAAGGACAAGCTGGTGGGCGCCATCGTCTACTATGACGGTGGGTGAAATGTGCGGACGGCGTTCTATCAACGCCAGCAGAGCAGCTGAGTCAGACCCGTTGCCCTTTTCCACGGTCTTCCGTCCGGTTTCCTTCCGACGGTACGGATTTGCTGATGGAGATGAGTCAGAGATGAAGCATTTTAGGACACTAAAAAGAGATTACATGAAACAATTGGAGAATGGAAATGGACTTTGGTTGAGTTTTGTTCTGCTATTAATCGTCTTGATTAATAGCAGAAATGAAAGTCTGCAGTTTGATCAATGGGACTTGTTTTTGGGAGCAGCTTGATTTACATGTCATTATGTATGCGCGCTAATCACGGCTATAAAACCAATGCAAAGTAAAAGTGTACAGATAGAACCTGGTTTACTGCAGAGAGAAGAAAAGAAGAGCAAAGCTGCATATGTTTGACTCCCCCTCCCATCATCCTCTCTGAGCGTGTGTGTGTGTGTGTGTGTGTGTGTGTGTGCGTGGGGAGGTGGGGGTGGGGGTTCTTCTCTCCAATTATGCCGTCTGGAACAATCACGCCGCTGACATTTGAAAGTCTGACCTTCTCTCCCGGCGGTGTGCGGCGCAGAGGAGCGTCTGAGCAGCAGACATTTCTGCGGCTGTCTCGGTTACCGCTGCTGCCGTTTGGGGCCCGAAGCTTTTATTTTGAACCGGCACGGCGGAATGCGTACGCGCTGAAATCTCGGGAAAAATAAGCTGTGTGTGAATGTTGAAGCGCGGGAGACCAGAGACAAAACGGAATCATCAAATCTATAAAATACAAACGTATCACAAGGTGATGATTTAGATGAAAGACACATTTTGTTCTCAACCAGCAGCTGATTTTCATCCAAATATCAGAAATCATCCTCCATTTCTCTTCTTCTCCTCCTCCTCTTCCTCCAGGGCAGCACAATGACGCCCGTATGAACCTGGCCATCGCCATCAGCTCCGCCCGCCACGGCGCCGCCGTCGCCAACTACACCGAGGTGGTGCGCCTGCTGAAGACGAAGGACCCGCAGGGCGGCGAGGAGAAGGTGTGTGGCGCCCGCTGCCGGGACGTCATCACCGGTGAGGATTCTTGACCAGGCAGCACAGCGCATACCGAGATCCATAAGTCCTTTAGATACCACCGGCCTCTGCTCACAGGACAAGAGTTTGACGTGAAGGCCAAGTGCGTGATCAACGCCACGGGACCCTTCACGGACTCCCTGAGGAAGATGGACAACCAGGAGACCAAAAACATCTGCCAGCCCAGCGCAGGCGTTCACATCGTCATCCCCGGCTACTACAGGTAGCGTGTCCTCTCTCAAGGCTTCTATCCGAGTTGGCGAGCTGTTTTTTTTTGTTTTTTTTCAAAGTAATGCAGTTAATCCTCAGTCTCGTCTCATTTTAATGCGTAAATACTGCTCTGTTATCTGACCTATGCTAACATGCATAGGACAATCTTCTCTGGGTAAGATACAGCAGAGCAATAGAGTGGTTTTGTTGAAGTAGGGCATTTTTTAAAGTTCAGCGAAGCTTATTGAGCGAAACCTGAGGGAGCGCGAGCCCTTTGAACAGCACCACAAATGCCAGACACCTAATTCTCCTCTCGTCTTCCTCCTGCCGCCGCTATCTGCTCCCGCCTCACCTCCTCTTCCTCCCCCACATGTGTGTGTGTGTTTTTTTTTTTCTTCCATTTCAGTCTCCAATTTGTCCTCTTCTCGTGGCCGCACCTTCTTTCTCGCACTTATCCGCAAACTAAAGATGGTCAATTCAAATCAATACGTTGATCTGACCTCACCGTCTTGCTCCTTGTTAAAATAACAACCGCTCCCCTTGGCTTTTTTCGTCCCTCAGCCCCGACAACATGGGCCTGCTCGACCCGTCCACAAGTGATGGACGCGTCATCTTCTTCCTGCCCTGGGAGAAGATGACCATCGCCGGGACGACCGACTCGCCCACCAGCGTGACGGCCCACCCCATCCCGGGGGAGGACGACATCAACTTCATCCTGAGGGAGATCCGCAACTACCTCAGCCCCGACGTAGAAGGTACCCAAGGGCTAACAAAGGGTTCTGGGATCTCATGCTCATCTTACGCTCTTCTGAGTCTTCAGAGCTGTCGTTTGATTTTTGTCTCGGTGGAGAAAAGAATAGAAAGAGGAGCCGCGTCACGAGGAAGATCCTAAACGCGTGGATTCACTCACGCAGAAAGTCCAGCACGGATCTCCTTTCCTTCGAGGCCCTCGGTCCGAACGCTCTGGTTCACAGTGAAGTTCCTCACTGGAGACGTAACCGCCTTTGTGTCCCCTCCCCCGCAGTGCGCCGGGGAGACGTGTTGGCGGCGTGGAGCGGCATCCGCCCGCTGGTGACCGACCCCAACTCCAAGGACACCCAGTCCATCTGCAGGAACCACATCGTCAGCATCAGCCCCAGCGGACTGGTCACCATCGCCGGTACGTCCCCGCGTCGCCTTCCCCTTCGCTTAGCGCGGTGTCTGCGCGGCGACGGTCACATGTGTGCGTGTGTCTCTCCAAGGTGGGAAGTGGACCACCTACAGATCCATGGCCGAGGAGACTCTGGATGCTGCCGTCAAGACGCACGGCCTCTCGGCGCAGCCCTGCAAGACCGTGGGTCTGATGCTGGAGGGAGCCAAGGGCTGGACGCCGACGCTCTACATCCGCCTGGTGCAGGACTACGGGCTGGAGAACGAGGTCGGGGAGAACGCTCGCTCCCGGCGCGCCGGCGTTCCGTCAATCGGAAACATAACCGCGAAACGGGAATTTTCGGGAACTGCGCGTTAAATCCGGAACCGCTTCTGCGTCGCGGCGCGCGGCGGAGAACGCGCGGCCCTCAAACAGCTCCAGAGGAAAACGAAGCTGTGAAAAGCTCCCACTCTTCAGCTGTGACATTACAGCTGCTGCCGTAACCACACTGACATTTCAGCTACACAAAAGGCCGGACGCGCGTTGAAATGCACCGTACGCCGCACCGTTTATCAATGGCTTTAAGTAAGGGCGCATTGATTTACACCAACTACATCCCTCCTTCCAATAATTAGGCTGTGGCTTTTCATTAAACCCGGTAGAACACTGTTTCATGAAGAAAAAGCCTTCTGCACACTTCTCATTAGAGGCGTTCTGCGGCGGCTCGGCTGCTCGCTCCAATATTCCTCAAAGGTCATCGTTGATATTTGGACAGCGTTTGCCCTTTCTCTCGTGATCGGCAGGCCAGCGATCTGAATAGCAAATAGCCCGCCCCTCCACCCCCCCGTGTGGCGCAAACACGTGGAGCCCCATCGGCAAAGTGCCGTTAACGCTCGTCGCCGAACTCTGAAGAGGTGAAATCGATCGCGCGCGAATATTATGAGACGATCGGCAGCTTCGAAGTTTCAATTAGTCACTTCAGTCACTACAGTAGGAGCTTTTCTAACACAACGACCTAAGGATAATAGTTTTTTTGCAGCGAGCCTAATAAAAGTGTCTTTTATTGATATTAGCATAAAAAAGACTCCAAATGAAATGTTTTGTCCGCAAGGAATAAACGTTGTGTTTGGTCTTATTTTCCAACTGTGAGTTCTGCTGACTGGGGCTCTCTCTCTGCGCAGGTCGCTCAGCACCTGGCCTCCACGTACGGGGGAAAGGCCTTCGACGTGGCCAAGATGGCCAAGGTCACCGGGCAGAGGTGGCCCATCGTGGGCAAACGATTGGTGTCCGAGTTCCCCTACATCGAGGGCGAGGTAACGCGGGGGCCGTAGTTACGCCCGATGTTATAGTTTGTAGTGCTCCCGCCTCACGTGATTTCTCCCCCCCCTCCTCCCAAGGTGCTGTACGCCATCAAGGAGTACGCCTGCACGGCCATCGACGTCATCGCCCGGCGGACGCGCCTGGGCTTCCTGAACGTGCAGGCGGCCGACGAGGCGCTGCCGCGCATCGTGCAGATCATGGGGAAGGAGCTGGGCTGGAGCGAGGAGCAGAAGACGGTACGCAGGCACGCAGACACGCCAAAATGTCCCGGGGGGTTCCTTTTCAATCGGCACACAATAGAAGAGGTCCGCACCCTGTGGTCCCTGGAGAGGCGCAAGTCCTGTGTGTGAGAAAAAGATGTGAAGTGATATGAGAGGAGTTATGGACCTTCCACTGAAGATACATACGCAGGCTCTCAGACAGGGAAACTCGTGTCTCATCTCGACCATATGAAATGACCCTTTCTCTGCAGACGGAGCTGGAAGCAGCCAGGAAGTTCTTGTACCTGGAGATGGGCTACAGGTCTCGCTCTGAGCAGCTGACCAAGACATCGGAGATCAACCTGGACAACCAGGAGGTGGTCAGGTAATCACCCACCTCTCAATCGCGGCTCGTTGTCCGAGGAAGGCTCATGGGGGGTTAAACGCGCTGGATCCTGTGTGGCAGGTACAAGAAGCGGTTCCATAAGTTTGACAAAGAGAGCAAAGGATTCATCACGACTGTCGACGTGCAGCAGGTTTTGGAAGTGAGTCTCATTTCATCTCCTCCTCTGTCCTCTTCCGTTCTCTCTGCGTCCGCCTCTCACCTTTACTCACGCATTGATCAGCTGTTCTTCTCTGCAGAGCATCAACGTCCACATTGATGAAAATGCGCTTCATGAAATCCTTAACGAGGTCGACCTCAACAAGAACGGACAAGTGGAGATTGATGAGTTCATGCAGGTACGTGACAGGCCGACGGTGAGAGCCCAGAGGAAGCGGCTGATGACTCGTTTCAGCGCACGTTGAACTCATCGAATCATTTGTACTAGAAAGCGCGTCGCTGGGTGCAGATTCACTCCAGTTTAATAGTCAGCTTATTCCTTTGACTTTTCAGTCCCCACATTTTTATTGATACCCGAATGGAGGTGAAAATATAACTATTTCATGCACAGATTTCAGGTTGAATGATCAAATATGATGTAAAAGATGTAAAAGCCTGAAACGTGTTGCTTTTCTTTGGAAATAGACAAATCGTCTTGGCTCACTTTTACAGCAAACCGGGACTTTTAGAGACGTTTCTTGAAAATCTGAAAGCTGAAAATGGAAGTGAAAATGCACACGCGCATTGCTGTGTGTGACGAGAGGATCCATCCGTGCCGAACACCTCAGTACCAGAACAAACAACCACAAAAGAAACCCACTAAAACCATTAAACACACCACCTCCTTTTTTTGACATTTCATGTTTTCAGCCATATTTTATTATCTTCTCAATCCCTCAATATATATTTTCTCCCTAAAATGTACATCACTAGATGACGTTTATGTAGTTTTGAGCAGGTTATGCACATGTTTACAGTGTATATAGTCATTTGCACCTTGCATGATCCTCATGCGTTCCATACGATGTCATTAAAAGAAAGACCATTGTCCGGCTGTGACGTGAGGACATCCATCGGAACAGAAGGTGTGCAGCGCGACGAGATGCAGCTAATTAGAAAGCAGGATCTCTGCCAGCTGCTCGTCTAATGAAGCCTTCTTTGTGTCGTCTCGACCCGCCGCTAAATAAACGAGTTCCTCACATGACAACCAGGTCCAGGGGTGAGAGTCATTAAAGCTCTGTGAGTTAGACTTCATTAGGGGGCCGGAGGGGAGCTGATGGGTAAACCCCCGCCCCCCCCCCCCCTCAATGTCTGCTCCTGCTCGTGTGGACATGCGTTGTGGTCGCGTGCATCGTCCTCGAGGCGGTTCTGATCTTATTGTCAACAAATGCCACGAAAAGATCAAGATCAACAAAGAATCCTAGAAATACATAAATAATCCAATACATTCATGAAATAACTCTTCCAAAGCAAACACATTTTCATGTTAAGGACATTAAACAAAGGCGTAGTGGAATAATAGAAAAAGAATAAGAGTCCTTCCTGGCTGTTTCTTCCTGCGGCGTTGAGCTTTTTTAAAATCACTTGTTTCTATAGTCAGTAGTTGAACCATGGAAGGATTTTCTCTCGGATGAACTCCCGTTTGAAGCTTTCTCGCCGCCGTAAAAATGCATTTGTTTATTGAGCTTCAGGAAGAGAGAAAAGGTTCGTGGCTTGAAAAACATTGGATTTGTTGACATTAAAAATGTAGAATAATTCCTTCCTGGTCCTTTTTAAAAAACTGAAACACAGACGCAGAACCCGGATGCTCTGTTTGAATCGAGCCTTTTTAAGCACTAGCAGCTCTCAGGCAGCTGGCGTTCCTTTTCTACCTCCGATCGGGTCGATCCACGCTGACCTTTAACCTTTCCCCCGCGCAGCTGATGAGCGCGGTGAAGAAGGGACAAGTGTCCGACAGCCGCCTGGCCATCCTGATGAAGACGGCGGAGGAGACGCTGGACACGAGGGGGCCGGTGACGGTGGACCGGAGCGGCGGCGGATTCTGAGCCAAAAGAATCCAGCCAGCGCAGAGACGGCCTCATGCAAATGGCGCCATTTGAATGACAATGATGCAATCATTCGCCCGAATCAAGCGCCCCTCCTCCGGAAAAGAGTGAGGCTGAGGTTTGTTGTCTGTTTTCTCAGCATCTGGTGCCTCTGATGCTCCACAGCACGTCTGTTTTCGACGGTCTTTTAAACGTCGGCGGCGTGAGCGTCTGCATTGTCTTTGTATCTTCTGCAAAGCTCCTTTTTAAACTCCATTTTTTAACACTGCTTGTTGGGGAAGCACTTTCCTCGGTGTGATGCAGCTTTTGCATGTGGACGCTGTCGATTTGGTTGTGCTTTATCTTACGGCTCCAATAATTCTTAATAAGTCTACTGGCAAGAAATATGTGACTCAGCACTAATCGGAGGCAAAATAGAGACAAGCGTTGCAACGTTGAATTGAATAGAAACGAGTAATGGATCACTAATTCTTTCAAGGGAAACAAAGAATAATACTGACTCTTAAAATAAAGCCCAGCAGAGCTTTGCACTGTGTTGTTTCTGATGTTAGCGTGTTACAAGTACTATTTAATGGTTCTAAAAGCACTTTCCGAAGTACTGAAGTGACTTCCTCCTGTCTAATTTAGCTTTTATTGCACAACCAGCAAACTACTGATGCTGAGGTTTCTAGTTTTAGCGCTAGTGAGGTTGTGTGTTTTAATATAGCTATTTCTATAAAATATATATAAATTTATTATTTTCCCTTTTTGTAACTGCAGCCAAATAGAGACAGATGGAAATAAGTTGCATGAGCAAATCACGCTTTCATCGATTACATTTTTTTTTTTTTAATGATTTGCATGCTTTATAAAGCAAAATATTTATTTTTACAAAGTGCATTTGAAGTGGAGTTTATTCTTGTATTACTTGTGGCTGTTTGCAGCCAAAAAGTATTCCTGCATGCTGTTCGCAGATTATTTCATCGTTTGTGGGACACAAATGTTGTATTTGTTTGGGATTTTATTTTAGTTTAGAAACAACAAGTTCACTGTGTGATGTTTGCCTCGATGTGCCTGAGATAAATGAGCCCCCGGTTCCATAATGCCACACTCCATGTCAACAAATGCAGCACACGATGGTAAAGAATGTACGGCTGTTATACAAACAACAGTGTCTAAGCTGTATGGGATTTTGGGGGGTTTCTGAACAGATGTCTTGACGTGCTGCCATGTTGGAGGGGTCGACAGTAGGTCAAGGGTCAAATTTAGATTCACCCTAGCAGTTAAACCATCAACTCGTGCTGCACAAGGGAGGAGACAAAAGTTCTTATGATCATTTTCCAGAGTCTTAAACGAGGGTTAAAGTATTGCGCACAGTTTGGATATTTATGTCAAGGAGCTCCCACCTCTGAAAACGAAAACAAACATGTCTTCATTCCTCCAACGTGGGGGTGAGTCCGTCATCATTTCAGGTCTCCTGTTAAGAGGTTTTATACTGTACAATGTCCCGATTGCCTTTTATTATGCTTTATAATCATCAGTAACCGATTTATCTACTTGGACTAATTGATATGCAGTAAACAATCATTCCACTACGTTTCCTCCCATGAACCATTATTGTGTGTGTGTGTGTGTGTGTGTGTGTGTGTGTGTCTACACACTGAGCACAGTCCAAACTGCAGACGGCTTGCCGCAGGGCTTGATTTCAGGTCTCCATGTTAGATTGTGTCGTCCGGATGAAATTACAGCTTTATCCCGACTCAAAGAGAATCATGTTGCGTACACTGTAAGAATACAGTGAGCCTGTCTTCAGCTGAAAAGAAGGGAAAAAGCAATTATCTAATTAAATGTATCTGGTTGCTTTCTTTGCTGGGGTCTGTGTGTGTGGCCTGCATCATGAGAGCAGAGAGAAGTGATGGGACACGTCGTGTTTGCTGTTCAAGAGGGTCTTTATTGACTTCATCTGATTTTATTTAGAAGGTCCTTTGACGAGAAATCACTGAATATCAGTACTTATTTCTCTTATACAACCTAAATTTAAACCTAATCTGAGAACTTCTCCCGCACTGCTGACCTCGATTGTTTAGAGTTAAAACCAACAGCTCCTGAAAATGAGCGCGGTAACAGTTTATTATTTATGGATAAAAATGCAGCGTTCACAGGGATTCGGTGTCCTCCGAAGTGTTACCTGTTGGGTCGGGTTACACTTGGTACAAATATCCTCACTGAGATTGTTTCTCACAAGTATAGAATTCACACACGCACGCACACCGAACTGCATCCAGTCCGCTTGCTGCAAACTGCGAGAAAAAGGCGTCTCTCTCTCGCGAAAGGTCACGGTGCAATTTGAATGACAGCTTTAAGTCCTTCGCTCATATTACAATCTGCAGCCGAGGAGAGGGCGCCCTGCATGGGGAAGGCCGGGAGTGCCGGGAAGCAATTAATTGTAATGAATAATGGGACAAATCTGGTTGGCATATGACTGCTAATGCTCCTTTTTTGTTTCCTCCTCTGGAGGATTCAGGCCGGCGATGCTGCCACGCGGACGCATCTGCTTCTGCACTCACTGAGAAGTGTGAGGATGATGCTTTCTGTCTTCTTCCTTTCATTCTTTCTCTTATTCACATAGAATTGATAACCCTCACATCAAATTTACCTTGTTGTTTGGCTTCAACATCTGAACAACTGGTCTACAAAATGATATATTCCTCTTTTTTTTTTCATGTGTCTCCCTGCACAGTGTTGCTTCAAATCTTTGAAAGAATTCAGCCTGAATAAATATCTGGAATTATTTGTGTGTTTTCTAAAGAAAAACAGAGGGAAGCTTTTCAGTAGTTATTTCATTTTATAAACCATTTGTCGTGGTCTTTTGGTCGGCTGACTGGTCGAGTGCATTGGCTGAAATGCTAGTGTCAGTAATTAAAAAATTTAATTTTCCAGGTTTACATAAACAAGTCGTTGAAAAATGTTCTGATGGGATGTAATTGGAAGTATGTGTAACTGGGAGCAGACGGCCCCACGGCAGCTCGGCAAACCCTCACTTATTCAGATGATCTTCATGGTAAATAAGGTGATGATGAACTGAGAAATGAATCACATCGATCCGTTGCAAGAAAAGTTCAAATATTGATATGAGAGAGAGCGCAGTAAATTAATATATCAGTATTGGGTGTCATTTGTGCCCTTAAGACTAATTGGAAGTGCGGCTCGTTAAATAAGAAGGTTGTTTTTGAAAGTGTAAATGTATTCTCCGGGGTTCTGTCCAAGACTTTGAGATGCATAAAGAGAACCGGAATGCCTGAGAATCTCCACTTCATGGGATGAAATAATGGTTGAAACCTTTCTGAACCTCCCCCGGTGGAACAAAAAGCCATTTTGCAAAGGTCCCTGACATTTACCTGGGTCATTCACTTGCTCCGTGCCTGTCAGAATGAGGACCGGAAGCTCTTTCAGCTGCATTTCAATGGACACCTGCCAGTCAAACAGAACAAGGGGAATTTCTTCATCTTTTTATTGCACATATTTTGATTTTAAATCCATCATTGTTGACTTTAGTGGTACTGGATTTTTTTATATAAATGATATATTATACTATTCAATTCCTTTACTAATTTCAGCCTTAAACTATACATTTTCAAAAGCCTTAATGTTAAATACATGTACACAAATTTCCCGTGACATGGTGTGTCCTGAGAGAAGAAGAACCTCAAACGTGTATTCACTTGGTAAGAGAAAAAGACGTGTGAAGTGGGTGAAGAAAGCGTCATCCTCAAGTATTCAGTGTATTCTGAATAAAAAGCACACATTAGTCCTCTCCTTTATAACACAAAATGTTTCGACCAAAGAAACGTAAGAGATTTCTATCTCAAATTCATAAAAAAAATCCCTGCAAACATGTCAAGGTCCTTTACTTACAAAGTTCAAAGACGTATATGAACTTTTTTGTCAGAGGGCCAACGGTTGAACCTGAGTTCCCTTTAAAGGTAATGTGTCCGTCAAATAATATCTTCTTTGTCCAAATGTAAAATAAATATAAAGCATATCAGAATATTTCTGGAATATCTGAATAAGTTAATACTGTTAACAATCTATCCGTCAAATAGTCAGTAACCGTTCCAATGAATGTTATGAATGCGCTGATGAGCGGCCATGATGACGCGTCCAAGATGGCCGACAAGCACCTGAGCTGTAACTTCCGCCGCCCGATTGTTCGTGAAGCCGCTCCGTAAAGACGATGGAGGAGTCGATGCAAGAAAGGAGGCTGATGGCTAACGCTGCTGGTGAGTTATGATGTCAACCGGGGGGCTGAACAGCGAAAACAACAACAACAACACACAACCAAATAAATATCAACAGTTCTCATTAGCTTACGGCTAACTTGTGCTAACGTCCGTTGACTTTTCTTTCTTAAGTGGTCAAATTAACCCGATTCATACGAGGTGGATATTAGACATGATTTGTGTTTGGAACACGGCGTACTTTGTATTCACATTAGTGCTAATTTTCTGTTATATCATCGAAAAATTATCTGATTAGTTATATATTTCCATTTATTTCCATTCCTAAAGTTGGACTCTTATGTTACTCTCATGTTTGCATGTTGGGTTACTGGACGCATTGTGGTTCACTTGCTTTACAACAAAATATTTCATAAATCAAACAATACATTTTTTTCCCTAATTTGGAGTTGGCGTTTCTATCCATCCTTAAAGAGATGCAGTTCTTTGTGCTGAACACTAGGGGGCGCCCTCCATCTATCACGTGGAATAATGCTGCTGTGCGGGGATGACGTATTTTTGTGGTTAAAGAGGAGATCTGAACTGCATCATGGGAAAACAACACATGAACACAGTTAACTCTGGTCTGCACCAGCAGGAAGGCTCCGTAGCTGTCAATCATTAAACATGACCATTATCGATGGCTCGTGTACCAGACGTCCTCTCTGAAGTTAAATGACATGTAATGTAAGTTAACAGTACAGCCCGATTCAATAATTCCTTTGTCAGAGTATTAGTGAGAACTTTAAAATTATAGTAAAATATGTAATAAAATCATCGGTCATAGTATAATATTGAAATAGTATAGTATGAAAATCCAGGTCAGTATAGTGTGCAATAAGGACATCAAAAATATAGTGATGTATAAAAAACATAATATGGTTTAGGGAAAAAAGGTCACAGTGTAGGATGTTGTAAAATAGTCATGGTTTATTATGTCATGACCAAGTTAAAAAATATCATGCTATAGTTTGTTATACAAAGTAATTTAACAGTATGTCTGAAATAAGTTTTATATAATTTAGTCTTTTACTGAATCATATAGTACAGTATGTTGTAAAAAAAACTCCTGAAAGCCTCAAGAAACAAACCCTGGTCTGGTATACCGTTAAAAAGTAATCAAATGGAAAACTAATATAAATATTTTTTCACACAGATAGCTTAAGTATAATACGTCTTTGAAAAGTAATCCAAAAACATAAGTAGTAGTATTTTCTTGAAGTTATACTGTAAAATGTCAAAAGTATCAACAAATATTATAGTATATTGTGTTAAAAATGTAAGTAATTGTTAGGTGGTGACAAAATCATAAAATGAATCATACAATGTTTCATAAAAAAGTATTTAAAATATTAGTAATCTAGTAATTAGTAATTGTAGATCTTAAGTCTTAAAAAAGTCACATTATACTGTGTCTTAAATAAGTATAACAATATATGATTGTGTAGTAAAAATTAAAATGATGTAATAAAACATTCGTTTTAGAATAAACACATGGTATTTATTAAAAGAATATAAATTTTCCATCGGCTGAGGTTGTTAAAAAATAATCAAAAATTAATTATAATAATTATATTAAAAATATTTCCGTAAAAGTCAAAAACATTTAGAGTGTACATATATATATATATTAATTTAGAGTACATGGTGTTTTAAAAAGGGTTTTAAATACATCATAGGCCCCTTATGGACTGGACTACTATGTGAGTGGATGAAAGTGAAGAAGATGGAGGTGATGTTTCTAAGAGACTCGGCCAGTGAGACTAAATGTGAAAGAGAGTGGGGGGGGAGGTGGTAAAGGGGGGCGGGGTCCCCTTCTCCAGAAGGCCGCCCCACAGTCACTAGAGGTGGAGCAGGTGGAGGAGGCCAGGCTGTGGTGAGGGTCTTTATAAATCCTCCCACTGCTTTTAAATATAATCTCAGATACTTTACATAAGTAAATTTGACTTACATAATTTAAAACATATTGTTACGCAACCCAATCTTTAAAAAATAAAAAATAAAATATGAAATTATTAATTGATTTGAATTGAATTGATCTTTCTAATTAGTACTCACACATCATTTCATTTACAAATAGCATAAAATAATTGAGTTCTTTCAAAAAAGCGAAAATGAATCAGACCAACTACTAAAACAGAATGAAATGAAAGGAAGGAAACTGTTGGGGGAAAATTGTTGAGCCTGCGTGGGGTGAGGCTCTCAGGAATGTGACCTTTGATGTGAGCCGGTGACTTAAGGCAGTCCAGGGTGAGATAAGACACAGATGAAACCATACGTGCCCTGACTGACCTTTTAGATGTTGTTGATTGTCTGGGTCCATAAAGGGAGGGTCACGGGGTCACCCCTACATCATCTGGTACTTTTCCAACACTCCTCTTTGAGGGGTGGGCTGTCCTGTCCTGAGGCAGCACAAACCTCCCTGAAGTGTATATAAGCTCCTGTTCTCCTCTTCAACTTTGTCAGATCTTCCTGCTCCTTTTGGGGGAAGGAACATCTGTCCCTTTTCAGCTGAATTGTAGTCATTTGACTTCTGTCTGTGCTTACGACTTGTGCTGATGATTTCTGTATTCTTTATCTTTTTTCTATATTCTAGTTAGTAATAAATACTTAATCACAAGCAAGCTCAAGATACTTTTGATTTCTCACATGGGCTAAATCCACAAATTTCCACCAAAGAAACGAAGCTGCTCAGTGTGAAAGAATCTGGTGGAGGAAGATTTATTGATGTGGGAAGACTGATGATGCCAAAAGAAGACCAATTACACCGACACACCCTAATTACCACACATTCACACATGGCATTTATTAAAAGAATATAAATTTTCCATCGGCTGAGGTTGTTAAAAAATAATCAAAAATTAATTATAATAATTATATTAAAAATATTTCCGTAAAATTCAAAAACATTTAGAGTACATGGTGTTATAAAAAGGGTTTTAAATACATCATATTATCAGAAAAAAATCAATTGCAATGTGCTATTATGAACTTAATAAAATGCATTGTCTCATTGAAAGCCCTGTCTTTTTTGTCTGCTCTCTTTCTTTTGTTCATCTTTTTTGTGTAACTCATCGTCAGCATGTCACACATGACCTTTTCTCCATCTGTATGAGTTCAGGTCTCGTTCTGCTTATATAATATTTCTTCAGATGGTCCTCATCTGGCTTTAGAGGCTGTGACCCCGTCGGGTCGCTGAGGCCGCTCTGAGCGATGCCGTCGGGCGTGCCAGGAGGAACTAGCTGCATGTTTCTCGTGGCCCTTGTGTCACACAGGTGATGGTGGAAAGGTTCAGTCTAAGAGGAGTATGAGCTAATTGGTGTAATTTCAAGAGCAGGACCACACCTAGCCACGCCTAGCTCCCCAACCCTCTTCCCGTCCTGTGGACGCATTCCAACCCCACCCTCCCAACACCGTTTCTTTCCTCCCTCCTCTCATTTGTGCCGTGCTCATAATCAGGACCTTTCAGGCGAGAAGTCATTCCTGCAGTGGGGAACACACTTTGAACTTTGAGATATTGATTTGACAGATGTCTGCTCATCAGACGCTGCAGCTCTGACATGGTAGGGTGGTGTTCTCCGACAAATGCTCCAGATCCGTCTCCCATTTAGCAGGATTGTCCTTAGCACTGCAGACGTGGCTCATTGCTTGGCTGCACGCGAGGAACCTCCATGAAAACGAGGCACAGCGGCACCCGACACGGGTTTTGAACTTCAACCACTTTACAGGAATGTGATCTGAAGCACAGAATAAATAATAGATAGATAATAATAATATGAAATAGTTACTTAGTCTACACAGGGGATTTAGCATGGGATCGTCTGACAGAACCCCTCCTCCCCCCACTAGGTGTGACGTCATGTGGCCGTGGAGCTAAACGGACTAGTTCAGATGAATATAGTGTGTGTCTTCTCCAGAAGGCCGCCCCACAGTCACTAGAGGTGGAGCAGGTGGAGGAGGCCAGGCTGTGGTGAGGGTCTTTATAAATCCTCCCACTGCTTTTAAATATAATCTCAGATACTTTACATAAGTAAATTTGACTTACATAATTTAAAACATATTGTTACGCAACCCAATCTTTAAAAAATAAAATATGAAACTATTAATTGAATTGAATTGATCTTTCTAATTAGTTGCCACGGTGTGGTTCACTTCCTGTTGTATTTTGCAGTTTTCTGCCACTCGTGTCCCCGGGTAACTTCACTTCCTGCCTTGTCCCGTCATCCCCTGTGATCGTCTTAATAGTTTCCACCTGTGTCCAATCGCCTGCACCTCCCTTGTGTATTTAAGCCGTGTGTCTCTTGTGTCACTTGTTGCGTCATTGTCTATCGTCTGTTTTTCCCCCTGGTTCCTGTGCGATTTTGCGATTTTGACTATTAAAGTCTTTTGTTTTCCGCGAAGTCTGCATTTGAGTCCTGCCTCCTCCACCACGCCATCCTTGACAGAATGACGCGACCAAAGAAGGGCTCAGCAGACCCGCTGCCAGATTACGGACCTGAGTACTTGGAGTCCCTTCTGGCGGCGTAAGACCGATTTCATCTTCGGTCCCAGGGGCTATCAGCTCGCCTGCCTCGAGCTCCGGGATCTTATAAATCCCAAGAGGAGTCCTGGCCAGAGGAATCACCGACTTCCCGCTGGGCCGCCGCAGCGCTCTCCCGTTCCCGCTGGGCCGCCGCAGCGATCTCCCGTTCCCCGCTCCGAGACTCTCAGCCCCGACTCGGCCAGTCCCCGCTCCGAGACTCAGACTCCCTCCCTCCCATCCCATGGTCCTCTCCCACCGTCCCGTTGGTGATTTGAGGGCCGTCTGGGATCCGGCCCTTGAGGGGGGGGGCTATGGGGTGGGTTATGGGGGGGGCTGAGCCGCCGACTGCGGAGGTGTTCCGTGTCCCCGAGCCGACGGCGACTGCGGAGGTGTTCCGTGTCCCCGAGCTGGAGCCGCCGCCGACTACTGCGGACGTGTTCCGTGTCCCCGAGCTGCCGACGACGACCCCGGAGGTTTCCCGTGTCCCAGAGCCGCCGCCGCCGACCCCGGAGGTTTCCCGTGTCTCAGAGCCAGCCATTCCAGAGACGTTCCGTGCCCTGCAGTCGCCGCTCCGGAGCCGGCCAAATGATCGTCCGCCAGGCCGACCCCCGGAGGCTCCCAGGCCGTGTGCCTGTCCGCCAGGCCCACCCCCGGAGGCTCCCAGGCCGTCTGGCCGCCCGCCAGAGGCTCCCCGGTCGTCTGGCCGCCCGCCGGGCCGCCCGCCAGAGTTTCCCGGGTGGTCCGACCAACGTCTCGGGTTTCCCTCCCTCCCACCCCTTGTCCGCTCTAGTGTGAGCCGTCTGGAATTCGGCCCTTAAGGGGGGGGGTACTGTCACGGTGTGGTTCACTTCCTGTTGTATTTTGTAGTTTTCTGCCACTCGTGTCCCCGGGTAACTTCACTTCCTGCCTTGTCCCGTCATCCCCTGTGATCGTCTAATAGTTTCCACCTGTGTCCAATCACCTGCACCTCCCTTGTGTATTTAAGCCGTGTGTCACTTGTCGCGTCATTGTCTATCGTCGTGGATGTTCATAGTTTCATGCCTGCTGTTTTTCCCCCTGGTTCCTGTGCGATTTTGACTATTAAAGTCTTTTGTTTTTCGTGAAGTCTGCATTTGAGTCCTGCCTCCTCCACCACGCCATCCTTGACATTAGTACTCATTCTGGTGTACAGGAACACATCATTTCATTTACAAATAGCATAAAATAATTGAGTTCTTTCAAAAAAATGAATCAGACCAACTACTAAAACAGAATGAAATGAAAGGAAGGAAACTAAGCTGCTCAGTGTGAAAGAATCTGGTGGAGGAAGATTTATTGATGTGGGAAGACTGATGATGGCAAAAGACCAATCACACCGACACACACTGATCACCACACATTCACACATGGCATTTATTAAAAGAATATAAATTTTCCATCGGCTGAGGTTGTTAAAAAATAATCAAAAAATAATTATATTAAAAATATTTTTGTAAAAGTCAAAAACATTTCGAGTATACATATATATATATATATATATATATATAATTTAGAATACATGGTGTTATAAAAAGGGTTTTAAATGCATCATATTATCAGAAAAAAATAAATTGCAATGTGCTATTATGAACTTAATAAAATGTCTCATTGAAAGCCCTACTGTCTTTTTTGTCTGCTCTTTCTTTTGTTCATCTTTTTTGTGTAACTCATCGTCAGCATGTCACACATGATCTTTTCTTTTTCTTAACTACTAAAACAGAATGAAATGAAAGGAAGGAAACGAAGCTGCTCAGTGTGAAAGAATCTGGTGGAGGAAGATTTATCGATGTGGGAAGACTGATGATGCCAAAAGAAGACCAATCACACCGACACACCCTGATCACCACACATTTACCTATGTGCTTTTCTCCTTGCGTGCCCTTCATGTGGGTTTTCTGGAACATTGTGACAGGTCGTTTGTTATAAATCACCTGATGCTCTCAGGTTCAAGGCCACCAGGACAGAATGCTGAGGAACCAGTTCAATAGAATCCAGGTTTACCTCCGTAACCCCACGTCTCTGCTCTGACCATGTCAAAGTTACATCAGTCTTCCGGGTGTGAAGAGAAGCAGCAGTATAAAGGACGGAGACGGAGACACAGCAGGCACATCTTCCTGAGAGACTTCACTGATCTCCATCTTCAGAGCTCCGTCTCCCTGCTGCTCCACCCGACCTCCACAAGGTAAGAGCAGCTGCATCCTCTTCCTCTCTGCCCGACTTCATATCGACCAAATGCTCATCGCTGTTATTATTTAGGATCTTTTAATTCCTTGATTCTGCACCAAATGTTCCGTGGTTTAGCTCCACCCGTGTGGAGTAAACTCCAGTCAGTATGATCTCAGAAGCTTTGAGTGTTCCTCTCCAAATAGAAGGAACCCTTCAGCACCAGTAATACTTTGTGTTTCCTCATCCCGTCCTGGGCCTCATCTAACAGCTCACATGGAGCCTTTTGTACTCGTACTAACTCGGTGAAGGAGCTTCCCTCTAAGGAGTCCACTCAGGCTCCATGTGGTGGCTTTAGAGACAACAAGGAGCCTTTTGAGAAGCAGGATCCTCCACACTGTCCCTCACACTGTGTGCATGGAGGGACTAAAGAGTGTTTCTCCTGTCTCTACATGAAGAGTCTCTCCACCTGTTCCTGCCTCTTCTCCACCATGAAGACAGGTGCTCTGCTTCTCCTGCTGGCAGGTGAGCAGCCGTTGGAAGTGGACTTTACAACCTTTATCTTAACGACTTCCATTCCAGTCCATTTCAGAGTAAACTGATCTTTGCAGACTGAAGTGAGTGAGGAGAGAAGCGTATTAATTCACATGTGATGTTCTTTCACATTCCCGCTGTAGTTGCTGCCAGCCAGGTGGACGTCTCCATGTCTCAATCAGTAACATTTGATCTTTCTGATGGAGTGGTGAACATCAGCTTGTGTCCCATCACCTTCTATGGACGCTCATTCTCATGGGTGGACGTGAGTAAAACTAAAGCCTCTTACTGCTGTTATCTAACAGACATTCCTTTACCTACAACATTCGGTTATTACATCTCATTACATTCTGGACTATAACATAGAAATAGTAAAACACATTTGCCTGTAGTGGAGTACTGTAGCATCCCCTGAATCATGATCTGGAGTCTTAAACTGATGATTTTTTAATGAACGCCGTAAGAACTAAGAGGAAAATAAATATAAACACTGATTAGCATCTTACACAGAACAAAAAAACCCGTCAACAATATTTTACAAACTTGAACAGATACTAACCTTGTGCCCATGTCACCGGGTGCTAAACTAATAAAAGGTAACCCTTTCCGTTCTTTAATAATTGTTTCCCGTCCTTTTCCGTCTTTTTAACATATTTTTGTTCTGCTCCCGCTCCTAACCGCTTACTTCCGGTATTCCAACCGTCAAAATAAAAGCGCAACCGGAAATACGCCACTTGCAGTCACAAAATATCCAAAATAAAACACCAAAAAGTAACAATATAATAAAACGATCCACCATCTCAGATGTCCTTTACAAGTATTACTACAAAGTATCTGACAATACTGTACAAGGAGCTGAAAGGTGAGAACAGGATCTCACCTGCATCTCATTCCCTCATCCAGCTGTTCCTCTGTTTTTAGTCATGTGTCTCATTTGAGCTTCATCATTGTGAATATTACAGCTGGCTCCCTTTAGTTATTGTTTTTTTTCGTTGTTGACCACTTGTCACATGACACAGGTCACATGACACCGCTCGTCATCACACTTGTGACCCTGATGAGGATGTGCAGTTGTTTAAAGAATCAGATGTTTATTTGTAATAAAACAGTCTGTTGTGTGATTAATATCAAATAAAGAAGTGATTATTAAACAGAGTATTATTATCAGGCTCTAAAGAGTAAAAGACTCTTGTGTGAAATTATCATAGAAAAACACAATGAGCATCATTCATCATTCAGAGCTTATTAACCGTTGATCTACTGGTCTTCATCTCCTCACATTTCTCTTTGCTTGTGTCAACAAGTGTCACCCAGAAACCTCCAGATGAACAACCGGTTCACTGAGGACTTCATTTGTTTCTTCTTCTAACGGTTCATCATGTTTCTCTATATGATGCTTTAACAGATGAACCTGTCTCTGTGTCTTCAGGTGAGGGTGAAGGATTTTTTGGTAATTTGTTTCATGGACGGCGCCAACGATCCACCTCAAGACTGTCTGACGCTGAATCAAGCGTTTGGATCAGAAGAGGTTTTTGTGACGCTGTCATCAGCTGCAACAGATGCATCTTCTGTAAATCTGCGCAACATAAAGGGGTCATCAAAATGCTCTTTGGCACTTGTTTTCGTAGAAGATTCCACCATAGAGGTGAGTCATCTCCATGTTTTACTCTGATAGTATTTTCTAAGCTTGAACATTTTCATACTTCGTTTGATGAGAGAACGTGGAGGTTAAAAAGAGAAATTAAGGTTAAGTTCTGAAACGTTTTGGAGACGTTTGCTCATATTCTGTTTCTTCTCTTTGTTCAGGTTGAGTTAGCTTTCCTCAGCTTTGGACCACAAACAGCTTTGTTAGTATTTCTTCAGACTGCACTTGACTCAGATCTTGTAAGTATATACCAGCTGTACCTTTGTCACCACGGCAACATCTGACCTCAAACCAATGGTCCCTAGCAGGGGAAGCTGAAGCTGATCTTCAGCCAGAAGAGTCGATCCGGCGGTTCCTTCATGTTTTAGTTCCGTTGAGACTGAAGAGTCCTCAAAGACTCTTCTAACCATCTGGAGTTCAAACATTTGATTCTTTTCCTCTTCAAACGAAGGCTGTCAGAAATCTACTCAGTTTGTACAAACTTGTGAATGTTCTGATCGGTTTTACTGAAACGTATTAAGGTATTCGCTTGTGTTTAACTGAAACGTCTTCTAGCTACTTGTGAATTGTTAAAACGTATTTTCTATTTTTTTGAATGTATTAGTATTTCATTAGAGGGACAAACTGGGTCACTATGAGCACAGCTTATTAGAATAATGATCTTTAGTAGTTCTTGTGGAGGTCAAAGGTTGACTTCTGGTCATGTGATGCTGAGGTCCATGTTCTAGACTGGTCCCTCAGTCACGCAATTTAACCTTGACGTGTGTCTAACGTCCTTCTAGTTGCTGACTGCGAAGGTCGGGACCCTGACTGTGGATTCTCGGACCATTGGTGCCGATGAATTGTTTAACGGATATTTTACGGATGTGAGCTCCTGCAGGCACTCAGGTGAGCCAATCAGGTCTCCATATAAAGGGAGGGGGGCTCTTCAGAGCTCCTCTGATAAATGTGATCTCTTAACATGTCAGTTATTTCTGTCTCTTAAAGCTCGTATCAAACTCCATCTCAAACCTCCTGTCCCCTCCCAGGTGTCCCTTTACGATACGGTGAGAAGATATCGGACCCAGAGAACTGTTCCACTTTACTCTGTAGTACGTCTGCAGTTCTCAGTTCTGTCAGTTCATGTGAACCCGGAGACGTTTGCCTCGGCAACAACACGTAAATATGTTCTTTTTATATTTGTATGAAGTGTGAATGAAGGGTTGACTGATTTAAATGAAGTGCTCCACGTGGACTGAAAGACACCTGAAGCCTCTCAGACTTTGTGGAGGAGATGAAGACGTCCTGGTTAAATTGTCTCTCTGTCTTTGTCTTTGACGGTTCAACCTGTGTCTCTGCATCTCCATCAGGTGTAAACCCCCCCCCTCTGTGTGCACTGTGACTGGCTCCACCCTCATCGACTTCCACGGCGAGGTCCACTCGGTGGAGGATCGCTGTGAATACGCTCTGATGAAGCCTCAAGAAGGACCTGGTGTGCAACTCATCGGCGGGTTCCGTGAGCGACGCCGTACAGATGTGTCCTTCTTGGACTACTTGACAATAGGTCAGACAGCTGGAGACATTCACCTGGAACAAGGTGGAAGAGTCCGGGTGAGCTGCTACGATCCATCTGAACACCGTGTGTTCATGGGGGGTGATCAGTGTATTATCTCAGAATCTATTTCTGATCATATTTACTTCTATGGAACCAGGTTAAAGTTCCCTCATTAGATTCCACAGCTTTCAGGGGTCAGACACTGACTTCTTCTCACTGGATCCATAGTAACTCATCATGTTTAATTGGATCCCATAATCTCCATCTGAAGTAACTGGTTATGAAAGCTGTCACGTGGTCCTGACTTCAGCCCCTCTCATATGCAGAGAGAATATTAGATGGGACCTTTAAGCCTGTGGTTCCTTCATGCTTCCTCTCTGCTGGGATGTAGGTCGGTGACCAGATCCTGGATCTCAACACCACGGCTCAGCTGGTCCACGGCGTGGAGCTCTCCAAGGACCAGACTGGAGTGACCGCCAAGCTGCCCTCCTCCAAGATGACGGTCGTGTTTGATGGCAACACGGCACACGTGTCAGGTACAGGACCCTCAATCTGGACCCAGTGTCAGAATAAATCTGTGCTTGTTAGAGTCAAAGGTCATTGGTTTGCCTCCAATTGTCTCCTGATATCAAACAGGACCAAAGGTCTCCTTAGAGGGTTTGTGTGGTAACCCCACTGATGAAAGCTGGACCACCACCTTGGATGCTGAACGGATCTCCTCGGCTGGGTACGTACAGTCTTAACTTGATGCGCTGACTGATGGTCCTTCTTATTGGCTGATGTGGTGTCTGGATCTCGTGTGACGGGCTGCTTGTCCCCCCCCTAGCTGCGACACTCTGCACACCGACACCACCGACAGTTCCATCACCTGCAGCCGCTCAGCTGACCGGTAAGAAGTGACCCTTCTAACCAGCAGACCCCCCTTCAGACAGCATGGAGTCCTCTGCATGGTACCTTTCTATGTGCCACCACGCTGTCATGTGACCAGGGAGGGTTTCATGGGACTGTCCTCTGGTTCCTCCTCTCTGCATGGCTGGATCAGCTGTGAGCTCCTGAATCAGCCCCCCTTCGATGCTTGTCACCAACACGTGGACACGGACTCCTACGTGGCCGCCTGCAACAACTCTTTGTGCAACTACCCGGCGGTGGACGGTCTCGACTGCCAGTTTCTGGAGGCCTACGCCGAGTCCTGCAGCCTGAGAGACATCCCACTGGGCGACTGGAGGTCAACGGTCCAATGCCGTAAGATGCTCCTCCACTTTCTGCTGCTTGGTGGAGGTTTAGCTCCTTCAGTTACACGTTTGAGGCTTCTTCCTTTTAATAACAATAATAATAAAATGGTACTTCTGTAGATGAGTACTCAAAGATACCTCAAGTACAACTAATGTATATGCAAAGTATTCTTTACATTTAGATCTATTTGATCAGTAGTATTGTTAACTTGTGTATCATCTCTGTCTGAGAAGTAACAGTCTTTCTAGATAAATACTGCAGAATAAAAGTGAGGCGAGTACATGAAAGCAGCTTTACGAAGGTACCTGAAAATGTAGAACTGTTCCAGGAGCAGTGGAGTATTTGTGGAGACTACATCTTGGAGGATGTTATTTGCTGCTGTTTGGTCTGATCTGAGCTCATGTGTCCATGTGTCTGTGTAGCTGCTGTCCCTCGGCCCTCCTGTCTGGACCAGTACTGCAGTGAGCACGAGTTCTGTGGAGAGCGCCTCGGTGAAGCCAGCTGCTTCTGTCGCGCCTTGTTTGCCTCCAAGTTCAACCCGACCAACGCTTTAGGTACAGTCAAACATCACACGCTGCAGCAAGTGGAGGATTTAAAGTGGACGTGTCTCTACCTCTGTGATAGATAAAACTAGCTCTTATTAGTCCAACTCCTCCACTGCTGACCCCTCCCCACTGAGGTGTTGGTACTTTACGGGATTGTGCTGTTGGGCTTTCAGGCGAGCCGACAGTCTGCACGCAGAACTCTGCCACTGTGACTCTGGCCGGATGTCTGCTGCAGGACCGAGGCATCGACTCCTCCGCCCTCCACCTCATTGACCCCGACTGCAAAGGTCACGTGGACCAACGCACCCACATGGTGGAGTTCAGCTTCGACAGCAGCGACACCTGTGGGGCGGAGGTTTCGGTGGGTGCCCTCCTCTAGTTGGTTGCCCTCCTCTAGTTGGTCTCCTTCACCAAGTGTGTTGTTGCCATGAATGTGTGGCAGACTGTGTTTACACAACCAGCACACAAACAGGTGAACAAGTTACTCCCTCTGAGGTGACGGTGCCTCGTGTTCCCGTCTCAACATAGATGAACAACAGCCAAATCCTCTACAAGAACACCATCACGACGGGGAACGGCTCTCAGAACGGCGTCATCACCCGCCAAGACCAAGTCCAGATCGACTTCTCCTGCTTCTACGCAAAGCCAGACGTCCAGAGCCTGTCCTTCAGGATCAAAGACAGGTGAGTGGAGGACGGCTGAGCTCCACCTGCTCGTCAGCCTGCAGCCTGTTGTTGTTTGAGGAAGCTGAAGTTTGTGTGTGTGTGCGTGCGTATGCTCTGCAGCTCTGTGGTACTGCAGATCGTATCCGGAGCTTGGAACTACACTCTGACGATGGCCGCCTACACCGACGGCGGACTCCAGAACCGCGTGGAGTCGAGCACCGAGATCCAGCTGAACCAGAAGGTGTGGCTGCAGCTGAAGACGGAGGGGCTGGACGGCGACCTGGTCGCCATAGTGACCGACTCCTGCTGGGCCACCACCCAGCCGTCCACCGACAGCAGCCCGCGATACGACCTCGTCATCGCCGGGTGAGAAAGAACTCTTTGTCTGCGGCTTCAAGGATCCGCAGCAGGTGAACTCACCTGATTACCTGTTTCTGAGCAGATGCCCCAACAAGGCCGACCAGACGGTGATGGTGGAGGGAAACGGACTGGGAACCTCCAACGTCTTCTCTTTCAACGCGTTCGAGTTCTCTGGAGAAACATCTGCAATCTACCTGCACTGCAAAGTGGAGCTGTGCCCCAAAGAGGGCAAAAGCTGTGCTCCGGTAAGCAGGAGCAGAGAAGAGCCTGCTTCACCAACTAGTGATGCTCCTGTGTGGTTCCTCTCCTGGTGAAGGAGAGTTATCACTCATGCATTAATATGTCAGCAGCTCTGTTATAGTCGGCTGAGCCGAGTTCTTCACATCACGTTTGGCATAATTGAACCTGCTCACAGTCTCTCCCTCCTGAACAAATGTCTACTTTAACAACATGAGCAGACAAAGGGCTTCTGTAGTGTGGACCTCCGTGGAGCCCACACAGGCTGCAGTCTAACCCTGAACATGCTGCCTGTCCCACAGACCTGCCCTGGAAGCAGTAAGAGGAGGCGCAGATCCTCCAGGTCCAAGACTGCAGAGGGAAACCCAGCCCTCATCACTATGGCCTGGAGTAATTAAAGACCGCTCCCCTTCTGACCTTTGACCTGGTATGTATGACGTTCATTTGGATTGAATTCATAAATTACTACAGGAATGCCTCGAGCCTGAGCATCAGAACTACAGTAGTATTATATTATATTATCATATTATAAATCGTAACAACGTGCAGGTGTCTGCGGGTTATTGACATGTTTCTACTGTGACTCTTTAACTACAAGTTAAATGTTATTTCATCATCAACTAAAGTCCTCCACAAGCGAATAAATGATGTAAGTAAGTTGTGGGGGAAGCTCCAGAGGAAAGGTCAGAGGGTTCATCCTCTCAGGAGCAGGAATGTCATCTGACTCTTAGGTATTTCATAGTTGCCCTTCATCAGAGACAAAGTAGAAGTCATGACTCATCAGTGACGTCCGCTTGTCTTCTCAGCTGATTCCTCATTGAAGCTCCAACAACCAGCCTCGAACCTCACGACTCTTCAACAGATGTTTGGAGATGTTGCTGCTGTGAAACAATGCTGGCAGGTCTTCATTTGGTCACCTGGGATGAAGCATTTATTACTTCTTTATATATCCAATGATTCTTGCTAATTATTCTGAGATTTAGAAATGTATCATAATCTCTAGGGAAATAAATGATAGAAAATAGAATGAAAAACTAATCAAAGCGGGTTTTAAGGGTCTGGTACTTTAAATGTATATTGAATCACTTCTTTAAACGTGCAAAGTCTGAATGATACCTGATGGAAGCAGCAACAATTTGCAGAACAAGTGGAAGCAAAATACTGATGTGAATGTGAAGTTACTCTGAATTTTTCAGTGTCCGTGCAAACTGTGACTGTCCTTACACGAAGACACGCTGTTGTACTATTATATTACTACTATGAGCAAAAGGAAACATAAAAAATATAATAAAGGGAGTGGGAAAACCAACATGTGTCAATGATTATTTAATCTTTTGTTCTTAAACTTTGTTGCCTCTAAATCCAAAGTTATCAATGTAAATATTACATTGGAAGCATTGGTAACATCCAGATGGTTAGAACTGTGTAGCTGAAACCAGTCAGCCATAATGTGCATTATCCATCCATCCATCCATCCATCATCAAACCGCTTATCCTGCACACAGGGTGGGGGTGGGGGGGCGCTGGAGTCCATCCCCGCCAACTTCGGGCGATATAATGTGCATCATACAACATTTAATTATGGAATTGTTGTAATTCGTTTAGTTTGGACTGATGTTCCCTGATCAAAAGTTTCACTATGAATGAACCCACTTTTATTAAAGTGAATCCAAAAAGTCCCTTGGAGTTTGTGAAGGAATAGCAATGAATATTCAAATCAAAGCATTTTATTCCCAATAAAATCATATCATGTGACATGTTATAATTGATGCTCTTTAATAATGTGATGGAGGATTGAATAAATCTTCCATCAAACTATTAAATATCCATTGACCAGGTGGAAGTGATATGGTTACACTACACATAAAGATACTTCCGAGATGGGCCATGGCGCTGTAATGACGTCACTATTTAGCTCAGGTTGACGGGCGTCACTGATGACGCGTCCAAGATGGCCGACAAGCACCTGAGCTGTAACTTCCGCTGCCCGACTGTTCCTGAAGCTGCTCCGTAAAGACGAATAGAGAACAGAGTTAGATGACCGAAGTGAGACTGACTGGTGAGTTATGATGTGGACTGGTGAAAATAACAACAAAACCACCACAAACGAACACATATAAACACTTGTCGCGGCGTCCATTGCTAAGTGAGCTAACATTAGCTTACGGCTAACTTGTGCTAACGTCTGTGCGCTCGGTTCTTTCGCTGATTGAATAAACAAACCATGTAGTGGTCAAATTAGTGATGTTGTACTTTATATTCACATGTGGTGCTAATTTCCTGTTATTTCATCGAATTATAAACTGGTTGGATTTCTATGGTTAAAAGATCTAAACGGAATCATGGGGATGCAACACAAGTCGGTGAACTCTGCACCTGCAGAAAGTCTCTCCACCACGCAACATTACAGCGCATTTAAATAATTCGTCTTCTTTATTGAGTCTCAGAGAAAATACGGTGTTTTTGCATTTGAATGATGCTGCGACTTTAAAGTGTTTATTTTTTCTTTCTGATTCCTCCAGAAAATGTTGGAGGAGCAGCTGGAGAATGACAAGGCTCAAGACAAGCGGAGGATGGAGGACAAAATTAACAAGAGTACGGAAACCTAAGTGAATCGAAAGTATCGACGATGATTGTTTTCTGATTTTTATTTACACTAGAATGGTTCAAAGTTACACCAGAGGAGTTACACCATACATATAATTACAGTATGGGGCCTCGTGAAAACTTGACGTAAAGGACCTAAAATGTAATTGAACGTGGTCACTTTTAACTCGTTGTCATCGTGTATATCGACACATCGTAATGACATGATCGGATTGTTGGTGTAAGATCCAATATCCCTACCTGTGCGTTGGGTAGTACAAGGTTTTGATCGGTCTTCCATGAAAGCTGATGTAAGTCTCTTTTGAAATAGGAATCCGAGCCTCTTGAAGCTTGTGTCTAAAAGTTTCCTGTTTTTTGTGCAGACTGCTGAATGATCAGAGACGCTTGAAGGTCCTGGATGAGACGAGAACGGGAGCACGGAGCAAAACATTTGGTGAGTGTCAACTAAATTCTTACTAGTAGCTGTTAAAGTGGTAGCAGAAACATTTTAATGAATGTGTAAGTTGGAGTTCTTGTATTTTTGTGATAGTGTAGCAAAAAAAGTTAAGTATAGTGTGACATAAAGAAAACATATTAAATTATCTAATAAAACTTTTTTTAGAAACGTTACAATATGGTATTTCATTAAAAAAAGATTGATGACGATGATATATATACATATATATATATATATATATGAGTAATCAGGATTAGAAATAATATAGTATGTCACAAAAGTTATTAAAATGGACACATTTTTGAATACGTCATGGAAAAACAAATTGCATTTTGTGCTAATTAAATTAATTGAAGAGTATGTCTCAAGTAAAAAAAAACAACAACTTGTACTTAATGTAGTATTCATTCAAGAGTGTGAATTTGATGCATTTTCTAGTGTTGTGCTTCTCTTGAGGGCGCAGTTTCCAGCCGTGAGGACGACGGGTTTCTTCCTCTGCGGTTACTCTGACAGTGGCGGTGGTTTGACTTTTTTTTAATGTTCTATGCAGCTGAATTTGAATAAAGAAAAATTTTATATAACCTCCTGCGTGTGTCTCATTGAAAGCCCGGGAGGAGACAGACGTCTCTACTCTACCGAGGCGACGCACACTGATGTCCTCACTGCAGTGGGGATTGAACCCGGGTCTGACGCCACCCAAACCGGGGACAGCGTAACCACGCCACCATGTCATTCACCCTCACACGTGTTCCTTTGTTGAATTTGACTTCTTTGAGAGGCTGAACAGCCTAAAAAATCACCGCCTCCCAAAAGACTAGAACCCATAACCTCACGTCTACCTTCTCCTGGAGCTATCTGCTGTGCCGCTGGGCACCGCTTCATTGCGTACTTGTCTTCTTCACTTTGGGTGTTGGATCTTAAAAGTCACCACAGCACATAAGGAATGAACCCACAACCTCCTGCACATTACGTGTTCTCTTATCTCTGGGAGCTAACTGATCTGACGCTTCTGGTTTCATTCTATACTTGTCTCCTTTCTCTGGGCCCTGAACCCATAACTTCTGAACTCCAAACTAGTAATTGATCACTCTGAGCTACCAAATTTGTTCCAGCTAACAGTGTTTTAGAACATATTGTAAATCTACCTTACAATCTACCATCTCAGGACTTGTGAGCAGGCTGCTAACTGACTGAGCTATTTGTTCATACCGCCTTCATGTAGCTCTAACACATAAAACCTCTGACATGAACACACTTTCAAGTATCTTCTGAAGTCTGACACACGGCACCCTAAGGAGAAAGGATCAAATCGCAAATGTGGCTCAGGAAGGTCCGCTTTGATTCCATTAGAGACACCAGAACTCAAGATGATTCACAAAGTGCACTCTTTGTTTATTGTTTAACTTGAAACGTGCAGAACAACGTCTCCTTCTTCAGGAGGTTGTGGGTTCATTCCTTATGTGCTGTGGTGACTTATAAGATCCAACACCCAAAGTGAAGAAGACAAGTACGCAATGAAGCGGTGCCCAGCGGCACAGCAGATAGCTCCAGGAGAAGATGACTGCTTGGTAGACGTGAGGTTATGGGTTCTAGTCTTTTGGGAGGCGGTGATTTTTGAGGCTGTTCAGCCTCTCAAAGAAGTCAAATTCAACAAAGGAACACGTGTGAGGGTGAATGACATGGTGGCGTGGTTACGCTGTCCCCGGTTTGGGTGGCGTCAGACCCGGGTTCAATCCCCACTGCAGTGAGGACATCAGTGTGCGTCGCCTCGGTAGAGTAGAGACGTCTGTCTCCTCCCGGGCTTTCAATGAGACACACGCAGGAGGTTATATAAAATTTTTCTTTATTCAAATTCAGCTGCACAGCACATAAAAAAAGTCGAACCACGGTCAGAGTAACCGCAGAGGAAGAAACCCGTCGTCCTCAGGGCTGGAAACTGCGCCCTCGTGTGGAGAGAAAAGAAGAGAAGCACATTAGAAAATACAACTAGTTGTCAAAGTTCTGATGACTGAACACAAACTACATATCAAATTATATTATGACTGATCAAAAGCATGTTAAATAAACAATCTATTAAACTTTACATGGAGCTTTTAGGACTATTAATGACATATTAGAACATTTGGCATACTATACTATTTTCTTTACTTCAGACTTGAGACATACTATATAACTAGTTAGCACACTATGCACTTATTTTTGTATAACATACAAGTACGTCATATTATGACGTACTTAACCTTTTTATAGCATACTGTATTCTAATTTCTATATATTCTATATATATATACTCTAAACAACACGCTATCATATTTGATTACTTTTTAATGACATCATACGATATATACATTTAATGACACTCTACATTGAGATGTTTCTAAACCAAATGTGTTATTACATAATGTACTATGATGTTTGTATGGTTTACTACACAATCATATATTTGTATACTTATTTATGACACACCATAACTTGACTTTAAGACTTATACAGATACAATATATGATATTTTAAATACTTTTTATGAAACATTGTATGATTTATTATGACATGTTATGATTTTGTTACCATAGACTATAACAATTAGCTACATTCCTATGACATAATATACTATAATATTCTTTTGAATTTTTATGACATAATATCAGATTTTTAACAGCAGTATATACAGCAGTAAATATACTACGATGTTATGGCATAATATAATATTTTTTACTATGACTTTTTTACGACATACTATGCTGTCTTTTAGGATGTTTGTACACGCTTTTTATACTATGATAGTTTCCTAGACTTATTTAAGATGTATTATATTTTGTACCAATGATGACCAATGATTTTATAACTTTAAAGTTCTTACTAATACTATCATTGTTATCACGCGATATAAATTACTGTTCTTTTTTTAATATTTGAGGACCTATCGCACAACCTTTTTAGATCTTTTTTTAGGACCACAGCAAATAAAGCTGACAAGATAATTAAAACGTTCCTGCTACCACTTTAATAGCTACTAGTAATTATTTAGTTGACACTCACCAAATGTTTGCTCCTTGCTCCCGTTCTCGTCTCCTCCAGGACCTTCAAGTGTCTCTAAACATTCAGCAGTCTGCACAGAAAACAGGAGACATTTAGACACAAGCTTCAAGAGGCTCGGATTCCAAGACTTTCAGTTGTGCAGAGTGCGAAAAGTGGTCGGTGGCAGGTTCCTTTTTCAGAACGGCACAAGCCGATCGCAGTTGGGTATTTAGCGACATGCAAATTCCACGCAACGTTAAAATTATCTTCATGACCAGGCAGGTGCACAGACATTTTGGGAGGCAAGTGCTCAAACCAAAACAAAAGGGCATCCATAGCCAAAATGATTGAAATTAAATGTGAAATTAAAAGTATAAATAATCAAATAAATAAGCACAGTAGGATATATTTCCTGTCCTTCTGCTTTTGGTGTCTTTCTTTTCTTGGCGTTGTGCTGCAAATTTTGTAAATGAGATAAATCAATGTTGTTAAATATTGATGAATGAAGAAAAAGTTGGGCTCCAGCAGAAGGGGCACTTTTCTCATCCAGGGCAAAAGGGCAGGTGGTTGAGCATGACTAGGGGTCTATCTGTCCACGTGCCTGTTCACGACCATGGGTTTGCCGTACATGTTTATTTCTAACTTTATTGACAATCTAGCAAAACAACTTGCGAGTAGCGCAGCGTCTTAAACAAAGTGATGTGTGTCTTAATGAAATGAACACAAAGGGATTCTGTATTTGCTCATGAAGCCTAAAACGGATCATTTGGCCAAAGTTTTGATAACCAACGTTTTATTTGTTTAAGTTATACAGAATGCGCGGTCGATACATATGTCCCAATATTGTTTTAGCGTTGCCATGCCTCTCTGCATATCGCCATGTTCCTACAATATGAAAGGAAGGTGGCGATAGATCACGTGACCTGCCAATAGGAAATGCATCTCTTTAAGGATGGATAGAAACGCCAACTCCAAATGAGGTAAAACGTGTATTGTTTGAAATAAATGGAAAGATATAACTAACAATCAGTTCAAAATTTGATGATAAAACATGAACTTAGCACCAATGTGAATACAAAGTACAACATCACATGGCAAGATAGTCCGCCAACATATCCATCCTCCTGTTGGTTGTCACGTTTAACAACAACTGATTGACACTAACAATCGAATAACTAGAACCAAAGACAAATAGTACGCTGTGTTCCAAACACAAATCGTGTCTCTTATGAATCAGGTTCATTTCACCACTAGATAGTTTGTTTATTCAAACAGCGAAAGAAAAGGCAACAGACGTTAGCACGAGTTAGCCGTAAGCTAATCTTACCCCACTTAGCGATGGACGCCGCGACAAGCGTTTATATTTATTTATTTTGTGTTGTTGTTGTTTTCACTGTTCAGCCCCCGGTTGACACCATAACTCACCAGCAGCGTTCGCCGTCAGTCTCGTTTCTCGCATCGGCTCCTCCATCGTCTTTGCGGAGCAGCAGCTGCGGTGCTTGTCGGCCATCTTGGACGCGTCATCAGTGCCGCTCGTCAACCTGCGCTAAATAGTGACGTCATCACAGCACCAGGGGCCCAATGGGGAAACACCTTCACGTAAAATGTACCGATGGTCAATTTGTATGTATTAGTTTGATGGGAGATTTATTCTATCCTCCATCACATTATTAAACAGCAAAAGGTATAACATGTCACATGATATGATGTAATTGGGAATAATATCCTGTGAGAATATTTATTGTGTGTCGATCACGTCTTATTATTTAATTATATATAAGTATGCATGTTTATGAGTATGAGTATGAACAATGTCCCTCATTATCTTCTTTAAACTACTGACAATAATTTCATTATCATAGGGAATAACCATTAAGTGTGACGTCATTGAAGGCATTCATAACGCCATTTTAACTGTTAACTGTTACTGACTCGTCGATGGCTAGAAACGGACTATATTTACCCATTAATCCTGGATGGAATAATCTACTAAAACCTAATTTATTTTCATTTTTGTTGAAACTGGACAATATAGAGTCACAAATTAAAATACCACACTACATCCACAAACATGACCTCTTTGTTTAGCTTCAAGTTACTATCATGTATTCTGGAGCAACCAAATAAAAATATAAAGTATCTAATTATGTCATTGGAGATTATATATTGAAGATTTCTTTGCAATTTCTAATCCACTGGTTGTGTTGTTGTACATTCAAGAAAGCGCTGTCAGTGACATCACCCATAAATACCACCGTATACTGCATGGGAACTAAGGGCTTCATCCTAAGGCCAACATTAACCCCCATTCGGAAGAACGGAGGCAGAGGAGATCTTTGTAGGACCGGTGAGAGTTCACTGACTTGTCGTCACGTCCAGTAAATGTGGATTTTTGCAGTCTAGGGTTGATTTATCAGGCAGCCGGTTGTAGGAGAGATGAGTGTTTTAAATACTCAGAATGCTCTTCACGGTTTTTATTTGGATAATTCCAGTTTATATTATTTTACACCTTGAATTTTTGTGGCCTGAGATGTTGCAGCAACGTCGCTGAAGCCAAATCAATGTCGACCACAGCAGCTTTGTTTATCATAATCTGGACCTGTATTTTACGCCATTCAACAATTCCACCACAAGAAAAGTTAACCAACTAAATATTTAAGTATATACGTATATACTGAGAAAAAATATATATCAAGAAGCTTGATTTTACATCCTGGAATATGTCAACTCTTCTACATTTCTTATTCCGTCATTTAGTCATGATAGAATGTGATTAATTTAACTGAATGCAAAAATTTGATTTAACTGTAAAATCTGGATTCTGAAAATAAAGTGTAAATTCATATGAAATATTAGTTGTCATCAAACTTAACTGCACAATCATTTAAATTTGAACTATGTACATATTCTATTTACAAATAATACATGTTCTATGTTAGTGCTGTACATCTACCGCATTAGGAAATGAAAAACACAGTTGAGTTGATTTTAGACACACACTTGCATCTCTACGTAAAAAAAACAAAGTCAAACCTGACTTTTCCATTAATTTGATGACGACATGCAAATATTCACAGTCTTCAAAATCCGAGAGAAGAAACTACATGAATCCGACTTTTTGCATCTTGTCAAACTCCTGCGTCCTTTGCCTGAAAGTTTCAATGGCCTGAATGTTTCCTCGTCCGCCGCTAGAGGGCAGTACTCATCCACTTACTCCACAGTTCCATTTGCATGGACGCTTCTTGGCTTCCCCATATTTTACAATAGCTTCGACTCTCGGTCGAGTCTGCAGATGCTCCATCCGCTGCACTGAAGTTCCTCGGGTCTAAAGCGGCACTTCACCGAATCCGTCCGTCCGGCACGGCGAGATGCTGCCGAACTCAGACTCTAATGATGCTGACGGAGGAGGAGGCTCTGTGCAGCTAAAGGAGAGAGAGACGAGCACATGCGTCACAAACAGAGAGGGCCACATGTATGAACATGACTCATAAACCTCAGGAGGGAAATGTGTGGGCCTTATTCATTTATTAAAGATTTATCAGCTGATCGATTAAAATCGCACTCCCTTGATTTGTATTCAGACTGGAAAATAAGAAAGGATTCTTAGTTTGGGCAGGATGATGTGGCATTTCTTGTTGTCAGGGCACACAGACATTAAATTAAATTTGGCAAATCTAGTTCTGTTGTTTTGCACATGTCTTTTCCTTTTTAAGGTATTCTTGCTCAAAATCGGACTTTGTACAAAGCATTTGATGTAATTAATCAATGCCTAGTTTAAGCTCAAACTTAACCCTAACTTTACAATGAATAAAAAATAAAAATAAAATGACATTGAGATATATAGAAATCATAAAGGGAATCATAAAAACTAATTTTCTTCCCATCTTCGAGCCACTTAAGGGGAAAAATACAGACATTAAACGGTTAATTATCTCTTGTCTCCTGCAGCTCATTAGAGCTGCAGTGATTAAAAGATGAGGATGAAGGGACAATTAGTCAGCAGTAAGTGATTCATCGTTTAAGTAATGGATTATATTTGGTTATTAAACCTCACTAAGTTTTGCAACGTATACAGTTCAGGTACATTAAAACAATTACATTGTTTAATCTGTGTCATCTGCATATATACAAGTAAAATATAACATGACAATGGACAATAATTCTTTTAAAATGTGCAATTTGTAACTTTAGGCTTCAACTTGGTGCCACTGATTGGATCCAGAGCAGCGACCCAAACCAGCGCTCTCGGTTCCCAGTTTTATATTTAGCCATCATGGCAGCAGCGCTGGTTGCTAGGAGATCTTTGATGGAACTACGGAGGCTTTTCGGGGGGGCAAATAAATAAATAATAAGACTGCTCCCGGCAGCCTTCGAAGGCTTGTGTACTGAACAGCGGGGCCGCAACAAGATGAAGGCTCGGGAGGATAATGAACCAGTCGCCCTGCTGCTGCGTACATCTCCGTCGTGGCAGAGCGGCGAGCTGCCGGCTGAGGCGGTGTAGTGGGGGGGGGCGGCTCGGACCAGCGGCCTCTTGGCTTTCTCCTTGCAGCTGCTGGAGTCGTTGTCTTTGATGATGTCATACTGTCGACAGAAGAGGGCGATGACGGCTGGGGGGGGGGGTGGAGGGGAAGGGGGGGGGCGGGGGGGGGGTGAAGATGTGAAGGGCAGGACAAGGTGAAAAGAATCTATAACAGCAGCACTTCAGAACACTTGGGGACAATTCATCGATTGAGATGACGATCAGCACATTAACCCATTATGAGAATAGTTGAGCTCCACTTCGACCGGTCACATCAGTGAGATCCAGCTTTCACGTGGCTTCAAAGTAATGATGATACTTCCTCCACACATGATGACAACACACACACACACACATCTGGGCTGACCTGCCCACAGCAGCAGCACGGTGGTGATGATGAGGAGCTCTCCGGTCTGTAGGTGAGGAGTCATGTCCAAACCTTCCATCGCCGGCTCATCTGAGCGCAAATAAAGACGACTTCATTCATTTTCCTTTCATCTTTTTCAATGAGCAAACAAAAGAAAGTGCTTGGATGTAAATGTGAGGCACAGAACGCGCACATTTTTATAAATAAAAAGGATGAAAATGTTCGTATACAGACGTCATTAAATACGAAAGAACCAATCACGTGTGAAGGAAGTGGTGCAAATAAAAAACACGACAAGCAGTTCATGTGAGAAAATGCTTGCCCGGTTTCCAGTCTTCATGCTAAGCTAACTGACCGTAGCTACAGCGAGAGGGCCAATGAGCTTCAGCTTCTCACCTGGTGTCAAGAGGAGGATTGAAATACTTTAGTAGTCTTTTTAGTCTTGTAGAGATTGATGAGGGTGCAGTTTTTAAGTGATTTAACTTCATTTTCCACTTAAGAGAAAACTTTCTTTGAAAATGAAATAAGAAGTGAAACATCTGTCTGTAGGTGTGTGTGTGTTTATTTACGGTGGTCCAGGACTCCGGCTGGATAATGATCACTCCTCTCCAGAGTCCTGAAGTGGACGGCGCGGCTCGGCGGGCTGTCACCATGCGGCCCGACGGACTGGACCTAACCCCCCCCCCCAAAGAAAGAGACGGTTCCTTCAGCACTGCTCATACATTTAAGGAGCGTAGTCGGAGGGCGGTTAGTTGGGTGTCGTTGGAGGACGAGCAATGCTGCGTTTTAAAACCTTTTTCAAAAACCTTTTTAGACAGACAATATTACGAATTTTGGGGGCTTTTTTCAACATGCTATGACATTTCTTTTACTTTTTTTATATACCATGACTTTTTTATGCCATCAATTTTAAAATCTGTTTTTCAACATGCTATACCAAACTGTACTACCACTATATTTAACAAGCTATACTATTTTTTTTACATCTGATAACATAATAAAACCCTTGACTTAACATTAAAATATATCATTTATTTAATAAATTTAAATTCATAAAAAAGACGGCCAACCGTCCATTGGAAGAACAATTCATCATGAACTTGTTTTATCGTCCTTTCACCAGTGAGTTGCTCACTGACTCTTCTTCAGGACATCTAACTGAGTCTTTCTGAAGAGATGTGTGTGTGTGTGTGTGTACCTGGACGCTGTAGTGTGTGTCCTCGTCCAGGTCCCACAGCACACACCAGTGGCTGGACGTGTTCACCTCCCTGATGGAGCGCTGCATCAAGCCGTCCTGCCTCTGGAGACGACACACACACACACACACACACACACACACACACACACAAAGCACACGTAATAAAAAACATTATCATTATTTCCAGACAGACGGCATGAATCCAAATGACATCCACCGCCTGTGACGAGCCGCGTCGCTTCACCCGTATTCATGTAGTTGCTGTCCCACTGGGGATGATTATGTCTGAAGGCAAGGTGACACCGGCAATCATGAAGACACAGAAGGAGGCCTGGAGTTTCTTGTGCTTTTTGTACTCCATGGATAAACTTACTTAACCTGCAAAACATCTTTTATAGGATAGAGATGTGAGGGGAGGATTCAGAGACTGCAGGGTCCTCGCTGCTGCTCTTTATGACGCATCCCCCTTAATGCCTGCCAGTAATTCAATTTGACCTCTGCTCCATTAGTAGACAATTGATACATGCAGATTTTTTTGCACTTCCACCAACCCAGCATAACTCAAGCGTTCCTGTGCAAGACAACGTCTGCTCTTTAAATATTTTTGTCATGATCTGACTTGGCTCTTAAGGAGCAGCAGGAGCACCAGTCTTCGCCAGATCGTTTTGCCCTCCTAGTGGTAACTTGGCCAGCTCTCACCCGAGATTGATTTTCAAAAGGAAGAGTTTTTTTGTTGCACAGACCTTGTTTCAGTCTCGTCCCAGCCTGCCTCCCCGGAACCTGACGGATTCCCCGGCTTCCCCTCTTGCCCTCAAAGTAACCCCTGTGCCTGTCTGCCTCTCCAGCGTCTTCCCCGGCCACGGATCCCGAACTATTTAAATCCCTCTGCTGCCAAAATAAAATCTTTTTTTATCCTCGGAATCCTGCTTTTGAGTTCAACCTTCGTTCTTGCTATCACCCCATGACAACTTTACAAAGTAAATACAAAGAAAAAGTCTTTGTAGCGGCATATAAAAGATTTATTAAACAAATGACGACAAATGAATCTTCAGGCGTGGAGTTATTTAATCAAGTTCAGATAAGTGGAGCAGATTCCCTCGTGCTGCTTCTCCGTCACCAACAACCAAGAGAACGTGTGAAACAATGTCAGGAGACTGACACCAGATCAGTGCTTAAAAGCAGAATCCGGAAGATACGCATGATTGACAGCCACCTTTCACCATCACCCCCTGACTAACATCCTGCATGGAAACCTGCGCCTTCACCCCCCCCTCGGTGTTATTTGAGTAAGGAATTTACACGAGAGCTTCCCGAGGTTGTAGGCGGAGATGTTTTATCCTGTTTTCTTAGCAAATGCCACGAGGTTGATGGATTCTGAGTCAGAGGCCAGACGACTTAAAAGAAGAAGAGCGTCCTTGGCGTCGCCGCCACCAAGGACGCTCCTCCCGCGAGGCGAGTCCCAGCCAAACCATCTCCACTAATGGAGACGACTCCCACTCAGAGCCGAGCCAACGTCGGGTTCTCTTTCTGCCAACGTGTGGGCGGCACAAACGGACGAGAACGAACAGAGCCGAGTGAGTCAGACGAAAATGTGGCGATGTATGCGGAACGTTTCCCAGCCAGATGTACTTCAGCCGCGGAGAGAATGAAAGTAAGCTCGAGGTGGTTAATTACAGGCTGGGCGGTGATTCAAAACCAGTGGAAAACACTGACCGATCAAAGGGTACCAGACCACCAAAATAAGGAAAAAAACAGTAGTTAAAGACAGTTTAATATTTCTAAATCACCAATTCCGCTGAATATTTGTTCCAACTCTTCCTTGCTTGGATAGTTAGAAGGTTTCAGGTCTTTATTTGGTTTGTCATCACTACAAAAAAGAAACCCGACGTCAACCTGCAGTCGACCTGGACATTAACAAGTTCAAAGGTTATGACGTTATTGACTCTTTTACAGGAGGCGGCTCAAAGGTTCTGGCCTCATGAATTACGCCGTGTTTTAAGGAGACACGTTGCTCAGGATAAAAAGCGACGCATAATTCAACTGAGAGAAAGCAGTCTTCTCCCCGTGAGAGCGATACGCGTTGTCTGAGGGATCCGTTCACAAAAGACACGGCCTCCGTTTGTTTCCCTGCAAATGTAATCGGCCGCCAACGAGGAGAGAGCGAAGGGACAATCGGACGGGAGACAGATTGAATTATTCATTACTAATTACTTTGTCTAAGTCTATTGGTGAGCTCATTACCCCGTGTGGTAAAATGCCCCCCGCCCCACCCCACCCACCCACCCACCCACCCTATTCTGCTAAAGTGATGCTAAAAGGCCACCGTACCTGCTGTGAGATGGAGTAGCCGATCACGGTGTCTCCCTGAGAGAACGTTCCAGGTCACCGTGGCCGAGTGCGCCCTCAGCTGAGTCACCGACACGTTGACCGGGGCTGCTGGCACAGCTGTTAACACACACGCACACACGCACACACACGCACACGACATGAGTTTTTAAGGAGGGTCTTCGGCAGCTTTTAGAGCTTACACGTGGAGTTTGCAGAGAGTTGGTGTCCTGCTGCGGAGAAGAAAACTCCCCGTGCCAACGTCAGACCCATAAGGACAAAGATCCGCAGCTGTAACGGCCCCATCGCTTCCGGTTGAAGGCTCCAAACAGATGTTGCAGCTGCAAAAGATGGCAAATTAAATTCTGATTTTCGCAAAATGTCAAACTAACAATCTAGAAAAGACGTGGGTGGGTGAATGTTCAGATGTCCCCCTGTCTCCTCTCTCGCAAACAAACTACACTGAAAGTCCATCGTGTCTCCATCCGTGTCCTTGAGTGGGACGCTTGTGGGGATGGCTGCCCCATCTCCTCGCTCCCTGAAGATTAAAGTGTCCTGAGATGTGTGATCATGGGCACAAGCCCGCCCACACACACAGGTTCATGTTACTGGTCCTCTGGAGGACGGACGGGTAACACAAACTGCTCGCTGGGAGATTTAAATCATCAGTAGACGTTGTGACCTTTGCGGAGAGGAAGGGAGAGAGACGTCGTGTAAATATTAGCCAATAACATGCTATAACCTTTTTTTGTACCAGTTTGTCACGCGGAAATATTTAGTAGTTATGAGGGAAAAAAAGAGGGGAAAAAAGGGTTATTAACGGTTATGGATGGAAGACACATCTGTCTTCCATCCATAACCATAAAGTAAACAAATAAAGGAAGCAATAAAGACAGAAATGAAACTAAAAAGAAATAAAGAGACAAAGAAACACAGAAAACGTAAAATATTCAAAAGAAGAAATAAGGCAAGACAAAGAACTTGAAGATAAAGGGAAAGACAGAAAGGAGGAATGCGACCATATAAAATGGAATCAATAACAATAATAATAACATTAATAATGCTTTTTTGTGTCAGCGGCTATTGATCAGATCAACTCACACAACTTCATGCTACTGATCCATTTCTCTGGCTGCAGAAAGCAATTCAGTGTCAACCGGAAGCGAGTGTGTGTGTGTGTGTGTGTGTGTGTGTGTGTGTGTGTGTGTTCTTACAAGCAACACACACACACACACCATCAGAAGAAGAAGGCGCAGCTGCCCATTAGGGCGTCAAAGCTAAAAAAAAGAATGTTAAAACTCTGCGGTTTCACATTATGAGTGACGTCTGAAATCTGAACTCTCTTCACCTTTCCATGTTGGAATAAACAAAAAGGATGCAGCAGCTGTTTTTCACGGCACGTAAGGAGTGATGCACACGGCTGGGACACGCTTGTTGTTGCCATGGTTTCAGGCTCATGGGGTGGATGAACTCCTGAATCCGTCGAAACCGTCAAAACCAGAAACGACAACGAGGATACCGAAGACGAGGGTGCAGGAGGAAGCAGCACTGACGCCGGCTCTCCCCACATGCAGAATAAAGCATCCGATCCGGCTCGGCGGAGGATGACCGTGAATGTCAAGCTCATTTCAGGCTAACAAGCTAACCGCGGCTCATTATGCGAGCCCCCCCCCACCGCCGCTCCCTGCAGGCCACACCGCTCAAAGCCATCTATCATGCTTCCTGATACCGCTGTGCAAAATGATCAATACCCTGTGAAAGAGAGCAGGAATGTTTTCCTAAATTGTCTGTGATTTCCCACAATTCCCAGAAACCCAGAGGAAGGCACATGAACCTGTTGCACTCAGCAAGTGTAGGTGGAGGGAAATAAAGTGGGAGGATTGGGCTCCGTTTGTTGGCGATAAATTCCTCCGTACACGCTCATTGAAGGCGTGTGCTGAATGCCGGCCGCAGAAAGAGGTTCCTTGATCCCTTGAAACGGCTTTGAAACATGATGCTCGGAGCTCAATGTAAATATAAATACAAATAAAACACCCTCCACCTACACAAACATTCATCGGCACGTTCCCCCGTATGTGCCAGTGACATCTGAGACCCCCTCACCCCTCCTCCAACTCCCATCAAGTTACGGCCGCTAAATCAACAAGCGCTTTCATCTGCCTGCAAAGTGCACACACAGGGAATGTGACCTACCAGGAGAGGAGGAAAGGAGAGAGGAGGAGAGGACGCAGTCGGGAAGGCAGAGGAGGAGATGGAAATGATGGGAGGAAGAGCAGGATGAAAGACGACAGGAATATGACAGAACAATGGAGGGAGAGGGAGCAATTATCTCGGCACACATCCAGAGATTGCGAGGGCATTTTCAAGCTTTCGGTTTTTCAGAGACAGGATAGTGAAGGGCAAAGTGAGACGGATAGACGGAGCGGGAGGATGGGGATCAATGATGGAGGCAGTAGTAAGAGAAGGAGGGAAACAGGAGGAGATTTTTTAATGCTCAATAATTATTTTGTATACTATTTCAGGATTTAGCCACATTCCTACGATTGTGTTATTTTAAGTTTAATTTGTGATTCTTCCCTTAAATCAAGTGATCCGATATGAAATATTCCAAACGAAACCCCACATTACAGATCTAATCCACATGTTAAACTTTTGTTATAATGGATAATAAGGAGGTATTTGTATCCGCTAATTTTGAACAAACCTCTACAATATTTCCATTGAAACATTTAGGTCTTTATTTTCCACAAAACCATAAAACGTTTTCAAAGCTTTTTCAGGACTCCTGAATTGGACCACCATAACCTTAATTGACAGCTGAGGCATCAGTGATGTCTTAATAGGCATCATCTGTCGTCCACACACTGGTTTTGGTAAGAAGTCCAGCCGAAGACTCCCTTGTTCCCAAAAAATATTATGTAATATAATATACTTATTCTATGAGACATGTCATCCTCACATCCAGCTCTCGTTTCTATGCAGCTCCTAGCAACACAACACCGGCGGCGTCACCCACGGCGACTAAAACCACAACAACAACAACAACCACCACCCCCCCGGAACGTTGGTTGTTGTGACACGGTGCGACGTCTCTGACCGTAAATCACAGCCGGGATGCAGCTCGCTGATGGAAGCAGGCAGTCCAATCTGGCTAATGGCTGCGCTCCCCCCCTTCACCTCTAATGATGATGGGAGGCTGCGATGCAGAAACTACATGTGCATGCTGATTTAGATACGGCATGAACATGAGACACATGGCAAAGCTGCACGTCAGGGAGGTTAGGGTTCATTGGATCTGCAATACGAGCAGCAGGAGGCGACCCCCCCCCCCCCCCCCATGGCAAGAAAGAAGGTCTTTTGCATGCTCTCTCTCAGAGAAAGGCTCCTGTGGTGGGTTTGGGGCATTTCATGCTGCTTTCTCTCTGGGAAAATTGGACAACATTGGTTCTGAGAAGTGACTTCTTGTCTCATTCCCAGGTGTTTCTCTCCGCTGGATTATGCTGCTGATGCAGAATAATGTCCCCTTGAAGGATTTACAAAGCAACCCCATGTCCATCTGTGACGATCAACTAAAGTTTCTTTGAGTTGCTACATCTCAACTTCAATGCGAACAGTAAGAGGAGACAACGTTTTGCAGACTCGACAATGATTCTTGACTCTCTGGATGAATATTGTTCACGTAGAAAGCTGATGCACAACAAAACACCGCAAAGATCACAGCACAGACAACTATGGTACCATTTCTACCAAAGAAGGAAAAGGAAGTTTTTCATAGAGAAAAGCAGCAGAGTGACGAGTTAACATGAGATGTTTGTGGAAATCTGAAAGACACTTCACACTTCATTGGCTGAATCCATACGGCGCCTCGTAAACGATAAGCCACTTCTTGGTCATCAGCCAGCAGGAGAAGCTGCTTTTCATAAAACTTTATGACGATAACAGGAAGGGAAGAATTAAAAGGTGCCAGAGAACCAATCACCCAAAGGACAATCAATCAAGGATGTGAGTTTAATAACAACTGTCTAAATACATCAGTTACTAATACAAAGGAACATAATGTAATTCTTCTGGAACACCTGAAAAAAAGAGTGCTGGATTCTTCTATTGATTGGAAATATACACTTTTGTAACTTATCTTCCCTTTTTAAACGTTTAATTTCTTACATTTAAAACCTCCCAAAATCCACTATCACAAATTCAACCAGATGTTTGCATCTGGACTTCGCTTTGATGCCACCCTGACGCTGAAGACGAGAAGAAGAAAGCATGCAAAGGAGTGAACAGAGACTCACTGGCTCGGACCATCCCTGGCGTTTGCCAGCAGGTCAGCAGCTGCAGCAGCAGCCCCAGGTGAAGGTCCAGGTGGAGGAACGCGGTCATAACCTCCTCTGTCCTCCCGCAGCCGTCCGGCTCTTCTGCACGCTCCTCTTCTCCTCCTTCAACCCTCCTGCGTCTTCATCCTCAGCTTCTCCTCTTGCGTCTCGGCTTCTGTTCACAAGTTGCACAAAGTCAGATGCGATGAATGAAAAGAGGCGGCGGAGCCCCGCAGCCCGCGGCGGCTAACAGGTAGTTCGTGCCCGTCTCCGCGTGCATCTGGCGGGCTTGTTTTTTTTTGCGTTCTCCGCGGCAGGTGGAGGGTCGCGGGGCGGTCAGCACCGCGGACAGCGCTCCGGCAGATCGGCCGTCATGTTATCTCATTTCGGGGTTTGGAGGCATTAGAAGGAATGTGTTGGTGAGAGAAGCAGCAGCAAAATGAAAGGTGGTGCTTCTCATTCAGCGGAGGTTTAATCTGATGGATTATTGGACGCCTGGAGGAGCAGAAAATGTCTGCCGGCGGTGCCTCCTGCGCGCGCGCGCGCACATACACACACACACACGCACACACACACACACACACACACACACACACACACGCACACACACACACTGCAGGCACGCCAGACACTGACGTTCCACATTCAGTCACTACACCGAGGGGGGAGGAAGCGGAGGAGGAGGAAGAGGTGGAAGTGAGGATTTCATCACCTGTAATTACCTGCCGTCAGGGACCAACATGCTTCGCTGCTGTTGGTTATAATCGTTTATTTTAAAGGAGCTTGACCTCAGAACCACTGGTACTTGTAAATGTATCTTGTGACCACCTCGGGGTTGTGGCATTCTGCCGGGAAACAACAACCGGAGGAGACATGAAATTCACAATTTATATTCTTTATTGATGTCACTATAAATCTGTTCGTTATCGTCTCATTGAAGTGTTAGAAGAATAAGACATAAACAAAAGTAATATTTCCAGAAGGGTTATTCAGAGATTTTCTGCAGGTTATATTCTTACTTTTAGTCATCATCTATTTGATTTAGAAATTGACTGTCTCAACTAAGAACTTGCTCCCGGCCTACAGAGAGTTTACTCTCCACAAAACTGGCACCTATCCCAGACATGAAATACCTCGTTCAAAGGCTGTGGGGCGACAGTTACCCAGCGACAGTCCTCAAGCATCCTTCATCTTGGAGGGTTGAAGCTTCTTTGCCTCTTTGCCTCCAATTTGTTTTAGTTATTTTTCTGCAAAGTCACAGTTTGACATTTCCAACGTTCCGTATCGATTTGAGATGAAGGGCAGTGAAAGCGCTGAAATGACTTGATAAGAGTTGAGATAGAAAGATGTCTTTTTGTGCTAAAAGTAGTCAAATTGTGACACCAATCTAAAGCACGGCCAATTCTTCATTCTAGTCAAATTGAAAAGTTAGTTTCATGTTGTAATTTATGGGTATTAAAACCACTCGTGTGCTCTATCCACGGAGAGCCATTAAGTTCTAAAATGTTTAAAGTATTTCTTCAAAACAAAGAAATGAAAGTACTGCATCATGGTCTGTTCGGGATAACAGCGTACTAGATCAGTGTATTACTTGTATGTACTTTGTAGAGTTTGCCATCTGAAAGGGTGACTTTTAAAACTTTCAAAATAATTTTACAAAAAGGGTGCAAGCAGTTGTTTTAGAAATCAACGCAATTTACGATTCAACATGAGGGAAACATTAAAGCTTTGTTTGGGAGCAGATAAATAAGAAATAATAATAAATTATCCGTGTGGCGTTTATTCAGAGCGACTGGAGAAGGCGTGGAGGCGGGGGGGGGGCATGCTGCAGGGCTTAATCTCCCATCTGGTCCGCGAACGCCTCGGGACGCCCCAGAAAGAGCTGAATCATCCACAGACTGACGGGACGGCCGAGCTGCACCGAGGAGGAAGCATCAATAGAAGAAGTCGACAGAAGGGAGATTAAAGTTTTCCCGCCAGCCGGCAAACTGCACAACGGATACAAAGGTCACAAAGGTCACAAATCACAGCGGCACAACTTACACTTTGTAGATTCAGCGACATCTTTAGGGCGACTTCTCAGCTTGATTCCTTCGTCGTCACTGGGATGTTCCATTACCTTTCAATTCCAATTCATTTTGAGGGACGTGCACAGACCGACGTGTGTACGCAGAGGAGACGTTTGCGGCTTCGCCCTCAAGTCCAAAAGCCGAGATGATTCAGCTTGTGTCACATCTCCCCAACGAGCACCATCAGACTGCTGGACGCGCTCTCTCCTGTGTACCGACTCTCTCCACCGAGGGGGGCTAGCAGCCTGCACAACCTCCGCTTGGCAACTCGCACCCCTCACAACTCCAAATGCATTTCAAGAAGAGGGGACACTTGAGGACATTTGTAGCCTAAACTTCTTTTAAAAGCCGCAATGTTGACCTTGGGGAACCGGGGGGGGGCGCCAGAGGTCAGAGGCAACACCAGCGTTCGTCTGCTGGGGAGCATGAACACTAAACAGGCTGCCAGCTGTCAAACTGAGTACACCAACGTGAGTTTCTTGGATTTCTGCTCCTAATACATCCGAAACTTTGTGAGCCGTCCTGAAACACCAACGGATGCTATAAAAAGCAGCGAGCTGCCGGCTTCGTTCTCATCTCCCACAGCCGAGTGGGTTCTTCTCCCTCGTAGTCTCCCTCAGAGCTGTGGATGCTACATACAAGACACGATGATGACAGAGAGAATTTTACATCACAAACTGTATTCACGGTGCTTCAATTCAAGGGCTGTCCCCACATGACTTCAGACTCTCCGTTGCGTCTCTCTCGTGTGTATGCGGATAACAACAATCTACTCGAGGCGCGATGCATAAAATCACAAGGCCTAATTATAGATCTTTATATGTTTTAATTCCTTTGCTAATTATAAAAGCCAGCCATGCATAGGCTGAGCGAGCAGCTTCACATATGGTGCTGCAGCTACGAGGGATTGTCTGAGACCAGCTCCATGCTGCAGGGTGCCACCGGGCTTTTACACAGTGAGGTTGGTAGTTTGAAGCCCGACGAGACGCTAAGAAGAGTGTCCAGAACGTCAAGTCAGCACGCGAGAACAAATGAGGCTCATCGCGGCTTTTTACTAGTTCATTACATTATAATTTCACGACGTGAGCCTCAATAATCGGCAATTAAACGAGCCGTGCAGGAACTAACACATTTTGAGAAGAAACTGATGAATACGTTTTAGATCTGGGGAACAGAACTTCAATCACCCTGATTACATGTTTAAATTGATGTAATTAGCGAGTGACTATAGTGTGTATTGCTGCACAGGGTTCATTAAGCGGCTTCATTCAACTCACTGAACTGCAATCCACGCTCTTAATCAGAATATTCCCAAATCTGTTCAAATCTGTATTTAATACCTCAATTTGGGATTTTCTCAATGTTGGTCATATAGATTTAGGTTCAAATTCGTTAAATCTGCTTTACAATGTGTATAAATCATCACTGTACATATGTGCACAAGATCCCTGAATAAATGTGACTATTAAAAATTGACAAAACACACAAGTAAAGAACTAGAAGGCCACACGGGGCCTTTGCGTACGATGCAAAGTCACACAGGACTTATCTGTGGCACTTTTTGAATGTTCCGGGTTTGAAGGCTTCAGTCCTACTAACACCCAGGGGAGCTTGTGTCCTTTGTCAAAGCAACTGGTGCTGCCCGACTGGCAGCTTCAGCTAGGAGGCACCGTGTGTGTGTGTGTGTGTGTGTGTGTGTGTGTGTGACTGTATACACGTGCTCCTTAAGGTCATTAAGCACAGTGGGTGAGCGTGACGCATCAACACCTCAAACAAAAACCTCCACAAAATCCCAAAGAACTTACACACACTCCCAAACCGTTTGATTGACAAGTGGTCGCTAAACGAGCACGAGGGCACGTGTGGGTTCGCGTTAAAATGTACGCATTCTAAACATTAAGGGGTTAGATGGAAAATAAACTCACTCACAAATCAACCGATTAATCCATTCATGAAATATCTAATTTTGTCATTCAAGCCATTTTGAAGAAAAATAGAGAAAACATTATTTGTAATCTTAAGAGGAAAGAGCGAAGACGTTGAAATCAGAAGGTCAAAAGTACAAAATAAATAACCTCAATTGTAGCGGACATCCTTTGACGTCATAGTGACGTGACATGTGGCAGCAAAGTGCTGTCCCATTTACATATTTACACCATCGCATGTCATGGCTGCATCCGACGACCAGCTGAGCGCTGCGTGATTCACAGATCAAGACGGTCCTCGATTCCCCCCCCCTCGGGGTCAGGAGTATGACCTTCGCTCGATAGCCCCCCAAAAACCTATAGATAGATAAAGTACGTGATAGTAAGAACGTATGAATCACTGAAAAACAACTGCAGCCCTTTAAACAATAATACAACTGCCAATAATCCTCCTTTTTCCCCCCCCACAGCATTTCCCCATTCAGGTTCCCTGGTAAATAACGCTTTTGTTATTTGAGGATTAATTGATGCCTGTTAAATACGTCTTCTGCACGCGGCATTCATCTGCAGCTTCTAAATATTTAATTAAATGCTGTGTGGCCGTTTCAGTCGCCTCCACTTGGGGCCCCCGAGGTCGTCTGGGGTGGTTGTGCGTTACGGGGCCCTCCAACTTTATCCGTCTGAGGTTCAGCGATGTTCCTCCGTGTGTGTGTGTGTGTGTGTGTGTGAGTGCGTCTGGTCTCCGGCCTCTGGCGCGGTCAGGTCCGATTTCTATCACCGCGCTCTGGGGACGAGTTACGGAAATGGTTTGCTCTGCCGCTGCAATGCACCAGTCACCACGCGTGCGTGCGTGTGTGCGTGTTTGTTCTCATTTATCAATTCATTCTCACACACACACACACACATCCCAGAGGTGTCTCCTCGCACGGTCCGCCCTGCAGTTCACGTCCCCATAATCCCCTGGCTCAAATCACTGTAGCGCAGCACATGGTTTCAGATGCATGTGCACGGCGTCTCAGGGTGAGGATTGTTCCAGAGGAGACACGTGTCGATGCGTTGTGGTGATTGAAATGGATTTCCGAGGCACAGAATTTGTCATGATGAGATAGCAATGTTCTTTCCTGCATTATATGTGGAGGTAATCCTGAGATTAAAGCAGACACCCTGTGAAATATGTCACTTTTAACACACAAAATACTGAGTACATACAACATATGAATTATGAATATGAAGCAACAACAATGAACCACAAATCAAGTCCACTGAGTGAAATACTGCTTTTATGGAGGTTGGAAAAAGGCAGAATATAAAACAAAAGACACTCCAGAAATGTGACGTAAAGCCGCCTAAACACCAGAAAACATGTATGAAGATGTGGTTTTTAATTAAGCGACGACTCCTGGTCAATCCACATAGACTTTTTAAAGTACCTGTTTTCCCCACTGTGATCTTAATCTTTTCTAGGCTTTCCTTGTTGTTGCTAAAAAGGTCTCTGAATCCTTGGTAGTTATTAGCTTGATGCATCGACAGAAGAACAGCTCAGCGCTGGAAGAGGCCAGAAAGCAGAATGATCTGCTGAACATCACCGTATAGAGAAAAGCCCAGTTTATAGTTGTACAAAACGGCTGCTGAGGGGTTTTCAAAATGTTCTTCTGCAACATCTTTAAAGTCTCCACAGTAACTATGAATATTAACAATATATTATATTAATAATGAATATTTAACTCCACCAGAAAACATCTGGCAGGGTCACTCTGGGAAATGCAGCATCACGTCTGCTCGTTAATGTGTAATACGTCGTCCCTCTGCAGGAACTTAACTTTGCATCCCGCGAGGGGCCGCAGCTCGTTTTGTTTGCGCTCCAACAAAGCGGGAACGCGGCGTTTGAGCCGGGAGGAGTCAGTTCCTCACCAAACTCCATCATGGGTTTTAGCCCGCAGGCAGCGTGGACCCATTACTGGGCCGCATTGACCACATCTGGCCGGAGGGTCAGGGGATGTTTTCCATTAGGAACACGGAGTGGTTTTGTGTGGAGGAGTTTGAGGGCGGGAGCTTTTAGAGCTGAGCGCTTTCGGGAGGTTTATTGTGCTCACGACACCAGAGTGCTGCAGTCATGCTACCGGGGATAAAAGAAGAGGGCTAGATTGTTAAAAGGGTTCAATAGGGCTTCTACGTTTCCTTTTTGAATACCTTGACGCATGTTTGAGAAGACTTTTTCTATGCCTTTCATATTACTTCTCTACAATTATCCGAATCTCGTGTTTTAATTTTAAATCCATTTAAGAAAATCTTTCACATCCGTATAGTTTAATGTCTCAGCTGTCGTGCACTTAGAGACACGTTTGATTTGAGAGCGAACCTTAAAAAGAGTCTTTTTAGTTACGTTTGCAACATTGCTGTTGGCCAGTCGCTCCACCGCCGTGATCCAGAATTAATATCTCAACTCCAGGAGTTGACTTGTTTGAACACGAAAGGTAACCAGAGTAGGAAAGCTGCTCTTCCAGGACCAGCATGAGATCCACATGATGTGCAGCAGTGGCTGAAAACGGAAGCCAGCTTGTGCAAAAGGATGCAGGGTTTAAATCTCAGCTAAAACAATGGAATCACCGCACAAATACGATTAAGTACATTGTTGACATTTGTACAATATTTGCAGGATATAATATGTAAAGGGAGTTAAAAATGCAATGAGTTTCTGATGTTTCTAAATAAATCCGAAAAAAATCTTTAGGATTAGGGATTAACAGATGTAATGTGGGTTAGAAGAGAAGATTTACCAAAATGTGCTCTCAAATACCCACGTGGATTCCAAGGTGATAGTAACACAGACATGGATCCACATTTTCAAAAGCGGCAGGTGGATTCTTCATCATTGATCACCGATGAGGACGAAATAGCAACACGGATATTCATTCGCATCAGCGAAAACCAATAAAAGCAATTTATATGAATTGTTTTTGGACTGATGCCCATTACGTTGGCTGTCTCTGTTCCGGTCAATGATCACATGCTGTTGGTTACTAATGGAAATCAACATTGGCAGAAATAGCTTAAAGTCAATATGAACTGTCACTCTCCTACTCCGCCTGCTCTCTCCCTTTAAACTTAATATCACTTTCCACAACTCTCCCCAACTAATGCCAGAAATGCACTTCTCCCCTCGAATACCTTCTGTATGAAATTCACCTCCCAAAATGTCATGAAACCTCCACAATTACGTAAAGTACTACTACACGGGTCCTAACGGGGTCAAACCGGCCGCCCTTTGTCGCCCCCCCCCCCCTCCCGCCTCCAACAATCAGTCGGATCGAGTGGCGCTGGGATCCATCTCGCTCCTTCACGCCCTTCTGGCTCCATTAAGACTCTGGGACCCTGATGGGACACGCGCGTGGTTATGAAGACACGCTCTGGTTAAGGTGGGGGGGTAATGGGGGCAGTCTGCGCACCCTGGACCAGTTCATCACCTTGCTGGAGGGCATCCGAGGGGGCGGGGAGGGGGAAATAAACTAATAAGAGCCTGGGAGCTGCCCTCAGTGGGTCCACAATCTGCCCGCTTGGTCCTAAACTCCCAGAATGCACCTCTTCGCTCTTGATAAGGAACCTTCCCACATCTTAACCCGGAAAGCTGCTTGACCTTTGACCTAAAAGGAGTCAGGAAGTGCCAGAGTGAAAATGCTTGGCCATCAAATAAAATATATGTTTATTGTGGACAATTATTTAGGATTCTCTAAACCGTTAATACTGCTCTTATAGTTTAGGAGTCATTTCTCAAAGACTGAGGACTAATAAGGATTAGACTTTACTCAATTATACAAGATGTTATGTAAACCATTTTTTTCCCAGTGCTGCCACCAGTGTTGCTTTTGGGTTCTGAATAAAATCATGCAGCGTTGTTAGAATACAAAACAGATATTATTTTACCTCCTTTCCTTTGCCTCCCATAATTTACTGTGGAGCGGTTGCTCTATTTGCAGTTCACCCCACAGGCTGTTTACGCCCGGATGGGCAGGTGGAGGCTCGCTAACCATTTTGTGTCGTTATACGTTCAAATCGAGAGCACATGCACATCGAGGAGCCTTCGTTTTGTTCCGTAGGACCGAGCAGCGATTGTTCATCGAGACCAGAACAGTCAGACATGAGGTGAAACGCCTTCTTCATTGTCTGCATTGCCCCTAATCCAGGCAGCATAACCCCACGCTTTGCTTTCCCCGGGAGCCGTCCAACCCTAATATAGTCAGATTAAGCTCTGCACACAAGCGTCCATCTGACATGAGGGCTGGATTTGAGCTGGATTGGAAAATCTGGATGGGATGTCTCCAAAGCCCTGTAATTCTGCACACACACACACACACACACACACACACACACACACACACACACACACTCACAGATTAAAAAGCAGAGGAGCCGGGAGGCCGGGGAGGATATGCAGGCCACGGTGACGTGTCTGTGCACTCCTGGGCCTATGTGCACAAACACATGACCCTTTGACCTCGAATTCTTTGAGGGGCGCGTCAAAAAGTTCCCCAACTTGTGTTCAGATGATCTGAAGACGCAGCTCCGTTGCTTTTGCTTCAATTGTCACCTCTACGATGACGATGGAGGATTTCAGGGGCGCTCGCCACCGCCGCCCTCCCACCCCCCGCGCCCCCCGGGGACAGACGAGCGGCCCGCAGGCTACACGGATTCAGACCACCCCGTCCCCAGACTTGCCCCCACGATGCCCACGTGCCTCACTGGGCATGCCCCCCTTTTGTTCCAGCCGAGGGGGGAGAGGCGGGGGGGCGGCGGTGGGTGAGGGTCACCCAGATTACGCCACATCATACGGCCTATTTACACGCGACACCAAACAGTACGGCAAACGGCATCTCACCGCGGCGACACAAACTGGGCTCGTTGAAGACGCCAGTCGGTTTCATCTCGTCGGATCATTTCAGTCACGTGTTCCTCGGGTCGCCCACGTGACCCCGTGGGGCCGACCAATAGGGTTGCGCGGTTTGTCCTGGGCAGAGCGAAAGGAAGAGGGGCAAAAAAACATTTTTTCCTTTGCGATTTTTAATCTTGCAACGCCGAAAGTGGTCCTCATCTACTGTGTCCTGCGCTACATTAAGGTAAACTCTCTTTTTATGAAGATTCCTTTTGGTAGATGGAAGGTCAGGGGTGCCGTGTTTCCACGGAACGCTAGTGGTCAAATGTAAAATTATTATTATTATTATTATTTTTTTTAAAACACGTTGTTCTTGACTTGTTTCTTGACTTCTCTAATGTTCAAAGCGTCAAACTGTTGAAAACTTGCGTGATCGACAGTTCCGAGCCGTGTTACGTCGATTAATAATTAATCACCCTGAGAACTTACCAACGGCAGAGAATCATCTTTTTTGCGCATGATGAGGCGTGACACACACACACACATTGTTGACTCGTTATCTAATGTGGTAGTTTCGATTAGATCGAGTTAACATTTTCCAAAGTCATCTTCAGGCACCCGTATGCGGCGTGGACGTTTTCCCTGGAGAATAGTCAATTTTATGCCTTGTCGATTTTGGCTTTCGGGGGTTCTCTTGATCACCATTGTTTTTGGGTGTTCGTCATTGTGGCTTCGATTCAAGAACGAAACAGATTCATTGTTGAAGAATTACCCCCGATGCTGTTGAATCGAACGCTAACTACGGCGCTGGACTGACCTTTTTCACAATATGAACGATAACACGATGCAATTGATACACCCCCCCCCCCCCCCCTCCGCCGCCATGGTCATTATTCCAATAATCATCACTTAGCGCTTAGGCTGCGGATGGCCTCATTCTCCACTAGTCACAGACCAAAGATGTCATTGGGCATTTCCTCACTCGAAATACTCCTTTGTTTTGGTAAAAAGCTATGGTTTCCTCTGCGGGCGCCGATGCCTAAATAGAGCAGCGGCCGAGAAGCCGAAGCTGCCGAGCCGCAAAAGAGCCGGCCCGCGCTCGGTGGAGCGCTCTGCGCGAGCGCTCGGCGGTGGCTCCGCCTTTGGAGGAGCCAGGGCTTTGTTGGCAAGCCGTGATCTCACATTACAAATTGTGGCAAATCTAAAATGGCCGACTTTGCGCTCGCCTCTTCGCGGCCGCAACATGGAGCGCCTGCTTCGCGAATCCATTTACGCCGCCGCGCTGTGGCGCCCCCACACTTTCGCCGTTTCGGGCCCGTAGAACCCCGTGAGATACTTGGTGATAGTTGCCCCCCCGCCCCCCCCCGCCTCGTCTTTGCTACTGGGATTTGACTCGGTGAGGATTCGGTGGTTTTGATCGTGATGTAGGCTGAGCTATCAGGAGCTGGGCTGCTGATGTGGTCTGACAGCTCTGGAGAGCACTGTCATAGCGGCGTATAGGAAGGCCGGCGGGGTAGACGCGCCCCCCCCCAGCCCCCCACCCCCCCATCCCCGCAACATCCCATCCAGTACAACAAAAGCCTGCGCCAGACGAGACCAGAGCTGCTCATATACCGGTAAACTGGGGGGGGGCAGGTCCCTCGGGACTCGGGGGAACTCCGCTGCTCCACATTCCTGCAGTTAGCATTTCTGACAAGAGCGACTGTCGCCGCCAATCATTCATCACTTTCTTTCCCCGGCTCCTCCGTCGTCTCTGTGGCCTCCCTTGCCACAAACTTCTCAGAGAGAGGCGGGCGCTCTCTCACCGAGTGGTGAGGGACCTGAAGGCGAGAGGTTCCTTCACGCGGAAATAAGATCTCGTAGGAACATATGGATCACGAGGTCACCCTCTGCGCGCCCCCCTCTGCTGCTACACATGAACGCTAATTTCCCTTTTGTTCACCCTTAATTGGAGTACAAACGTACGTGTGGAGATCTCATTTCAAACATATTGGCTTCTGTTTGGCTCCAGATGTTTGACTCCACCACTGCATTGCTTCAAGTCTTCCGTTACTTCTGAAATTTTCTTGATTAGGATTAATTGAAATAGCCTTGCATTGCTTTGCAATAACCAACACATTGCAATCACCAACTTTCAATAAACAGCAGCCATTTTCACCTTCAGCACAAAAGGCTTCTTGCAAAAAGTTAAACAGCAAATCATGAAAAAGTCGGCTGCTAAAAGGTCACAGAGGTCACACAAAAACTTGTCGACGTGCAAAAGAATGGCCTCCAACACAGATTCATTTTGTGAAAGCTCGGCCTCGCAGCTCAGGCTCCGGTGTAGTCATGGAGGGTTTTATATCAAAACATCATAATGACATATCTGTAGATATGTGGATTAGGACGGAACAGATGACAGCGGATTTGGCCTAGATTAGAGGGACGGTCATCCATTTAATGATTTTCCTTACAGGATTTCAGATGTCTCGGTCTGTCGGTCGGCTGTTCTATTGACGGCAAAGCAGATTGTGTAGCGACATGATGCTGTGAAAACGTTTTCAATTATTACACAAGACAGACTTGTCATGCAACTGTATAAACAGTTTTAAAATTTAATTCAGTTAACCTTTTTTCCTCCCTTGAAAATGCCTCTTTTTTTGCTGCTTTTTGGTGTCAATAGTTTGACGTGCGGTCTTCTAAATAGACTGTTGCAGATCTGACTTATTTACTGCATAATTAATCTAAAAAAAAGCATCCAATACAAAACATAATCTCATTTAAAATTGTCCCAAAATGTGAATCACACCAGCCGTTTAGAACAATGGTCCATTATTAACCTCTTAAAATCCAAAGAAAAACGCTTCTTAATTGATCATTCTACAATTTGAGCTACTAGATGATTTATAAGCATTTATCATCATAAATGACTGAACTGAATTAATTGGCGGAGTGACTCCGCCAAAGGAGAGTCCTGACCTATTTGTCTTTATCTTTATTTTCAGGTACACGCCACAGTGTGTTTCACCTCTTAAATCTCTTTCGTAAATCGTTTAAAAGAGGAGAAACCGAGTCGATGGCCACTTAGCTGTGCAGCGGCTCTCGGCCCCGACATCCAACGATGGGCTTTAATGAGAAGAAGCAATCTTCTTCCTCTGAAAGACGAGAGAACAGAGGCAGACGAGCCTCCAGGGTTTTTAAAAATACCCACATGGCATCATCAATCCCCCGAGCACTTTCCACCAAAGCATCTTGCGCACGCATGTATCACTGCCCTTAACTTGGCTTTGAGTGGTTTTGCATCGTTTACACATCGGTGGCTCGGCACAAAACTGCATTTCCTCATTGTGAGGATCACATAAAGAGATCGAAACAGAGGAGCCGTTAAATTCAAGTTCTCCAGGAGCGATGCACAAGTCCCTCTTTATTCTGTGGCGAGCGCCGAGCGGACGGAAGGGAGAAAAAGGGGGGAGGTGGGGGGGGGGGGGAGCCATTTTGTGCTCTGCGTTGTCCAGCCGAGCGTAAAGCGTGATTAATTCAATAGCCGGCGTAGAGGAGGAGGCTAGCAGCACAAACACCGAGCATGACCCACTTTCCCCGTCAGATGTCATGAAAGATTCCCTGCTTCCCCTCTCTGCCTTTCTCCCACTTTCGGCCTGATTAACACACTGCCGCCGCGTTACAAAATCATGTGCAGTTTGACATGATGGTGACAAATGCAGTAAAAATATGAGCTTTCAGGGGAATGATGGTTGCTTATACACTGCGGAAAAGAAATCTACGCATTAAAATACGAAAAATGACATTTTTGCTGGGAGGTTTAAGCCCATTGGGGCAAATGATTCAGGGGGCCTTGACCTAATTCTATTATGCTACGGGACGTACGAGCAGAATACAACTGTTCAAACACAGCTCTCAACGTTGACCTCGTCCATCCCGCTCTTGCTGACCTAAATCTGAAGTTCCTGTGTTTAAGCCACGGGGACGGAGGCTCCGCGAAGACATTTGCTCGTCCCTATACGGTGCTTAGCGTGGACAGCGGAGGTCGGTTCGAGCACGAGTGTCTCTGAGATGTGAGGAAGCACGGACTAAATGTTGCGTAACCCCCGACAGGGAAAAAGAAATCTTCCGCCGATCCTTCTAAAACCTCAATTTGCAGCCTTGAAAGGGGATGAATACTGCGTCATCAACGCCGCCCGAATCCTCTGGTAAATCTTGGAGGGCTTTTTTTTTTTTACCACGCCCCCCCCCTTTCCCCTGGAGAGGACCTGCACCGCTGGCTTGGGCCTGAAATCCGGATTAAGGCTTTTTATGTAATCTGGTCTCCTCTGGGAGATTGGAGAGACAGCTGGCGACAGAATCTCTGTCCTTATCTCCGGGACCTCCCTGGCCTCCCACCAACACATCCCTCAGCTCTGCGTGCAGCGCGGATTAGAGGAGCGGTGGTGTCTGCGGCCAGAGGTGGATGATGGGCCGCACTCTTGCAAAGAGAAAAACAAACCCTTTTAACCACATCTGTGGGTTCATTTGAAACCTTTAAACAGTTGAAGAATCGACAATAATGTTGGATTGACGGCAACAATTCAGATGTTCCTGAGATACGCACACTTTATTTAGCCCCCCAAATCAGCTCAACTTGAGTCGGACTCATCATCTTATCAGTTTAGCAATAAAGCTACATTGAACCTAAAATTCAACCAGAAAACTGGACAAATATTTACAGCTAATCACCAGAAATTCAACTATTGAAGCGCTTAAGGTTTAACTAATTATACACAGAATTACCGCAGAATAATAATGAACTATAACCGTTGTTTATGTTAGGTGATCTTTGTGAAAGTTCAGCTTCAAGAAAAATTAGATGTCATGAAGCTTTGAAGAAAATTACATAGAATAGAAATCATTATGAGGCCTGTTGCTTTTGACAAAAATGCTGAGGTCCTAAAACGGCTCCTAAATGTTCAACCAAAATACACAGACATCTAAACGTGATGCTTTACTCACTCAAAGCTCCACCTGACAATTAATCAGCATCTCCTCGTGATAATAAATACATTCTGGATCATTCTGTAGGATCCGGTAATCAGAGCGTTTCCTGCCATGCGGCGAAGAAGTAGTGCTGTCTGAGCCGCATTCAGGACGGCGAGACGTTAAATCAGACTCAATGAGATCCAGGCCTCGCAGTGGAGGAAGTCAGAGACCGGAACGTCTACCTTCTCACTACTATGAAACGATGGAGCAATCAGGCCCATCATTCTATGGACTAGTTCCAATTATTCCAATTATTCCTGTTCGTTTGAGACCTGAGCTAATTAGATATCAAAGAGGGGAGGAACAAAAAAAAAGATCTCCATCGGCACATAGCAACAATGTCTCTGATTGGCAGATGGTGACATTATCTGTCTCTTCAGTCAAGGTCAGCGGCTTCAGCCGCTTTTCTTTTCCACATATTCACTCATATTTGTTCCCATTTCCTCAGTATGTTTTATCGTACCAACATATTATTATTTATTAACAGTTGCATTAGATGTGAAGGTTCATGGTGTGAAATAGAGCACGATTAATACATTTCAACATGGTCTGGTATTCTACATCGTCCTACCTATTTACTTGGCACAGAATAAAAATAGACAATCTCTCATGAATTCATTTTAATTCTCATTTTCACTCCTCTGTGCCTTTACAATATGGCAAAAATGGTACGTATTTAATTCATTCATTAGTATACTTTTGAGAAGCAACATTATTTGAGTTTATAAACTGACTAAATAGCAGTCTCACTATAAATGCATTTCCTCTTCTAATATAAAAGAAAACTGTATTCAAACGTCCTGGCAAACATTTGGTTTTGGTTCCTTGTCGTTAAGAGCAACTGAAACTGGGCAAAATCTGAAATCTGACAACATAAATGCCCCATCGTTTTAAAAACGTTCCTGTGGGATTTAATCACAAAGGGTCTCAACTGTGGCCTGACGTGTGCAGCCGACTGAGAGCCTCCAGCTGTCACAGCGGTGGGTGACGGATGCGCGGGCGGCAGCGCGGCGCCCCCCTGCGGTCGCTTCCCCAACTGCAGCCTCGCTCGACTAGTTACGTCACTCTTCTGCCAAAACGAGAGGGGTTCAGCTGCAATGGGCTTGATGAAAAAAAAAAAAGGATATGGCGCTCCCTGTTCGATGGATGGAGAGACACGGCCTGACATATAATCCAGTGGATTTTGTTTGTGCTCCTCATTGCCACTGACTGTCATTTTCACATTTTGGAAAAAATCTGATGCTGAGCCCCTGAACCTCCTCCCTCTTTCTGTGCCGTTTTACCGATGTAAGCCCCCGCGTGGTAATACGTTCACTATAACATGATGTATCTGTGTCTCATCTCTCTGGCAGGCGACCGGTTGGCCGACTCCACCATCACACTCGCGTTTGGCCCTTGAACTCCTCTCTGACGTCACCGCGCCCCTTCCTTCACATCCAATCCCAACATGGAGCCCATCAAGGTCCAATCAGAAGGTGGACTGAATGTGACCCTCACCATCAGGCTGCTGATGCACGGCAAGGTACGAAAACGCTCTCCTGACACTTTGATTTCCAATTATGAGTGAATAGATGGTTTTAAGGCTCCTCGTCGAACGATGTTTGTTTGTGTTCCTGCAGGAGGTCGGAAGCATCATAGGAAAGGTATTTATCACAGACACAGCAAGCAGACCACGTAAAGCGTCGTCTCGACTGTGGGAAGTGGCTCATAATGTCTCATTTTCTCCCCCTCCAGAAAGGAGAAACGGTGAAGAAAATGCGTGAAGACGTAAGTGGAACCTTCATGCAGCGACGCTTGACACGCTTTGCCTCTTCCCTCCCGTAACGATGCGCCTTCGTTCTCCTGCAGAGCGGAGCCCGCATCAACATCTCAGAGGGGAACTGCCCCGAGCGGATCGTCACCATCACCGGGCCTACGGACGCCATTTTCAAGGCCTTCGCCATGATAGCCTACAAGTTCGAGGAGGTACGACATTGATCATTTAAACACCACCAAGTTGCACCCAGTCAACGGGGCCGACAAAGACAATTAGATTATTATTAATACAAATTAATTTTCATTGTCGTTATTTTGTACCGGACAGCAACCAATAGTTTACCAGACAAAGTGATCTGCTGATCATTTCCTGTGACACTTTCACAATGATGAATGATTGTTTTGTCCCACTCCAAAATTATACAAAAAATATATTTTTTAGATATTTCTGATAATTAAAATGAATTTAAAAAAAAAACCTAAACCAGAAAGTACTCACATTTGGGCAGCGTATATATAGCTGACAGTCTCAATAAATAAAACACAAAAGGAAGCAGAACTAGTAGCAGAACCGATCTCTAAAAACACATTGGACGTGTGGTTTTGTGCCCTCAGGATATAATCAACTCCATGAGCAACAGTCCAGCCACCAGTAAACCCCCCGTGACCCTGAGGCTCGTGGTGCCGGCCAGCCAGTGTGGCTCCCTCATCGGCAAAGGAGGCTCCAAAATCAAAGAAATGAGAGAGGTAATCTGAGACGATTACAGGATTTTAGAGACTTGTGCTTTTGTGCGTATTTCCTAATACATATTCAGATTGAACACATTTTCTTCCTACCTTTAGTCCACAGGGGCTCAGGTCCAGGTTGCCGGTGACATGCTGCCAAACTCCACGGAGAGAGCGGTGACGATCTCAGGCGCCCCGGAGGCCATCATCCAGTGTGTCAAACAGATATGTGTGGTGATGCTTGAGGTACAGAAGGGAGGGAAACAGAGGAAGCGTTATTTATACATCTTTAAGTGAAATAAACTCCCTTTGATTCAATCCATGCTATGAACACAAGATTTGAAATTGCATCCTCTGACTTACTCGTCCGTGTGAAGTTCATTTTGAACAGAGAACTCTTCAACTTTTTAACTTTTCAACAGCAAGGGATGTAACTCTCTGGCAAATACATGTTTCTGTGATATCATTTCATATATGATGGATTTGATTATTTACTTTCAGAGTGTGATGTCTTTATTTGTCCATCTGGAAACACCATTGTACTGCACCACACACACACACACACACACACACTTTTCCCAACTACAGATGAAGACAGTCCAATAGGTACATGTCACACCACAAATAGTCAAAATGTTTTAATCAAAGAGCTCCACGCTGTAGATGTCTCTCTTTTTCGTGCACCATTAATCTGACCTATCTGCTCAGCCAGTTCTCCATTGGGCCTGCATGATGGCACCAGCCATGGACACTAGGACATATGTGACATGACTGTAAGTCTGCAGAACGTGGATATTTAAAAAGCACAGTGTGAACAGTAGTCATCATTATCCAGTTGAAAGTGATGTTCCAGGTAAATCCGAGTTTAGTCGCGCACTGAACCAAACGATCTGGACATTCGATGTCAGCATGAACGCACAGTGAAGAGCACCTTTGTGTCACAGGACGTCTTCCCCAAAGGCACCGCCCCTCTATGGACTCACTATATGCAACTCTCTCTCTCTCTCTCTCTCTCTGTTCTAACACTTCTCTTCACATCTCACCCCTTTCGCCCCCACGTTTTCCCCCCCTCTCCCCCCTTCTTTCTAGTCCCCACGAAAGTGGCCCCCATCCCCTACGGTCCCAAGGCCCGCCTCCACCCCTGTCATTTTTCAGGGGAGCCAGTAAGAGCAGCCCACGGGGGGGTTCCACGCCCATCTCCGGCCTCTTATCTGCAGCACCCAGCCACTGCCTGTTTTGTCACACCAGGTTTTATTCACTTTTCCCCCCACGCCCCCCCCCCCCCCCACCCCAAACCCCCACCCCCTCCGACTAGCATGAACCATCACTGTCGCCCCTCACCTGCAGCCACTGGGAGCAGAAATGGGTTAAATGGAGCGTGACCACTTACTCATTAATTGATGAGAACAGAGGTGGTGGAAAGATTATCTGGTTACCGTTTAATACAAGTCAGGGATAATTCTAAACAACTTTACTAACCATACCTAATAAAAACAACTTAACGCACCAGGACGGAGCTTTACGTTACATCTGTTGAGCTAAAAACACAGCTACGAATGTAAAAGTGACCCAGGAAGTAAACGAAAAGCAAGAGAGGCGAAAGGGAAGCGGCCTAAATCAGCTGAAAAGAAGGATGGGACAACCAGTGGACAACCAGTGGACGGGAGGTATTTGACTGGAGACTTCTCAAAAGTTCCTAGAAAAAGTAAAACATGAAATTTCTTTTAATTTGTTGCAAATTGAACCTCTCATCCACTCTTATCTTATCAGCTGCTTCATCTCTTATCTAATCTGCTACACAAGAGAACAACCCAAACCTTTATTTGCCAAGAATGACCACAACTATTCTCACCAATTAACAGGCAAGGCCAGCCCATATTTTAATTCATATATTTCATTTCATGTCTCTATTTCTGGATCAGACTTTTTTTAGAAAAACAATATACTTTAACCTGAAAAGTCTTCATCAATGTCTACATGACTATTTGACGATGCACAATTTACCTCAGTTCTGACCTCTGTGGCCCTGAAGCTCACATCCAATAAACTCAAGTCCAACCGCTCCAGCCCCCCCTGTCCCCTTCCCACCGTCTGGTGCCCCTAATTGATTTAGTTCAACTGGATCTGATTGATGAAGCGCAGGAAAGTGTGACAGGGAGTCACGTAGTGCATGAATTTCTAGTCATACAATAAATACAACTTGCATTGGCACGTTTGTGTTGTAGAAATGTCAGTTTTTTTCACATTTAGTCTTTTCTTGTGTAGTTTGGCTCGCACCGAATTGATTTGATACAGCATAGGTTTGGTTTTAACGCAATCACATGACCAGAGTGTTTTTGTGTGCTTGCTTTGATGACGTAACGCGATAATAATAAGCTCTTCTCCTCGTGTTCGCAGGCTTATACCATTCAAGGACAGTACGCCATCCCTCATCCAGATGTGAGTGCTGACCCCAACAGGCAGTTAACACTGCACACTACATACATCTGCATCCACATTCCCCTCCTGGAGTCCGCCGCTTCACTCTCTCCTTCTAATATTAACTGTTAATACGAATATACATCTCTTTTTCTGATTTAGTTACCTACTTTATCAAACAAAGCCTTTGTTTGCCATCAAACCTCATGCTGGTTTCACTCTAATTTTGAAATAACAACCAACCCGAAACGTGCTTTAAGTGACCTGAACGTTACAGTCTTTTAGCAACTTGGGTGGAAATTGAGCCAATTTGAAAAGTTCTCTTCATTGCCGCTTTTAAAAATGTTCCGACCTTCCAGATTTAAACGTCTGTTGACGAAAAGCACTTTGATTCAGATCCAAAGCGTAATGCGGGAAGTGAAGCTGTCGGAAGCTGCTTTGGCAGCAGGTCTGAGATGTTGGAGTCGCTCTTCTTAAAAACTCACAGTCACAAGGTGACAAAACGTCTTTAGGAGGATTCATTTCAATGTCTTCAAAAACTACATGAGATGAGCGGAGGCTGTCAGCAATGAGGCAAACGCTCAGACCACATACCCTCGACAGGCCGATGTGGTCACATGGTTCAATTTGACGGCTCTCCTGACCAACAAACAAACATTTGATCATCACGGTTTAGCAACCAGAATTGGTTGCATGCGTGTGCAGGATGTCTGCAGCGGTTTCTTTAGTCTTTTAAACAGCACACTGGTTGTCAGCTGGTGAGGGTGCAGCCGGTGTCGCCACGTTCGCGTACAACGAAACTGCATCGTGACCCACGTTCCGTAGACTCATTTCCCAGCGGATTACGTTTGCTTTTGACACGTTACAAACACGGTTGACATGAGCTTGTGGAAGTCACTGAGGGCAGGAGGTCCGGGTGGAGGACGGGCGAAAAGAACAGTGAGGCCGCTTTTATCGGTGCGCTTGTCGCCTACGAGAGGAACCTTTGTATCACGTTCCGTGTTCAGGGAGGAACACGTTTCCCTGTAAACGCCATTGAGCTGCAGCGTGACTTCAATGCAGACGTAGTCCTCAAGTCCTCCATGAACCTCTTCTGTGTCGCTGTCCTTTACCTGTCTGTGTTGTTACTTCTCCTCAGATCCTCTCTCTACTCTTGTAGCGTTTTCGGACACACCAGCGTGCATTTGTGTGCGTCTGTCTGGGTGTGCGTGCGCGCTTGTGTGTGTGTGTGTGTGTGTGTGTGTGTGCGCGTGTTTTAACGATGACCTCATAGCTCTGCTGTCCTCCTCCTCCCCCCCTCAGCAGTTGAGCAAGCTCCACCAGTTGGCTATGCAGCAAACCCCCTTTAACCCCCTCGGACAGACCACCCCTGCCTTCCCCGGTACGTACCCACCTACACGACCACCCTCTTTACCAAAGCTCCTTCTCTCGTTTGTACCTGTAGAGACGAAACACATTCTCTACCTCCTTTTCTTCTCTCTCTCGCTCTTCCTGTCTCTGTCCTTACTCTTTTTTTTTTCTTCTTCTCGTCCTTCTCCTCCTAATGGTCTCTGTGGTGCACCGCCATCTTTGACATGGCCTGCTGGTGGTCTGCTCTCGTTGATGTTGAGGGTTTTTTTTTCTCTTTGGCGTTCCCTCAGTACCCTACTTTTAATAAAGCAAATGCCTCCGGTTGTTTTATTTCCCACCGCCCCCTTTCAGGAGGTACAATTCGACTTGTTAGGCGATGCGAGTTCTAAAGAGTGCGTGCACGTTCTGCTCGAGGCTGAGCCAGACGTTCCAGTGGTACAGAAATGCTGCTGGTCGCGATGACGGGAATGAAAGAAAACGCCGGGACTACAGCTGATCAATGTGGCAAACTCTATTTTATGTCCTCCTGTCCTCGCTCCTCGCTCTTCTCTTTGTGGTGCCAACTGTGCTCAGCAGCAGGTCTGGATGCCAGTAACCAGGGCCAGTACTCATGAACTCACCATTCCCAATGATGTGAGTACATTAAGTCAGGATCTGTGCAGTTATTTAAACGTTTGATTTTCCCCGTTTGTCACCAAACACGAAAGATTTGCCAAACAACTGACTGGATCAATTTGGCTGTGCAACTGTACCTCACAATAGACCATTTATTTCCAAACATCTCAGCAGCGAGCTTATCAGAAAATCCATTAAGGGCAATGTGGCATCATGCAACTCCTTCAATTAAGTCAGCTAAGGAGAGCTTACAAAGACGAATCCATGAATTGCTGCTTGGAACAGAAACAAATCAGACAGCGATCCAAATTTCACTGCCATCAGAGCACAAATGTCACAGGACCGGAATGTCCAAAGACTCCGTTTTGTCTTCGCGTGGCTTCCTGTTGAAGCTTCCAGCGATACGATCCGACAGTAGATCAGCTGTGACCGCTGAGAACTCCCTCTCAGATAGGGACCAACCAAAGGCAGTCAGAGTGAATGTCCTTAATGGAAAAGACGTGTTGGACCAAAAGGAAGACATTTTAAAGTTTTAGCTGAAAGACCTGCTTGGACTGGCTGGCACTCACTTAGTGAGTCGAGTCAGATGTCAATGCAATGAGTTTCTTTCGTATTCATGGCCATCCTAAATCCAATCCCCATTTTATTCCCAGCTAATAGGCTGCATAATCGGACGCCAGGGAACCAAAATCAACGAGATCCGTCAGATGTCTGGGGCACAGATCAAAATTGCTAACGCCATGGAAGGGTCATCGGAGCGCCAGATCACCATCACAGGGACCCCCGCCAACATCAGCCTTGCCCAGTACCTCATCAATGCAAGGTAAGAAGTCATTGGCCGCTCGAGTCCAGCCGGCTCACATTCCAAAAAGAGGCGCCAAATGACAAGTTGCCGTCTTGGCCCTCGTCGTCGGAAAACCCAACGCGCGTCTGTACGTTACCGCTCACTCCCCAACGGCCCTCCTACAGGTTCAGAGACGTGGCGGCCATGTGGAACGACCCAACTTCCATGACCACATCCTGAGATCGCTGACTGGCTCCTTCGTTTGGCCCCTTCCAATGACAGACTCCTGCAGACAACCCTGATGAAGCCCTTCGGACTCTGGCTCTGGCTCTCCGAAAACGCTGAGCGCCTTCCCGCCCTGGTTCAAAAGTTGTTTATAAGTCAGGGAGGGTTGTGCGACCACTTTTGTTTCGGAGAGCCAAATTAGATTAGAGCCAAACAAAAAAATTATTACAAAAAAGGATTTCTCTGTTATGTTAAAGCATGTTGAATGTTTATTAGGAACAACTTGTGTTCATCTTTTTCTTCTTCTTCTTCTCTCTATTTATTGCTTTCTCTTTCTCACTGTCAGTGCTGAGTCATCATTAAAAGTATAATCTTGTAAGATTGAGCATTTTTGTAGGACGTAGTTATTTGCATATAACTTACAGCTGCGCAGTGATGCTATCGGCAGAGTGTGTGGTGGGATGTAGCCAAAGTATCAAATTTTGATAATATATTTTGGAAAAGAAAAAAAATTGGACCGTTCTCTTTTGTCCCAATTTGCATCTCCGTCGACTCACGAATCCAATCTCCACCCACGACTCTTTGCTGCATCACATGACCTTTCCAAGCCAATGGTATCACTCCTAGAGCCTCCCTTCTGCTGTTCATTCCCCATATTTACATTATTGATTATATTGCATGTTTTCAATGTCGTGTCGTTGGGTATTTCAGTAAACCCGTTGAGTGTACGCGTTCCTTCGCGTTAGCGTTATACCTCCGTGCTCCTGTTCTTTACCGAAAAACTTTCAACATTCTTGGCCATTCGCGTCTAGTCCTACTTCTTCCCGCCCGAATGAGAAACTTTCCGACGTAGCCTCCTTCTATCAACGCCGATTATTAGTTTTTAGATGCATGAAAGGCAATTAGTGAAAAATCAGTGGCTAAAACACCAACTGAAATTAAAATGATTGTTTGCTAACTTGTTATTATACTGTATTGGTTTTTTACGAGGACTTTTGTGATTTAGCACATCAGTCGACTACGCGGCGCTCATGCAATAGACTATTCAACACTTTACTCCGGACCGCCTCTGGCGAGGGAGGAATTAGTTGGACTTAAAAGCCGAGTGTTGCGTCCAAACCGCTCGGCTTCCTTCCCCTCGCAGTGGAATCCTCTTGAGGTCCTTCTGAGAGGGGAAGAAGCCGACTCGTCGCGGCGAAGATGCCTGGAGCGTTTGGACGGAGCCGGATGGCTTTTTTTTGGGCCATGGAATGTTCAGGGGTTCATAGGAGGGGGGGAGGGGAGGGAGGGGGGGGGCCACGGGGTCTGGGCGGACGTGATCACTCAGTCTCTTTTTCAAGATTGTTCATCTCGTCGTTTTGTCATAGGGTTGATTTGACGCTTTAGGTTTGAATGTCTTTTTATTGTCACGACTATGTCAGCAACTACATTGTTTTCGTTTGAAAAAGGACAGGTTGGATGACAATTCCTGCTTCACTGGTTTTCAGTAAAAACCAGGATGTATTTATTCATGGTGGTGCACATATGACTTATTAGTTGTTGATCATGAAACTTAAGCTAAGTTAGTTTTGTCGTTTGCTTATAATTTGAAGGGGGGTGTGGGTGACGTTTGGTATGGTTCAGTATTTCAACCATCCCTCGTGTCTTTTAAGAATGACGACGCTCTAAATACTATTGGACAGCTTGAGGCCTCTCATTTCCAATCAACTGAGGTCAATCAAGTTTTGACATAATACAAACAGCTGTTGAATGTTATTGTCCAATTGTCCAACACAGCAACATTCTACAACTCCGGTGTCTCAATTCCGGCGCTTCAGTTTGATTTCTAGTAGTCTATGTTGAGTTTGAAAGGAAATGTTTGACATTTTGTAAAATATGCTCCTTTGATTTCTTGTCAAGTCAGATGAGATTTTTCAGCACTTATTAAATTAAAATTAACATTTTTGTGCCAGCCTGTTAGTTAAGCTCACCGTCCCCCGGTTTTAGCTTCATATTTCCCAAAGAAAGGAAATAAAACCAGCCAGCTGCTAACAGTATACAGTGCAGGTATGAGAATAGTATCAATCATCTAAAATTCTGCAAGAAACTCAATCAACATATTTTCCAATAGTTCAATCTTACCTTTGGGTCTGAAGCGCTTTGACGACATGTTATTATTTTTTAATTGGTAAATGCTGTATTGCTATACTGAACCATGCATAGTCAATGATTATTCTGCAATAATTCTTACATTTTGATGTGAACTCAAGTAGTAGTGCTAGCATTGAAATTACGAATTTGTGTTTCTTTTAACTTTGAGTTGTCATAGCTTGTACTTCAATGGGAATGTTTGTCAAATGACTACAATTAAACTATGTTTAAGAACAGTTAGCTAATACCTAAGAGGGCATTCTTTCCCAACAGTACTGTAACAGTAAAGAACATCCTCAAGGGTATTATGGCTTTTATACAACTGTTATCAGTGCATGTGTACCATTGAAACGCGTTACTCAAATTAGTACACATTTTATAAGCATTAAAAACATAGAAAAACAAGGATTGCTAATTCCAATTAGCCCGGTTGGTGCGTGCATTTGACAAAGATCTTGTTGTGTGATATGAATTTGGTCGCTATGGCGGTGTGATTTCAATAACATCAATATTCATGTGTTACTCAGTGTTTGAAAACTGTATTTATATTTGTGTATGCCTGAGTATACTACAACTTTGAAACAAACTGCAATTAATGCAATAATAGGGTGCAATGTGCAATTATTTATTCAGTTATTAGCATGGATGCGGGAGAGCTGCGCAGCTTATTTGGAAGACTTTTTTTTTTAAACAGACTTTCCATGTGGCAGCAACAGCAGGAAAAAAAGAATGAAGACATGTTTTTTTCAGATTTTGTTTGTGTGTATTGCAGTTTGGGGGAAAAAGTGATAGAACTTCGTAACTATTATTGATTGATTTATTTGCTCTGTGCAGATCTATATTTAGTTGTGAGTAATTACATAGGTTTTAATTTCAAAGTGTTGGTAAGTATTAAAACGAATAAAGTTTCATTTTTCTTTTCTTTCTGCGACTTGTTTTTCTCGTTTCTTTTTGCTGCCTCTTAGAGAATATGAACGACCTCAGATTATTTCCCCGTGATGCCTTTGGACACATTGAGGCCGGATTAACCATCAGCTAACGTGAGCCAGCAAAAAGCTAAAATACCCATAGGGGAAATTCTCATATTTATGGAATACAGTTAATTTGGGGATGGCAAAGTGATTATGGTAACACGATGATGAGGTTTAAATGTTTATAAGCGAAAGACAGATGTGTAGTTGTGCTGGATACACTAGTATTGGATGAAAAGGGAAAATAAGTGTTACCATGTTGTCAGCAAAAAGAATTTGCTGTCAAAAGAAGGACTTTGGGTCCTTTGTCAGGGTCTTATAAGAATTATGTGGAAGTTCATCAAAATCAGGAATAAATATAAGATCCCTATTATATGCCCATTAGAGAATGTGTTACACCATCATTTAGCTATGCGGGATCAAAGTCAATGGGGTTTTGGCCTTTGATTGAGACTAACTTTTGCCTTAAAGTGTGTGATCCATCTTTTGTTGTACATGCGACCATATGCACTCGGCCAATAGAGGCAAACTTACTTTTTCAAACCCAATTCAACTTTGAAAAAAAGAAAGCAGCTAAAAGAAAAATGCTCTCAAATGAAGTGGTCAATGTCATATCAGCTCTCAGCTCTCAATTCACCTCCAATACCAGTTCAAAAAGGGTTTGACCGACTGGGCTCACCACCCAACGCAGAGGCGTCGTCCTCCCCTGCGCTGGCTTGGCATCAACGTTGGAGCGGGTCCATGCCATCACTCAGCAACGCCGTGAGCTACTTACAGACGACCTTCTCCATAATGCAAAAGACTGATGTCAAAGCAACGAGGGAGGGGGGGGGGGTCGCCGAGAGAGTCAAAGAGTGACGGCGACACCTCAAGTAGCGTTGCTCTCGGATCGCTTGGCATCCAAAGCAATTGTGAGCGGAGGGAGCGACGCAATGTCAGACTGTCTCCGCAGCCGGGGAAGCATTTCAGTATCAAATGTACCGAGCGCCGCTTTGAAGAGGTCAATGTGTACCGCGGGGCAGCGCAGTGCTGCTTCCACAGAGCGCCTTCACAATGTCATCTGCAGCAACGCAGGCCGTCAACTGCAGATGGGGAAGAGGGATGTCGAAGATGTGGCTGTAATCAGAGGGAGGCCGTGGATGTTAAACATCTGGAAAGAATGATGACAGACGATGGGTCAGGAAGTCTGCCAGGAGTCAGAGTAAGATTAGTAAGGGTGTTCAACGAGTGGCTTGTCAAGTCTCAATATCTCAAATGTCAAAGAGTAGGAGGAGGAATTGTCTTTGCTGGGACACGGGCCCCTTTAGGAGCGGACTCCAGGACTTTGCATGCGGTCACAAAAAAGCAAACCGAAATGCTTCAGCTAACAATACAATCAATGATTGTGCCTTTCAGCTAAATTGACTGGGCTGAACTCTGCACATTTAATCATGTGGTGGCTTTGCAAAGAGCTCGCTGCATTCAGGTGACCTTTGTGTCCCTGTGATACGGCCGGGAGTACCTTTGTCTCCACGGCTTCCTATAGAGGACCTCCATCGGGGAGGACAATTTATAGATCAAGCTTTATGAAGAATGATGATGTGACAGGTGGGGAAAATAATCGGGCTGCGGAGCGTGGAAGGCAGAGCGCATTTACCAGGGACATTTTTCATTTGGTCTTGTGAACTTCAGGAAAGATGCTCATTATAAGTAAGTCAGGTTTAAATCCATTAAAAAAAAAAAAAAAAAACGAAAAAATGTTTTGGTTAATTTGACAATTGAAGAAAATACTATAATGGTTATTGTTGTGGACAATATTTTCCCAAATCTTATTCAGTTTTATTCAAGGTCTAAAACATCTGAGAAAAATAATCCAACAGGAATTAAATCATCTGTAACATCGTCGGTTGCATAATGCATGCAGCAAAAGGTAATTAGTATAATAATGTGCACTTATTAATCAATATATGATGTATTAAGTTGAACTTAAGTCCCTTTTGCCAAGAGCATCTCTAAAAGTGATGAACATGTGAACGGGGCAGAGATTACATCACTATAATTACACTAATTATGCATGATGAATATTTTTAAACTTTGTCCTAAAGACTTCCGACTGCAGGACCGAAGATTTTCCCGGTGTTAAAGTTGCAGCCTGTGCGCTGTCGGTTCAGATCCCGTTGAACGGAGTGAGAGGGAGAAACGGGACCCCGCGTTGCCGCCCGCTGCGCACATCTGCTCACATCCGCGCGCGGCTGCTGCAGCTGCAGGAGGTCACGAAGCTGGATCCGGAGTCCTGGACTGGAGATCCGGAGTCCCGGACGTGATCCCCGGATAGTCCCGCGCACCCGCGTCTATTTGCAAAGGACGTTGTTTTGGTTTTTCTCCGGTTTATTCATTTGTTGCAGGACTCTTCCTCCCGTGAACGCTCGGTGAGGGGAACCGGACAGTGGAGCCACCAGGTAGGTGTCGACCCAAGTACGACGTATTGCTGCGGCGGACTTTAATTAAGTTAATGGACCGCATCATTGGCTGATAGATTTATAATTAAAGTATTTTTAGGATTATAGATCATGTTTTGTAGTTATTGATTAGTGACGGTGAAAAAATGCTGTGCAGGATCTTTTAATATACTTAAGTGAATTAAAAAAAAAACTAATCATTTTTCCTTTTCGATTAATAATCCAATTAGTTTCTAGATTAATCACTTATTCCAGTTGATTTGGGATATTATCAGAGCTAAAGGGACATCTTCAAAACAGCCGAAACCCAACAGATGTATGTTTTATTAAAAGCACTGCTTGTATTACATAAATTCTCTAAATACAATCCTTTATTTATTTATATAGCCTTTATTATCTGTACTTTGCACCTACAATAACATTTCTATAATATTCCATTGCTGCTTTTTAACAGCAATGTTTAGCTTATTATTTTTCTACGACTCCTGAAGTAATTAGAAACAAATTACCCGACCAGTTATCCGATGCTCTGTCTCTTGGCTTCCTTTTTTGTTTTGCACTTTTGATTCAGACCTCTACATGTCCATGTTATCTACAGTAGTTTTTATTTAATGCCAAATCAGTCCTGAAAGTTCATCCGCTGCAGATTGATGGACGCACACCATCTTTAAATAAGGACAGATGCTGAGCAGCTAAAGGATTCATACCTGCAATTGTTCTGGTAATGTTGAACTTCACCATCCTTCTCCTCCAAACGAGTTGCCGTAACGGGGAGATGGTGTAAAATGTTCACTGAGTATGTGTTATAAAACATGCCAAGAAGAACATCAAAATGATCAAAAGCACCTCAAGAAAAGAGTAGCATGTACATTTTAGAGGTTGTTGGCAGCGCATCTAACAAAACTAATTGAATCATGACAAGTTTTGACATTTATTGCATCTCAACCTTTGTCTCTCCATCTTTCTGTCATCCAGGGACACCTGCTCCTCCCTCCCCGGATACACAAATATGACCGGGCTCCGGGCCGGGTGGCCCTCAGGCGTGTAGCTGGTACGCAAAACTTTAGACATCTGCTGCTTTTTGAGTTGCATCAGGGCTTGTTTCCCTTAACTGCGGATGAATGATGGGCAGAAAGGTCACGTCGACCGTTGAAAGGTCCCCGAGTATCTAACCGTAGCCATGTAGCCTGACACGAAGGGCGTTTTGGGGACAGCAGAAACCACAGCACAGGCAACCTGGATGCCAATTCGTGTCTCACTGACACCTAAAGCAACACGCCCCACCGATGCAAACCCTCCTCAGTTGTTTCAGTCTGCTAATGGGGGCCTCTCGCAGGTCACGTCCCAAACTCCCCTCCGGCGCTCCTCTTTGGTTTGTGGGAACTTTGTGGCTTCTGTGTGCGGCCGTGACCGCGTGCCCTCACAACTGTCACTGCGCGGACCGGAACGGCGTGGTGGTGCAATGCACCTCGCGCAACCTGGAGCGCATCCCTCCCAACTTGCCCAAGGACACCGTCGTTCTCTTGCTTTCGTCCAACCGGATCAGAAAGGTCCCGAGAGAGACCTTCACGGGCCTCCCCCGCCTCAGGGAGCTGGACTTATCTCACAACGCCGTGGAGAGCGTGGACGTCGGCGCCTTTGAAGGCCTCTCCGAGAGCCTGCGGACGTTGGATCTGTCAAACAACCAGCTCAGCAGCCTCCCCAAGGACACCTTCGCCAAGCTCCACGCCCGCGTCCGACTGTCCCACAACCCCTGGCACTGCGACTGCTCCCTGCAGGAGGTGCTGAGGGAGCTGCGGCTCGACCCGGAGACGGCGAACGACGTCGGCTGCTCCACGTCGGTGCAGGGGGAGTACGTGGGACAGGCGGTGACCCAGGTCCTGGACTCTGGGATCAACTTTTGCAATTTCCACCACAAGACGACAGACGTGGCCATGTTCGTGGCCATGTTCTGCTGGTTCTCCATGGTGACGGCGTACATCGTTTACTACATCAAACACAACCAGGAGGACGCCAGGAGGCACATGGAGTACCTCAAGTCCCTGCCCAGCGCTCCCCGCGTTAGCACAGACTACGAAACAGCCAGCAGTGTGTTTTAGTGTAGTTTAAGAACTTATTGTATTTTTACTTTGTTTTACAGTAAAACCACATTACCCTGACTAAGCTTTACAGTATAACTTCTCTATGTAGTTTCCAGGACGAGGGAAAATATGTTTCATAGTACTATACACCTTTCCCTGATAATAATTATTGAAAATTAAGAAAACTAGTTTACTTTCTTATAAATATTATACTTTTTACTTTAGCACAAATACAATGGGTCTTGTTAGCAAAATGTTCAAATAACGACACAAAACTAATTAAAGACAGGAGCTTAAAGACAAAGACGTGTGGCGACATACATTTCTCAGGGTGGACTAGTTATAAAATAAAAAAAGTACAAAAAAAATAAACTGTTTGTGGAGTTCATTCTTTAAGCCCCACTGATGTGTGTGTACATTGTTTTTAACAGAAGGTAGATGCAATAATATGTATGAAAACTGCTGAATGAGTGAAATGAACAAATAAGCCACAGAACTGTTAACCCCCCCCCCCCCCACACACACCACACACACACACACACACACACACACACACACACACACACATCACACATGAGATCCTTCCGATGAAAAATAGCCACAGCTCCAAATATGGAAGCCGCACGTCTTCACAGATCGTGATGAGGCAGAATATTAATACGTTTCTCACATCCCAAAAATAGTTTTATTCGACGAACAGTTCAAATCCATAAATCTAACGAGCCTTTGTGGAAGCATTTCTGGGGGCTGATAGAGCGACCTTGGAGCCGGCAGTCTTAAAAGATTTGCACACAAAAGGGCCGCCGAGGAACATTCCGTTACCTCTGAAATGACAAACGAGTCTTTTGTTGTGGACGAATCTCTGCAAAAAAAAAAAAAAAGCAACAACAAATAGCCGCTTGACTTTATCAGTGAAGTCACACGGGCCTGAAGTGGCAGGTGGCAGAATGTCTCCTCAAAAAGAGACGCGTATGAAAAGGAAACTCAAAATGAAACAAAACTGCCAAGAGAGACACAGAGAGACCAGATCACCGGAAGTAAACCCAATAGTTAGAACACTTTTGTTGGCCAACGCTGCAGTCTCCTAATGACACAGTAAGCGCCGTTGTGGCGTCCAGTTGGCTTTTCTTCTTCTTTTTTTTCGACGCCATTTCTCCGGTCGAACTTTAATTACAGTCCACATCACTCGTCCTCCAAGTCCCAAGGGCCGTGGCACACATCCTAATCAACCAAATGCTATTAATTAGCCGGGTGCGGTTGAGGTCACGGTGTCTCTCCACGTTTAAAATTATAAAAATTTAAAAAAAACAGTGGCCCTTCATGAGCGTTGCATAAGCACCAAGAGAAAAGGCTCGCATGTGTGTTCTTTAACACGCAATTTAAAAAAGGTTGCTGAAGCAAGATGTGGAGATATGACTGTTTATTATATTGAAACACAACAGAGCAGGATAGAGCCGCTGATTAAAGCAGATTGGTGCCACAGCTCTCAGCAATCGCAAACCTCCTCCTCAATTCTCAAAAACAAAAATCTCCCCCTAAATGATTCAAGGGTTTTGTTGATTTTCAGCATGCTAATTGGAATCTGCGGAGTGTGATTAATGGTGTGCAATCATTATGGAGATTTAGTGCATTTGCATATTACACCAAGGTCATCCGCCGTCTCCCCTCAATGACCAGAAAACATCCCCAGTAGGTTTCACTGTCCGAAGCCAGTCGGGATCGGGCCTCTTTTCAAGGTTCAGTCATTATTTAGTGTCTAATTTAGCTCTCAGCCATGACACATGTGTTGTGAGACACACGGTACCACAGACAAAATAAAATGGTTCATTTCGTGGGCAGAATGTCAGGTACTTAATCAAACAACACAAATCACGCCAGTGAGATTCATTTCCCCAAAACACCCGATGACAAAGTAGTTTTGAAAATGAAAACAACCTCACCACCAACAGCAGCTTTCAATGTTCATTTCTTCCTTCACTAACGCGCGGTGAATCAAAGCGTCAAAAGGCAACAGGTACACAGACGCTTCGCGTGAATCACCTCCTGCTGAAGGTGACGCCCCGATGGAAGTTCATGACGTGGTGTTCCTCGTGTGGGGTCCTCACTGATTTAGAGCAGCTCGCACACACCTGATGCAATTGAGCAGGGCGGCTGCCCCCGTGATTGGATCAGGTGCAGTTTTCCGGTCCTCGATGTGGTTGTAAACGTGTGATACATTAGTGGGCATTTGGTGCCTCTGTCATAAGGCTCCAAGCTGCCCTGATCACACAGCTGAACGTTTCCCCCCGTCCCTCTATATGGGTCTCTGAGGGCAAATAAACCACTTTATATTTGTGGGAATCAAATACAACGGTATCAGTGCCAAGTTTCCTCTGCAGAGTAAAATGTATTATAGGATTCTAACCCCTTTCTCCTCCAGCTGTTCTCGGGTCTTATCTCCAGCCAGGTGTTTTCACTCCTGTGGCGTCATGTGTGCAGATGTTTAAATTAAGTGACACAAACCCTTTCTCAAGCTCACAAACCAGAAAGAGATGCATCCTTCCTCCGGACCGGTTCAAGGCCTCTTGTTATATTTGCCCTCAGGAAAAGTCCTCCTCCCTCCGGAGCTCTAATTGGGCATCGTCAGCTTAGATGGAGGGCTGACTTGATCCTCTTTGACTTTCCTGGTTATTGGAGGATTTGCACCCTCGTGCTGTCAAAGTCAAGGGCACGCACCTCCACGGATTGGACAGTTGTGCGTTCTCTCTGTCTTAGATATTCTTCTAACTAAATAAATAAACGAAGCGAACACCTTCTGTCAGGGGTTTTTTCTAAACGTCTGACTGTCGGACTTGTCTGGGGTTATTTTTGTAAGGATGCTCTCCGATGTAGGCAGCAGAATTACAGATTCATAGCGGAGCCGTCAAAGGACTCCCCAGGGTGCTGCGCCCCTATAGAACACGGCTGTAAAATACATTATGACAAGCTATTAGGCTCAAGTCGTGATTTACACAATGCAAACCAACAGTAAAATCTGTCCCCATAGAATAACGCAAGTTCTAGAGCTAAATCCACATTCATGAATCAAATAAAAACAGAAGAAGCCGACCAATAGATTCTCAGTGAGCTAAATAAAAGACAAGACTGGACTTGCTGTGGGATCTTCATTCAAAAGACAATGTCTACTCTATGATCTGCATCCTAAAACACAAACAGAAAAGCTCTAAAACAAAAGTTTTATCAAAACACGAACCAGAAGAAACACAGAGACGACGACAACAGCAGACATTCAATCTGTCACCCTGCATCCCCTTTTTTTTCCAAACCTTGCACCACAGAACCAAAACGAAGCTGTGCAACAATGTACACGCAGCATCGGTAGAACTAGAAGGAATGCAAAGAGCCATTCGACGCAGAGACAACGCGTAGCTCAAAAGGGGCTTCAAGTGCTCGCAGATCTATAAAGATAAATCACACCTGCTTCCACGTGTGAAAAACTGCCGGCAGTGAAAAAGGTCTTTTAGAACAAGTCATATTTATACCCCAAAAAGCTATATATCTTTTAGGGAACTAATGCTTCTGGTCCATGAATCATTTGATTAATATAATCCATTAATTACCTCTGGCCCGGCTCAAAATACATTGGTAAGAAAAGTCCAGAACGTCCACGTCTATAAATAACAGCCGAGATGAATCTTCCAAGAATTCCTTCCCTCTCTGCTGGAAAGACAGATTTCCAAAAAACAAAGCGCAGAATCAGTTTCGCTGAAACAGACAGAAACACCCAGTCTACAGCGTGGACATGTGCTTATGCATTATTTATAACCAGACTCTCTCACAACGACAGTCTATTCCAAACACTTTGGCTTTACTTTGACTATATTGTAAAAGCAATTTGTACACGCAAATAAACCCATTTCACGTCGCGAGATTTATGTTGCTGCTGGCGAGGAAGAAGGAGACAAAAATGCAGAAAATGACACAACGCTTCAATGGTACTTTCCCCTTAGCAGCTTGATTCTTTGACATTTTCCTTTATAAAAATCTGGATCGTTGTCCCCAGAGACGACCGTAGCAGTATTTACATAAATACACAGAAAACGACTTCCTCCAGAGGAGAAACCGCGCGACGCCGGAGCGCTTCTTCCCCTTTTCCCTTCACAGCACGTTCAGGTCGTCCGCGGCCTGGTGGTCCAGGCGCGAGTGGCGCCCCCGGCCCTGGACCGAGTTCGTGGTCGGCACCTGGACGGCCGGGTCGGCGTCCAGACCCACGTGTGTGCTGATGAGCGACGAGCGGAGGCTCCTCGCGAGGCCCAGCGCTCGCACCTCGTACACCTCCACCGAGGTCTTTTTGTACCTGGAGGGACGAGACGGCCGTTTGGTTGACATTGACGTCAAATGTGGCGGAAAATAAGAGGAAATAACAGCGAATGAGTGAGATGGAATGTATGTGTAGATCGTTAAAGACAATTATCGTGCACGTATATAAATATGTATCCTGTAAAAGAGGAAAATCTGGCAGAAATCAAACAATTAATATCACACCACCCATTCAAGTTCCCTTTGAACTCACATCTTCAGCATCAAAGACGACAGGACCACCGAGACGGACGAGGCGGCCATCGCGGCGGAGCCCATCCAGGGCTGCAGCACCACGCCGACGGGCATGAACACACCTGCAAGCGGCAGAATCAAATCACAGAGCCGATCTCCAGGCGGCGATTGTGACCGCGGCATCAGAGCGCCGTCTCGTCCGACCTCACCTGCGGCGAAGGGGATCCCTACGAGGTTGTAGATGAGGGCGAAGACGAAGTTGGTCCTTATCCGCCGCACCGTCTTCTTGGACAGCTCGATGCTGGCCACCACGTCCAGCAGGTTGTTCTGAAGGGGGTGGAGAAGAAAAAACACCTCAGTCCGAAGGGTTCGGGAACCCGGCGCTCTGACGTCGCGCCAACTTACTCGGATGAGGACGATGTCGGCCGCCTCGATGGCCACGTCGGTGCCCGTGCCGATGGCGATGCCCACGTCGGCCCGGGCGAGGGCGGGCGAGTCGTTGACGCCGTCCCCCACCATGGCCACCCGCCGGCCTCGTTCCTGCAGCTCCTGCACTTTGGCCACCTTGTGCGACGGCAGCACCTCGGCGTACACCTTCCCGATGCCCACCTGCGATCCACCACGTCATTTGACTCCACGCGTCACACTCATTTCCTCCGGGGGGATTCGCGCATGAGGTGTACCTGTGCGGCGATGGCTTTCGCGGTGCGCCTGTTGTCCCCCGTGATCATCACCACCTCGATGCCCATGCCGCGCAGCGTGCGCACCGCCAACGCCGACTCCGCCTTCACCGTGTCCGCGATGGCCAACATGGCACACAGCACACCTGCGGGGATTCACGCGCAACACGTGAGACGAGCGATCGGACAGGGATGCCGACTGTGGTTGTCGTTTTAATCCTCACCATCTATCGCCACCAGTATGGCGGTCTGTCCTTTCGTCTCGTGGCTGGACATGGCGGCGTCGACGTCCTCGCCGATGTGGTGGCCGTTCCTCCTCATCCACTCCCGGTTCCCAATGAGGACGGAGTAGGACGGAGGCTCGCCTGGAAGAGAAGACGCAGTTTGTTGTTCATTCAGTCCTATTAATTAGAGTTATACTTGATAATTAACTTAATGAAATGAATGGATTGGAATTTTAACAGATCATCAAGTTTAAGGAGTTCTTAGTAAAACATTTTAATTAAAGCGTAAATATTAATTATATTATAATAAAAAATATTATGTTATTTCATCAATCGAGGAGTGTTTAACAATTAAAACCTCTATATTTAGGATAACCAAATTAAATTCATAAATGCTGATTAAGAATCACTAACAATTTATTTGATATTTATTCATTAAAAAGAGAAAAAAAACCCAATACATTTTCAGCGCCCCTGAAATTGAATCCTAGTAACGCCTTAAATTATTAGTGTATCGTATTTGTGAGCGCGAGCTCGGCCGCTAACAGCCATCGGACCTGCAGGCGGGGGCTCGGCGGCGGCGGGCAGGCTGCTCTCGTCGGTGGTGGCCCCCGGCACGGCGAAGCGCTCTTCGGTCGGGTGCGGCAGCAGATGTTCGACGTTAGAAACCCGGCAGCTGATCCCACAGCCGGGAACGGCCTGGAAGTCCTGACAGCAGCCCAGCAGCTCACTGGCCAGCTCCTGGGAGGAAGAGGAGGAGGCGGACGGACGATCAACCGGTGGCGCCGGCGTTTAAGAACGCCTTCACGCGGAAGCATCAGCGGCACCTGTTTGCAGTGCTTGGCCACGGCCGCGCCCAGCGGGTGCTCGCTGCTGGCCTCCGCTGTGCCGACCAACGCCAGGATCCTCCTCAGGGGCATGCGGGCCACCTCCCACAGCACCAGCACCCGGGTCACCCGAGGAACGCCGTACGTGATGGTGCCGGTTTTGTCGAACATCACCACGTCGATCTGAGGGAGCAGAAGAACAAAGGCGGAGGGATGAGTCCAACGCCGACCTGCGCGCCAGATGACCATTTCGTTTCCTTTTCAGATTAAAGAGCATTGCCTTGTGGGCCATCTCCAGCGGCTCGCCCCCTTTGATAAGGATCCCGTTCTGAGCTCCGACCCCCGTGCCCACCATGACGGCTGTCGGGGTCGCCAACCCCAGAGAGCATGGGCAGGCGATGGACAGAACGGTGATGGAGGCCTGGAAGGCAAAGCGGACGATGACCTCGTCTTGAGATGTCTGATGTAACTTCGGGCGTGGGGGGGGGGGGGGGAAGAATGTGTCATTGGAGTGACGCCAAAGGTTTTAACAAAAGCACCTTTTGTTTGCATGCGGGACCAAACGTGAGCCGCACCTACCGGGAAGTTCTCCCTCACAATGTCAAAGTTGACAAACCCGATTGCCAGCCACGCCACCAGCGTCAGCAGCGAGACCAGAACTATGAAGGGCACGAAGTAGCCGCTGAGGCGGTCTGCAAACTGCTGGATGGGGGCCTGAAGAAACACGTTATTTTTTTTATTTTATTTTGAACGGCGAATGTGTAAGATAGTAAAGGAGAAATCCAGCACAACCCCACCTTTGAGGTTTGGGCCTCTTCCACCAGCTTAACGATTTGAGACAGAGTCGTGTCGGACCCCACGTGGGTGGCCTCCACCAGGAGAGCACCGTGGGCGTTGATGGAGCCGGCAATCACCAAACTGCCCACCTTCTTACCGACGGGCATCGGCTCCCCTGACCACCATAGAAGAAGAGAGGCAGGCCGAGAGAGACGGAGCAAATGAAAATGTTTAATCAAAAAAGGGTCCCTTTTTTTGTCAAATAGGACAAACTAAGGTGACATATTTTTCCAAGGCAGTTGAATCAGATGTGATGCATTCATTGAAAATATAAATGGAGAGTTCACAGTATTTTATATGCAATTACAGCTTTGACAAAAGAAGAACGATTGCTGCCGACCTCTATTTTGAAAAATAAATGATTTGAGTTAAAAACTCTTTCTCAAAAAAATACTCCTGAAGACTAAATCAAACAAGTTTACATCCTTCAGCGTCACCGGTCCTCTGTAAAGTCACCGGTCCCATCCTCCTACCTGTGATCAGGGACTCGTCAGCCATGGAGTTTCCCTCAATCACTCTCCCGTCCACGGGGAACTTTCCTCCCGGAGCGACTTTCACGATGTCTCCCCGCTGGACCAGCTCCACCACCACCTGCTCCTCACTGGAGCATCAAGGCGCTGACCGTTACAGATCCCACATCTACCATTTTAACCTCTCAGAGGCGAACGCAGGCGTCGTGCTCACCTGATGGCGGAGTGGTCTCGCCCCAAAGTGACCACAGTGGCATCAGTAGCTTGAAGTGACATTAATTTGGCCAACGCCTCGGAGGTTTTACCCTAAGAAACAGCAACACAACAGCCAATCCTTCAAACACATCCTGGGTTATTCACTTATTTTAAAGCCGTAGTTCAATGCATCAAATGTCATGATTAAATCAACACGGTAAGTTTTAAACTAAAAGCCATTGCACCGCAGTGCTTCACATCCTTTTACTTTTGCGACGTGCTCCAGCCATCGGCCCAGCGCGATGAACACAAACAGCATGGGCGGAGTGTCGAAAAAGGTGACGGGGCTCTGGCCGGCTCGCTCGGCCATGGCTACGACCAGGACCACGCAGGAGTAGATGTAGGCAATGGAGGTGGCCAACACGATGAGCACGTCCATGTTGGCGGTGCGGTGCTTCAGCGAGCGGTACGCCTGGATGTAGAAGTATCGGCCTCCGAAGATCTTAAAAAAAAAAGGAACAAACGTCGCTGGCGAACAAGAAAATAAAAAAAGGGAACAACCCCGTTGTTGGGGGAAGGAAACATAAATAAAAGAAGCCGCGGACGCAGACGCGTGGCCCCACCTGCACAGGCGTGCAGAGCAGGAAGAAGGCCAGGTTGAGGAGGGAGAGGCCGGGCAGCAGGTTCTGCTCCTGCGGCATTGAGCCTCCGTGTTCCTGGTGCTGACTGTCCATCACCATCATGTAGATCATGAGGCCCATGGCGGGCAGGCCGAAGACCAGGCTGAGAAGGAAGGAGTTCTTCCACCTGGACAAACACGAGTCCCGTGGGAGGTGATGAGACGTCTTTTCTACCGGGTTTCCGCGGGTTTTTTTTACACAATGTGAAATTCTTTGGCGCCTGAAGGCCTTAAAAGATGATACTCGAAGAACACATTTCCTTCTAAAAAAAAATAAAGACATTTTAAAACCAGATACTTGCTGTCGTATTTCTTCGGTGTGATCCAGGTTGTTTCGGAAGCTCGCCTTCACCAGACTGGCCTCGAATCCGAGACTCTGGACGACGAAAACACAAGAACCAGGTTGTGCCGTGAAGTGCGCGGCGTCACAGCGGCGGAGGTTGCCAACGGGAACGCGATCCCCACCTGAATGATCTTGGTGATATCTCGAGCTCCCAGCACTTCGGGGTCAAACTGGATCCGGGCTTTCTTGGTCGCCAAGGCGACGGAGGCCACGATGATCCCTTTGGTGGAGGCGAGCTTGGACTCAATGTTGTGCACACATGATGCACACGTCATGCCCGTTATCTACGAGTGAGGAATGGTGGCGTTAAGGGACTTCGTTTCGGGAAAGATAGGAGGAACGGCATGCGTCTTCTTCTCGGCTGACTCACCGTGAGGTCCAGCTTCCCGTCCGTTCCTGCGTGGTCCTCAATCAGCTTGGCGCCAAAGCCCAAGTCTTCTATGAGCCGAGTCACGGCCGCGGCGTCCAGGACTTCCGCGTCGTACTTCACCTCCGCCTTTCCGGCCATGAGTGACACCAACACCGAGAGGATCCCTGGAAGTCAAAGCGAAACATTGCGCGTGTGCACAGAAACGCGCAGCGCATCGCGACAGCCGAGCCGGCATCACCTCTGTGTTTGTGCAGGTTCCTCTCAACGTTGGCCACACAGGAGGCGCAGGTCATCCCCGTCACGCAGATGAAGCATTTCTGCGCTTTGGTCGGGCTTCCAGGCGTCGCCTGTGATCCGGCGCCGCTGTTGACTGGCGCCTGAACGGGCGGCTGCGAGTCCGAGAGGCCAGAAGGTCCGGAGGCAACGGGCCTGGACTTTGGACGTGGCTGGAGGAACTTTGCAGATGCAGGTTCTGTAGAACAAAGTCAGAGGCACAACGAGGCTTAAAACTGCAGGATGAACACTGCCGCTTCTCGCATTTCATTGGAGGAACGTTGCAAAGCACATTTACTCGAGTACGACTTTTTTTAGGAGCTTTCCATTAGACAAAAAGTGCTTTATACTTCTACTGCACAGTTCAGTTCTTTTTACCTTCACACAGACATTCGTGGTGTGAGTAAATTAAACTAGAGAGGCTGCTTTCGTCATTAAATCCAAGAAGAAAGCCTCGGCCGGTGTAAGAGCCCTTCATGTCGCACTACAGCATGCTTTGCCTGGTTTCCCGGGCAACCAGAGGAAATTGAATTGAGGTGAACATAAGAGGGGGCTGGAAAGAATTTAATCAAAGTATTCCTGCTCTTAACGTAGGGTGGCCACCTGGGTACCAGTGGGCCGTATGGATCATGTTGCGCAACAACATCTGACTCTTTTACGAGTGGGTTAGGGGTTAGGGTGCAATCATCCCTCTGGTCATACAATATATTTTAAGAAAACAACAACAACAACGAGACCTTTGTCTTTGAAGATAAAGCGCCTGCCCTCACACTACAACACTTTGAGCTCATCTTCTGTTCCATTATCCCAAACGCAAACGTCTGCCAACCTTCGAGCGACGCCTCAAAGCCCATGTCGTCGACAGCTGCCCTGAGCAGCTCCGGCTCCGTCAGGCCGGGGTCGAAGGTCACCGTTCCCTTCCCCTCCTCCAGTGACACGGCGATGGACTGCACTCCCGTCACCTGGGAGATCCTCCCTTCCACGGACTGCACGCACGAGTTGCAAGTCATCCCCGCGATCCGAATGGTGACGGTGGCGATGGACGCGTCACGCTGCCAGTAGGCGACGTCACGCGCAGATGCGTCGTCGTCGTCGTCGTCGTCTGACAGCGAGGCACCGAAACCCATCTCCTCTATGGCGCCCCTCAGCTCCTGCCGGCTCACCAGAAGAGGTCGATACACAATCAGCGCCGCGGCGTCCTGCAGGGACACCCGAATGTGGGACACCCCGGGTCGAGCGCCGATCCGTCCCTCGATGGACTGCACGCAGGACTGGCAGCGCATCCCGTCCACCCTGACCCGCGCCGCCGACTCCGCGTCCAGTCCCAGCCTCTGGAGCTGCAGGGCGATGTCTTTGGTCGTGACGGCGGCGGCGTCGTAGTGCACTTTGGCCAAGCCGCTGGGCGACGACAAGCTGGCGGCGAGGACTCCGTCCAGGCCGCAGACTCCGCCCTCGACGGCCCGGGCCTGGTGCCCGGCGCCGAGTCCCAGGAGTTTAAATGTGGCGGTGGAGGCTGTTTTGGGTGGAGGACGGAGCTCGCGCTGACTCCCGTACTCGTAGGCCAAGTTGTCGAGGCCGCGTTGGTCGACGCGGAGGCCATTCTCCTGGAAAGGGGAAGAGAAATAAAGTCACAAAGTCAGACTTAAGCTCGGTCACGTGAAGAGTTTTCAGCTCCCTGAGAATAAACATGGCGACGGCATCTCTTAAAGCACAGACGTGGTTTCTCCACAATCCACCGCAGGCGTTGGACTGGAAAAGGACCTCTCAGAAGGCTGTCAGCTGAAAAGCGGGGGGGGGGGGCGTTAACTGAACTGGTCCGGGGGCGTAAATTCCACATGACCGGCCCTTCACATAATCTCCCAACGTGACTCTTCTTAAAAGCACCTCGCTGAACTGAAGGACCAAGTCAGCAACACGGAGAGCTACAGTTTACTTTCCTGCTGCAAAGTCACAGATTACTACACTTTCATGTATTGGAAGACTTAAAAACAACAGCGACTCACATTTAAACCCGTTTCACTTCATTACAGGTAGATCTGATGGGACCAAAGGGGGGAAAGAAAAGGACGTCCGTAAACCTCTGCAGACTTTTACTCCTTTAAAAGGCTGCGAGTCTGGAAAGTGATGCACAGTGGAGGAGACCCACAATCCTTCATGACAATAACAAATCACGAGCCGGGCGCTACGGCGACTTAGTCAAACACTGGCATGTTGACATCTGGGCTCACGAGTGGCGTCACCTGTTCAAAGTTCAGCGCCTGACCTCGGCCGATCACCACAGACCTTTCCCCAGGTACATCGGCCTCCGTTACAAGCGCGCGCGCGGGCGGGCGGGCGACCCGCATGACGTCACGGTGCAAAAGCGGAAGTCATAAAAGGTGCAGGTTCAGGGGCAGATAAAAGGTGTGTCAGGAGGTCCAAGAGACAGACGCATCCAGGGACATCTCCTCATTGTGTACGGGTAGAACTAAGTGGAATAACAAGAGTCACATCGAATCTAATTAAAAAAAGCAATTAAGGGAACGGGTTCTAATTGTATTAACAAGAATGATCAAACATCCTTTGAATTCTATATTCTTTTGTCTGCAGAGAATGAAGGAAACAGCAAGTTCTAACATTAATCGACTTAGTTAAGGAAAAGTACTGCGGAGTTTTGGAAAGAAACCAGTCTGCTGCAGGTTTGAATAATGTCCCCACAACAGACAATAAGAGCCTTCGACCCGCAGGGAAACGGGAGCCGCGTGTGACACCTGATCACGATCACGACTCCCTTCACCTGCTGACAAAGAGCGGTTTGTCCCACACAAACCAAACGAAAAAAGCTGCCGGACCCGTGAAAGACAAGAAGAGCGGTTTGTTTTCCAGTAGTGGCAACGAAGTGAACTTACTGCGTGAATGAAGGAAATCGTGGAGGTGATTGTACTTCACCTGATTACTTTTACTTTACGCTCCTGTTTGAGAGAGAAATATATTTCACTTGATTTCTTTCTGTCCATTGATCAATCAACTGCTAAGGAAAGTACTCAAGTTAAATGAGCAATCCGGGAATGTAGAAATACGTCGCAAGTAGACTTCTTACGCAAAATGCGCACCTACAGCCCAACTGAATATTGGTGTCAAGCTCACGGGCTTGTTGCTGAATTCAACTGGTTCAAACCCCCTGCAGCCGTTCAGCAGGTGTCCCCAGGAACCCCTCAGAAGACCTCCACCCCTGAACCTTCTGGAGAGCTGCTCCCCCGGGGAGGCCTACCTGCGGATCCCGCGCGCACAGCCCCCCGCCGGGGCACTCCGAGGGCCCGCAGGTGCAGTCCGGCGTACAGGCGCAGTCCACCATGCGGATCCGCTCCGCGGACGACTCGGGGACGCGCTTGGGCGGCTTTTTGGGCGACTTCGGTGAAAACATGTCGACGCGGCTCCGGCGCCGTTCGGCTTATCTTCACCTCTGGGGGAGTCGGGGGGGGCAAAAGTCCGCGCAGGGCGAAGCGCCGCGTCGTGTGGAGGCGGAGGAGGAGGAGAGCGCAGCGCAGCGCCGGTGCGCACTCCGGGAAAACGTCATGTTTTAAGTTCACAAGAGTTAAGAGCTTTTTTTTTTTACGGGGGTTTATGATTGAGAAACGGACAAAAACCGCAATCACATTAATTCTGCAGAGTCGATGCAAAAATAAATGACATTCAACACTCCCAAAAAAAAATATTATCTGCACTACAGGATGTTTGAAGTGCTTTGGTGGAAAAGCTGGGGATACAAACAAACCACGGTATCTGTAGAAAAATAATTTTATTCAAATCCAAAAAGTTTGAATTACAAGCAGTGAATAAAGTTAGAAGAACGCCACTTTATTTTATAGCGGGATTAAGTTGTAAATTTCAAAATAAAAGCCAAATTACAGAAAGACTAAATCCCACTTTTCCATCAGATTTGTAGCCATATGAAAGTGTCGAGGATCAATACCAAATAGCTGCACAAACTGACTCTTGCGTGTATATATATATTTATAAAATACATTTTATTGAGTGTCCTCAAAGCCTCCAGTCAAAGTGTGTGTGTGTGTGTGTGTGGAAGTGGGAAGAAGTCATCAAAGAAAACAAAGGAATGTAGATAATAAAAAGGACACAAGTCTTCATTTCGTGTGTGTACCAGTGAGTATAAAACGTGCCCCACTGCAAAGAAAGTCCTTCTTTGGGCGTTTCATCGGTTGTGTGTTAATAAAACAAACCTGCCTGTGGATTGAGAAGATTCCTCATGTCTGGGTGTTATTGATTCACTTTCCACGAAGGAGCTGCATAGAAATCTAGAAGGCACACGCGGGGCAAGAACCTGAAGTCCAATACTTCACCAACATGCTGTTACAGTACATTTAAATCCAGATTCACTTAAAATACTTTTCTACGACTTGTAACAACGTCCATCTTTTTGTTTTCTAGTGTTGTGGCTCAGAAACGTTGGCGTAAAGGAAGGACTCCCGCATGGGGAGGAATGATCAGACACCGCGAAAAACAAAGAGGAATCCCCGTCTCCCGCCTCTTTTTAAATAATTAAACGTTCAAACAGACATTTCTTGCAGCGTGAATCTGAACAACAACAACAACGACAGGGGAGGGGGGGGGGGGGGGGGGGGGGGGGGGGGTCAGGAAGCATCGGGAGCCCGTCGGCTCTCCTCCAGCGAGGCGGCTCAGCGCTGGCGGTCCCAGCGCCAGATGGAAGCGTCGTCGCACACGGCGATCAGGATGCCGCTGTCCCGGCTGAAGCTGGTCTGCCGGATGGCCGACGTGCACTTGGAGAGGGTCAGCGTGGTGCACCTGGGGGCCGGAAGATCGCTCAGTCAATAAAAACGTTGCGTAAACGTAGCGTTGGTGTTGCTTTCACGACGCCCCCTCGGAGACGGAAGGCGCGTTTTGTGACGCCGGCGGGGGTCAGAGGCTCCATCCGTCCGCTGCAGATGGATTCGACTTACTTTGCTTTGTGTGGGTCTTCCACTTCTAGGTCCCAAACATAAAGCTTGCCCACCTGGTTTCCCAGAGCCAGCATCTAAAAGATGAGCAGCACAGGAGACAACGGAGCTGAACGTTCTCCTCTAATCAAACAACGTATGCCGTCTATCGACTGTATGGAAATAAATAAAAAGGACCTCACCTTCTGCCAGAAGTCCATGGAGAAGCGCATGTACCAAATGTCACACTGGCTGTAATCGAAGCGGCCCAGAACCGTCACATTTGACTCGTTCGGTTTAATGTGATCGAGGTCCTCCTCCATCTTTCCCGGTTTCCAGCAGACGATGGCGTTCTCACAGGACTGCAGGGAGGAGCAAGTTGGACCTTCAGAGCGGCGCCGGCCTCGTGTAGCCGTTTGTTAAGTTATCCTAACTAGCCCGATGATCTTTACAGTCGCTGCTCACTTGCCTTTGAGAGAATGAGGTCGCCCAGCCACCGCACACAGTCCACGTAGTTTCTGTGGATGTCTCGTGTCGAGAAGTCGGGGAAGTGAATTTTCTGTGAGACGAAAGGCCTGAGGGGGGGGGGAAGCACATGGGAGACGTGACTGCCTACGTCAGTGAACGCCGGCGTGGTGAGGAGGCGTGTGTGTTCGTACCGGTTGGTCTTCGATGGGTTGTACTCATAAGACCCCCGGATGGCTTTCTGCATCCGCTCTGAATTGATTCTCCAGAGCTTTAAGGAGTGGTCCATCCCACATGACATTATCTTTTCACCCAGAAGATCGAAATCCTGCAGCAGGGTGGATAGAATAAATCAGCAAATCCGGTTTTACTTTGAGATCAATTGCTGTTCTGATGGAGCTAAAAACTCACAGCACTCAGGACTTCATCTCGATGACCTTCCACTCCACCGAATATTGCCACGAGAGTGTCCGTCTGTATGTTCCACAGACGCAGAGCGTGATCTGGGGAAACAAATCAAGGCACGTTTTATTTGGTTAAATGATGAATCCTTGTTTGACAGTTCAGGATTAACTTGGATCACAATTGTTTTTGTGGTTCAACAAAACATCAGCAGACTTTGAACTCAACTCAAAACAACTGCTGTTGCCCTTTTCCCTTTAGTGAGGTGAAGTAGCAGCTGATCAAAACAATGATAAAGAGAGCGAGGAGATGTTCCGGGCACCTCGGAGGAACGATCCTCCGTGAAGATACTTTAGAACAGTGGTTCTTAACCTGGGTTCGTTTGAACCCCCGGGCTTCGGTGAGTCAGTCTCGGGGGTTCGGCGGAGGTCCAGACACACACCCAACTCATATGATTCGTGATCACACGCCCCGCTTGGCCATCATTGGCTGCAGGTGATCACGCAACATCGCTTGGCCTATCTGTGCTGCAGGGAATTTGGCCCGCTCAGTAGTCAAATTGTGACTGTCGTGATGGTACGTCGTGGGATTTCTTTCTTAATATTTTAATCCCTTCATACTAACTATGTCGAGCAAAAAAAGGAAGTGGTCGGACGAATATGTACAATATGGATTCACATGTATAACGGAACGTGATGGGAGTCAGCGTCCTAACTGCATGATTTGCAATGCCAAGTTGAGCAATTCTAGTCTAGCACCGGCAAAACTAAGAGAACACTTCCTTAAGCTGCATGGAGATGGACAATACGAGAACACAATGCTCGCTGAATTCAAGGTGAAGAGAGCCAGATTCGATGAAAAGGCTACTCTGCCTGTTCTCGGCTTTGTACCCATCAACAAACCGATCCGTATCCTAAATTCCTCTTTGAAATGACACCATTAGCGACAGAATAGAGGACATGAGCTCATCTTGGCTCAAGTAGTTGCGGATCTGATTTCAAGCCCGGCAAAATTCAGCCTTCAACTGGACGAGACCACAGAGGTTCCCAATCTAAGCCAGCTTGCTGTATTTGTGCGCTATGTGAAAGACAACGTGATAATGGAAGACTTTTTTATTTTGTAAGCCTCTTACGACAACATCTAAGGCAGCCGATGTGAAGAAACTTGTGGATGACTTCTTCAAAGACAACAATCTTTTGTGGGAAATGGTTTCTGCAGTTTGTTCGGACGGAGCTCCAGTCATGCTGGGAAGAAAGTCTGGTTTTGGTGCGCTGGTGAAAGCCGATGCACCACACAAAACTGGCAGAAGTATTAAAAATTGTTTTAATGGTTTTGTTCTTTGAACACTGATGTTGATGCACGGTTCATTTTGTGCACCAGTAAAATATATACCTATGTTTTGAATTGTATTTTTCCAATTAAAAAGGGTTCGGTGAATGCGCATATGAAACTAGTGGGGGTCACTACCTCCAACAAGGTTAAGAACCACTGCTTTAGAAACTTTGTAGATGTGTTTGTGACATAAAGAAGGAAGCAACAAACCTTGGACGAGTCATTAAAGTCTTGCATCACGCCGTCCTCTTATCACAGTTAATGACATTGATGTAATCATTGGAGGGGTTTTACCTTTGCTAACGGACAGAAGGAGATTCGGATCCCTCGGGTGAAACTTGAGCTCATTGATGGCGTTCCCGTGACCGACGTAATGCTGGATTTCAACGCAGAAAAAGGGGGAAATTAAGAGACACAATTCAGGTAAATACCGGACCGCTTTTCTCTAATCAACAACCGCAGCGTGAGGCGAGCGATACCTTGATGCATTGCATCGTGATGTGGTTGATCACCCGGATGATGCCGCGGGACCCGGCGACGGCCAGCAGCGGATGGCTGGTGTTGGTGTCGTAGGTCCACGCACACGTGTAGAAGTTCTCCTCCGTCTTTAGACGAACTCGCTCAGAAAAAAACCCGCTCCGTGACGTTTAAAACTAAACTATAATCTCCCTCCCCGAGCAGAGATGCATCACAGCAAAGGTTTGATTTAAAGGGGTTTTCTAGAAACACTTACACACTGATCTGTTGTTGACAGTACAGCTGAATAATAGCGGTTTAAAACAAAAGCAACAAGTGACAAAGCGGAAATGAAAGGATACATCTGCATCGACATAAGACTGCAGGAGTCTTACTTCTCCCTGAGAGTGACATTCATACAGAGTTACCTGGCGGGGAAAAGACAGCAGAATGAAAATCAACACATTTAAACGGTGATGACAAAGCAACATCCACCAATGGAGGCAGCTATGAGTCTCACGTTTAGCCCTGATCTTCACTCACCCGGTTACTCCCGACTGTGGCGAACACCAGCGGGTCTCCCTCCTTGCTGTGCCAGTTGAACTGGACCCCAAAGAGCGGCTGCCCGTGGTCCTCCTGTGGAAATCATGACGTTATTGTTAACACTGTACGCATACAGGTTTCAGTACGACAAATGAGCACGCGCGGTTCTTTGTTGGCGTCTGCACTCACCCTCAGGCTGTTGACACATTTAAAGGAGTACTTGCACTTCTTGGACTTCCACTTGCCCTTGCCCCAGCTCTTCCTGCCCGGGGCGTTGGCGGTGTTGGTGGGTGTGTCCGGGCGCTCCGCGTTGTTCCCACTCTCCACACTGACAGCATCATCCTGTGGGTGCAAACACACGCGTGATGTGCAGGACAGTTGCACGTTTCTCCTGCAGGGATGTCCGTCTGTGATGGTGACCTTGTGCAACCGGCATTTATGCTTCACCGGATGCATGATAGCATGGTTTACTTTGACCAGGAGTGAAGCGGATTTCACACTCCTGTAGTCACATTACCAACGTGCGACAAAGCTACACGGGGAATGTTATCTTGTAAATAAAGGAATGACGTTATATTTATGTGCACTACACCTCAATATGCATCACACCATTTAATGCAGCAACATAAACATGTTTTGTAGCCTACACCGGCTGACAGGAGATCAGTCGTATTTGCAGAAGTGCAACACGTGATACTGCTTGCGAGCCACTCATCAACTCGAGTTACTTTTCTTCACCTCCCGAACCGGAATTCAGCAGCGATCTCATGTCATCACTCCTGATTAACTGATAGTAGATGCTAGTGCTAAGGCTAATGGCTGATTGTACGTGAATGACAGTAGTCCGAGCATAGAAACAACGCGTTTAAGGACACAACACGAAGCTAACTAATGTCTATGGGCGTCCGGTCGGACTTAAGTGGCTAATATGATCATAGCTTAAATGTATCCAGCCGGCACAGATGAACAAAGATGCTAGCTAAACACTGTAGCCGGTTGGCTACCGTAGCACGATGCTAACTCACTTGGGGCGATTTATGAGTCAGCGTTTGCCAAATATACAACACATTTTAAATGCTTACATTCTCGTCCCCTGATAAATCAGGGTTACTGTTCTCGTCACTGCTTAGTTTTTGTTTTTTCGCCGGTAGATCTTTTCCCGCTTGAGAGGGGGACTCGGACATGTTCTTATTTTCCCTCATTTTGGCTCAAACTCCACCTTTTCCGGTCTGTGGCCGCAAGGGCTGCTGGGTATGGTAGTTTGACAATCTTACACCAAACTAAAAGTAGAGCCAGTGTCCACAGTCGGGAACTACAACTGTGGTACCAGTTAGGTCATATACATCAAATGAATACTTCCAGTGGAATTGTTGAAAAATAACAGCCCGTTGTATTTAATTAGGTTTTTGACCACCAGATGGGACGTGTATACCCCAGATCATTAGCAATAGTCATACAACTGTCACTGCTTCCTATAAATATAAAAATAAACTAAACATATAACAGTGTTACGAGTAATACATTTGTATTGAGGTGAAACTCAATACAAATTGGATTTGGATTTTGAGTTTTAAGGCCCTCTAGTGGCCATTGTGAACAACTACAACAGTGGTACTATCACGCTGGTTAAATTCAATACAATTCATACTTTTGGTTGAACTATTAAAAATAGTGGATGATGAGATCTAAAATATGCATATATGCACTTTTACCACCAGAAGGAAGTGTATAGTCGTTAATATTGACGATTAGTGACAGCGATACAGAAGCGTCACGTATATAGTAACTTTAAATTTGTAGTTTTAGCGCCCTCTTGCGGCCACCATATGCAACGACAGAATTCTAAACAAGCTAAATATATTACATACAGTCAACACTTCCGGTGAACTTATTCAAAATAAAGGCGCATGTGCTGTAATTACTCACTCTGACCCCCAGAGAATACATGTTAAAAACGATAGTGATACAACTGTAACGGCAGTCTGTAAAGATGAAAGTAAATTATATAAACAACAAGAGGAGAAACGGGTTAATACAATTAGCATGTTCAAACTAATGATCCAACCCAAACTAAGTTTGTAAATGTATATTAAATATTGGTAGATTCAGAGCACGGCTTTCTATCGCCCTCTACCGTACGAATAAAAATAATTGTGTTATATAGTTAGATAAACTGCGTACAATCAAGACGTTCGGTTGAATTTTTAGAATAAAAGCGTTTAAGATGTAATTAAGCACTTGTACCACAGGAGGGCGATGTATGCTAACAATTATTGACGATAGGGATACAACTGTAGCTCCATTCTGTAAAACTGCAAATGAATGATACATACATCAGTGTGATCACACGTTAAGAAAATTCTAAAAACTACAGACCAACGAGTAATTGATTTGGTAACATTATCAACGGCGATCAAGAGAGATCGAAGTAATGTCATATAAAGCTTGAGCTTTAACGCCCTCTAGTGGCCACAATCAACCGCTACACGCGTATCATAAACCAGTTAAGACTCATTATTTATATATTACATACATCGAATATTTTCGGTTGAAGCATTCAAAACAAAAGCATGCAAGACATATTTACACACTATCAGAAAGTAGTGACTAAATATAATAAATCGGTCCCAGTACTCTGTAAATCCCAAAATAAATCACAGTCTACAATTAATAAGATTACCATTGCATTTCATTTGTTTTTGTGTAGATTTATTATGACAGGCTACCTCTGTGTAGGTCTCCATTCTTCCACTGGCTACGCTGCGTAACGTTGCAATCAATTGTGGGAAATTCTTTCGGGCTTCTTTTTACAGAAATGTTTTACAAAGACGAATGAGAGCCCTCAAGCACTACAGAATTAGACTTCTTATTATGAAATGCAGTCTTTTTTTAAATCGATAACTAGGATTATGAAATTAAAGTCTGAAATAAGTGTGTGCAGAGCATCCAAACTGTATACAGGCCAAAGAAGACATAATAACAAACATGTATTTATTAAAAAACAACATAACAGTTGAGTAGATAGATATTTTGCTTTGCTGTTAAAGTAATTCATTATTGTCCTCTTTTTGCAGTGATATCTGTCATGCTGGATTGGCTTCAGGGTTACAGCATCAAGTCTGCATCCTCCAGGGAGGCCACGCTCATCTCCTCTGACAGCTCATCTTCATCTCCATCATCTTCCTCCTTCTCCTCCTCCTCCTCCTCCTCTTCCTCAGCTGGTCTCTTTACGCCCCTCTGCTTCGACAGGGCCTCCGCGTAACGAATGTTATACATGTTAAAATCACACCTGCGGAGAGAAGAGGCTTCACTCACTTGTACGACAAGATCAAGTAACAGAGGACATTAAACGGAAGCGACGCGGGGAAACGGCGAGACTCACAGTTTGGACAGGCTGTCAAAGTGCCTCTGGATGCTCTTCTGTAGCGCCTGGAGCGTTGGCAGTATGGCTCCACACCTGCGCACGAGGTGAATACAATCAGTCACACTGACTCAGCAACACACAGACACACCGACGATATCGATCATCCAGATGTGGCGGACTGGGAGCCGACCTGTTCTTGAGCTTCTGTCCGTGCAGCATGAGCAGGCTCTGGGCCCACGTCATGTAGAACTGCAGGTGACCAGACTTCTCCAAACTGGCCGCCACGAAGCCCAGCAGCTTCTCAACGTAGATGTCGGGAAGAGAGCCGCAGACCACCGGCACTGGAACCCAGAACCACCCGCACCATTCAGACACGGCCGCACCCCCCCCGGGAGGGAGTGAGTCCTCCGCCCGAATACGCACAACTCACCCTGCTCGTGTGGAATCGCTTCCAGCACTTCCTGCTTGAGGGCCTTCTCGTTCAGCCTGAACGCCAGGACGATGGCCGACGCCCACTCCTGAAGCCGCAGCTGCTTGCGTATGCTGGCCGGCGTCACGTCCAGGTCGAGGTCGTAGGGGTCAAAGACCATGGATCCGTCCATGGAGTAGACCAGCAGGCCCTCGGTGGTGGTGGCCGCCCAGCTGCGACCTGAGAGCGGATGGAACCACTTTATAGAAGGAGCCTCGCGTTGCCGTCAACATCAGGGAGTTACAGAGCGGTGACAAAGTCATGTGACCTCTTTGGTGCCGCTGGTTTCCTGGTGGGTGCACTTTGAAAACATGAAACATAAACATCGGCCTCTTTTTCCTACCAGTAGGGGAGAAGCGCAGCGAGCTCACTCGGATCTCCGGCTTGAAGTGTCGGGAACTCATATCACCTGCAGAGAGAGAACAAGTTTGGATGAGCGGAGAAGAAAAAAAGAAAAAAGAGGAGGACAGAGCCGAGCAAAAAGACACGAGGGACGGCCTCCTACCTCTCCGGACTCCGGGGAGGCTGATGTTCACCCCGTCGCCGTCTCCTGCTCCCTCGTCCACCAGAGCCAGGCTGCCGAACTCCGTCATCTTCCGCCGGTCCAGGAACTCCTGGAGGGCCACGAAACCGGTTCACGGACCCCGTTTGCAGGGAACAGGTACGAAACCGGCAAAGCAACAACGTTCAGCCACCGTACCTCCATGGCATCGAAGGACAGGTTGCAGGAGATCTCGAACTTCTTCATGAGCATCTGTTCCTTGACGTTGTAGATGCACACGAACCTGGACTGGCCTCCCGCCAGAAGCGAGTCGCCGTCTGCCGAGTAGCACAGCGACGTGAAGGACCTGGACGCGGAGCAGACGGGGGACGCTTGGGTTTGGCTCGCTGAACACACACGGGACCAAAAACAAACGCAAACGCGTCGTCACCCACTTGCACTTTGCCAGCTGCTTGGCCGAGATCTTGTCGGTGTCTTTGCGGCCCGTCTCCAGGTCGTGGCGTCCCACCACCGAGCCCGTCTGCGTGGCGGCGTCCGGGTTCCAGAACGAGATCTCCCCGTTCAGAGTGGCCACGGCCAGCTCCTGACCGTCAGGCCGGTAGGTCACCGACAGACCTGAGGGAAGGGGGGGGGGGTTGTTACTCCACACGCCTCGCCGCAGACAGAGCGGCGTGGAATCTGAGAGCGCGCTTACCGTCAGACGTGAGCAGCAGCGTTTCTTTGACCTGCCAGCTGTCCCACATGTCCCACAGCCGCACGGTGCGGTCCCACGAGGCGCTGGCCAGGATGGAGCGAAGGGGGCTGAAATCCAGGCAGCTGACGGGACCTTCGTGCCCCCCGAGGACCTGTTGAGAGAGGGGGGGGGGGGGGGGCGGCGTGTAAGCCTCTTCAAAACACCGGCCGGGTTGGCATCGGTGTTCGCGTCGTGCGCTCACCTCCAGCAGCCTGCCGGTCTGCATGGACCACAGGAAGATCTCGAAGGAGTCCTGGGCCCCCGCGCTCACCAGCTCCCCGGCCACGTCCACGGCGAGGGAGGAGAACTGCGCCGGCCGAGGCGAGGCGAACGTCCGGAAGTTTCGGTACCTGGAAGACGCAGACGAACACGCGTTGATTTTCATTTTCTTTTGTTTTGTTTTTGGACGCAGGGGACGTGACGGGCGTCTCCCGAGAGTCACCTGTGCAGGTCGTAGGCCCGGACCGTCCCGTCCAACGAGGCGCTGACGATGACGAAGCCGCTGGAGGTGAAGGTGACGTTGGTGACGCTGCTGGTGTGCTCCGTGAAGGTCACGAAGCACAGGCCGCTGTTGGCGTTCCACACTTTGACCTGCGGGGACGAAAGCAGCCTCTTTACCCTCAGACCGCCGCGTCGTTACCGCGTCGTTGCTGTCGTGAGAGGGGGGCGGAGCCACTGACTTTGCCGTCGTCGCCTCCCGTGGCGATGTACTGTCCGTCTGGGGAGTAGGCCAGCGAGGCCATGTTGTTGAAGTGTCCCTGCTGCTTGAAGACGTACGACTCGCTCTGCCACTCCCACACCAGCAGCTGACCCAAGCCTGAGCGCACGACCACACGCGTCACATTTAACCAGCCTGCTCATCGGGACATCGACACAACGCGAGGGTTCTTACCGGAGCACCCGAAGCCGATCCAGTCCCCGGAGCCGTTTATGGCCACGGACGAGATTCTCTGTTGGGAAATACTGGGGAGAAGAAGCGGCACGTTTAGTCGCCGCCGTCCTCGAAGACCCGAGCCCATTGGTCTGCTGCGTTCCCTCCGCTCACCTCAGCGAGTGAATCAGGTTGAACTCCGGGAGCTCGTGCAGGTGGAAGGTTCCCGAGGCGAAGCCGGTGACCAGGATGCGAGTCGGCTTGTGGAAGGCGGCCGCCGTCAGGTTGTTAAAGTCGCCCTCCTTGTTGAAGAAGTGTCTGAAGGAGCAGAAGAAAGTGGACGTTTCATTTAACAGTTTGGATCGCCGGCCTTTTGGGTGATTTTTTGAGGAGTCACTTACTTGCTAATCTGTTGGTATCGGACGTTTTTCCTCCCGTCCTTCTCTTTGGGAGCTTCGGCTTTCCCCCTGATGACCTCTCCCTCCGCTTTGTCCCCCTCCTCCTCCTCCTCGTCTTCCTCCCCCTGACTCGGGGGCTTGCGTTTGTCCCGGTCCTTCTTCAGGACGAGGTCCTGCAGCTCGGCGTCGCTCTCCCACACGCACAGCGTCCCGTCCTGGCTCACCGTGTACAGCTGGAAACAAGCGACCGACACGCTCACGCTCGCCCTCGACCTTTTATCCAGAAAACCACATTTGCCCTCTGGAACTCACGTCCAGGCTGTCCTTCTCGAAGAAGCAGCCCACGATGAGGTCCTTGTGTCCCCCGAGGGAGTAGTAGATGAGGTTGGCCCAGCGCTCGGCACCAAACACCCAGGTGGACATGTCTTTGCTGCCCACCACAAAGCACCTGCGGGGGCAAAGGTCAGAAATGGGTGACGCGGTTGGTTTCGCTCGGGCCCTCGCGGGGCGCTTTCGGGCGTCTGATCGACTCTTGCTCACTTGGAGTCGTCCGTCCAGTCGATGCAGGTGGTCTCGTCGTAGGGGCCGTAGTAGCTCTTGTCCAGCGCGAAGGCGTTGAACTCGCGCTGCTTTCCGGGAGCGTGGTACATCAGGGCGACGTTCTCCTTCGTCACGACAAACTTCCTGAGAACACAAAAGACCCGTTTTACAGCCGGCGATTCGATTTTTGAACCGCGCCGAAAAACGGGGGGGGGCGACGCCGTCAAGACGTCCTCACCTGCCGTCGGGTGAGAAGCGGATGCTGCTCACGGGCTTGTGGAAGTGGAAGTGATGGAGAACGGCTCGGGTGACGAGACTGACCAACAGCGCCGCGCCATCTGTGTGACGCAAAGGGCGGGATTTGGGGGGGTTTTAAACTCGATGCTTCGGGGCTCAAGTTCAGACATAAGAGACGGGAGGTTTCATCTTGCCTTCATCCACCAGGACTGCTAAAGCGCCGTCAGGAGAGAGACCCACGCTTGTTATGTTTTTGGTGGTGGAGACGGGTAACGTCTCCGATGTGTTGCTGGAGGACACGGACAAAAACACATTAAAAAAAAAAAAATCAGACTTTATTTAGATTTTTCTCTCTTGCAACTAGAATTGCAAACAGGTCGTTTGCACAACAAACAGAAGATGAAATACTACGTTGTCGTGTTGGTTTAACCACGACTTACTTTTTCAGGTCGAACACAGAGACTCGGTTTCCAACCGGACTGATCACCGCGTTTCCGTCCTTCGAGAAGCTCAGGTTCCCCTGACGATACACCGCCCCGAGCAGGTTGGAAAACTACAGTGAAGACACGTGATTAATAAAAAGAACTTCACTTTATTTAAATGCTCCTTCGCCCGTCATCTAATAAAAAGTTATTATATTGGTTGAATGTAAAAAGGATTAAATCCTGTATGAATGAATGAATGTATGAATGCGAAACGAAACAATATAACATGCAAAATAATTATTACTTTGATCGGTAGGAACGGACATACTGCTATAACATTTTGTGAACGAGGTTAGCTGTGACTCCAACGATGCGCTACAGATGTAACGTTAACTTGCTGGCCAGCAGTGACGTAACGTTACTTACCTTATACGCGAACTTCATTTTACTCAATGAGCCTTAAACCCAACGCGTATATCCTGTTTAACTACTTATGTTTCTCCTCAGAAGTATAAGTATGCGGTTAATGTCACACATGCTGCTTCTTCTTCCTCCCCCGCCGGCTCAGCTCACACGTGTTAGCATGTTGTTGACACTCCACACATCCGGTTTGAGTTAAACGTGACGTCAGCGCCCCCTCGCGGCCCGGCGGGCAAACGACTGCGAATAAAATACAGCGCGTGTACCACCGGTTATTTATTGTGTAAAACATGCAATATTTACTCGTTCACAAATTCACATTAATAAATATGTATTGCATACCGAGTATTACAGCACATTTACCGTTTGGTGGTGTCATTGATTATATTGTGAGACTAGAACTAATATATCTTTCACCAAATTCAGTTACACTGCAAATATTGCAGAAAAAAATACTGCAAATTTCAAATATTAAAACAAAGGCATTCTTTTCAAAGCGGCTTTGGTAAAAAAAAAATTCCCAAATTCATTTAAGTTAAGTTATTTAATTAAATGACAACACCTAGCTAGTGTTATAAATCAAATTCTCAAGTTTTTATCAAGGTGAACGAAGGTGGAAAGAGCCATTCGTCCTGTACACACGCATACTGGACACAGTGCAAGCAAGCAGCCGTGCTCAAAATAAATGACACGCCTGGAGCATAACAAAAGCAGGCTGACGCTGTCCTTCACCCAATAGCCCCGCTGAATAATTCAGCATCTGGGAGGTGCAGTACGCACACAGCACATGTGTACGAATGCTTCCATGCCAAAGATACACTGAAAAACAATACTGCACATCTTGTACCGCAAAGTCAGAGATGATACCAAGAGTCTAGTCTTTGAGTGAGTTTTATTTGAAAGACAAACAAACATCTCAAAAAGCAGCTTGGTAAACAGTCGCACTTCTATTGCACCAGCGGAACGTGAACACAGCGCTTTTCGTCATCACCTCAGCGTTTTGTGCCAGAGGTCGAAACAGGGCACGACGTGGAGCCGGACGTATTTCTGGCCCCCGGGGGTGCACTCCAGACAGCCGTAGACGGTCTCCCGCCGCTGGTTGCCCATGCCGCAGAGAGCGCAGGGCCCCTTGGGGATGTTGTGTTTGAGCAGGTTGACCCGCGTGTGGGAGCTGTCCCTCAGGTAGGCGGTGGACACGTCCGTCATGCTGGCGGCCTTCTCGTAGTAGTCGGTGACCATGTCGTCCATGTACGTGTCGGAGTGGGTGAGCTCCTCGAATGTTTGGTTTTCTGCTCAGTGGCGAGGACCAGGGGAAAAGGCAGACATGTGGTGGGAGTACCGGGGCTTTTAGAATGCAGTGGAGGTCACTACTGTACCTGCTCTGAAGGGGTTTCCATAGATGATTCCAGACAGGAACCGGCGCAGTCGGCCCATGGAGAAGTGGCCGATGTAACCACCCAGCTGCTCCCGGATCTGCTCCCGCTCGAATCCACCTTGAGACCCTGGAGCCACGCAGATATCTGACACAGAGGGAGATTTTGCATTGTGCTCAGCAACTTGTTTCCCCCATGTTTCCTCAAACTTAACAATTCAGTATCTGCAACATCAAGCCGCCTGCACGTTGTAATTTGAGGTGGCAGGATCATAAGACATAATGAAAGCATAACTCTCCATGGCTAAAGGTGGAGAAATGATCATAGTGAGCTAGAAATGTAGCCTGAAGGTGTAAACCACAAGTGATGCAGCCACAGCTCTTCATCTGGGACACAATTTCAACCACGGAGAGACTGAAGCCTTTCATTTCTCCTCTAAGTGCCGATTAAAAGTCAGAGTGAGCGAAGCCCGGTCGTCTCCTCGTCCCTGCGCTGTAACATTCGTTTAGTACGCCGCGGCATCCGTGAGATGCAGCATCCGTCGTGTGGATCAGCTGAGGGACGGATTCCGCCTTCCTACCGAGGCGCCCGTCCAGTCGAACAAACAGCTGGCAGACGCTGAAGGCGATGGTGGTGTGCGCCGGGATGACGATGGCCTTGTCTCGGCCTCTGGGATTCCTGCCGTCGTCGATCTGAAACTGCAGCACAAGAAAGAGCCGAGTGACGCCAAACTTTAACTGACCCGTATAAGCGGTTAGTGTAAAAGCTGGGGGGTTATTTTGTGAAATATTAAACCGTCTCATGACATCAAAGCCATCTGTCTCATGAGATCAAGAGTTTGACCTTTGGTACCTGGTTTTTCAAAGCATTACGTTTGGTGCATTTTGGGATAAATGTGCGTTTACCCTCATGGTGGTCCCCCTCATGCCGGCGTGGACGCTCAGCGAGCACTGGCGGGTGGTCCGGATGCTCTCCACCACCACACAGAGGACGGTCCGGCCGCTCCCCTTGGACTGACGGACCAGGCAGTGATCCAGGTCCACCTTCCTAAAAGACGGGAATAAAAAAGGGGAATCCGTCATTTCACCTCTGCCACGAGGAGGTCAAAGGTCGGGGATCCAAACAGCTGTCACCTGGAGTTGAGCTCCCGCAGGAGGGTCGGCACCTCCAGCTCGTGTTTGGTGACGATGCCGAAGGAGGCTTTGACGGCCACCGAGTCCGAGCCGCTGATGTTGAACCCCACGTCGTTGATGAGGTGGTTTCCCAAGCGGCCGCTGAGGGCCACGTCGGATTTGTCCTCGTAGTTCAGCAGCTGATAAGAAGACACTCCTGTTGTAGAAAAAGTTGCAAGAAAAAGCGCTTCAGTCAAATCTGCTCACACATCAGTAACTATTTAAAGTAAGTCTCCTGTACCTGCTGTGATCTCTTTCCGCCCAACCAGGACGTCCTTCAGCGAGAAGGCGGTGGAGGCGTACTTGTTCTTCTTCCAGAAGTGCCTCTTCCTCTTCCTGGTCACCAGGCTCAGCGGCTGGTAGCGGTCGGCCTCGCTCAGGCTGGGGACGGGGATCAGCCTCCCGGTGTCCCCGACCTGCTTCACAAAGTTCTTGGTGGCCGCGGCGAACATGTCGAGCCGTAGTAGTTCCTCTAAGTCGCTGCCGGGTCCATGTCCGGTGAGCTCGGAGCCCGATCTTCTCTGCAGGGATTCAATAATGCAGGTGGCGTGTAAGAGGAGACGGGACGAGGTGTGTGTTGACAGGTCACCGTAGGCCTGCAGCTTCCTGTCACATGACCAAAGGAGGTGGGGGAGACTTACCTCAAACTGCTGACCTGCTAAAAGCTCTTTCTTCTCTTCAGAGATTAAATGAATTAAGCAAAGACATATAATTAAACAGAGAGATTAGGCCCGGATTTCCCAGGTATTTTCTATAATTAAATAGAAAGTTTATCCAAATGTTTGCCCCCGTCTCTCTGAGCTTCCATACATTTCATTGCATTTCCCTTTAGTTCAGTTTACATAATGTCCTGGTGGTCTGTCTATGCAGAGTGTGTGTGTGTGTGTGTGTGTGTCCTGCACACATGGCCGCGGGCCGATGGGCTGTGCTGTGGTTAAACAGCGTAGTCTGTACCTCCAGAAATAGCTCGTATGTCCTTAGGTTGTAAATGCCACATGTAAGAAGCTACGGTCAGTGTCAGTTTTCGAAGCATCACACTCCCTGTAATTCTTCAGCGCTTGTAGTTCCTCAGAAGCTATAAAAGACATCATCACACTGCAATTTACTCCAGGCACGCAGCCAGGACTTTTAGGATTGAATATTGAATGTCTTCAGTTTGCCAAAGTGTATTAAGTGAATCAGTGAGTACATGCAGCATTCACCTGGAATCATCTGCAGGAACTATCTACGGTCTGGTCCTCAGGAAAAGGTGAGGAAGCTGAGGTCCCATCTGAGGCAGGAACTGTCTTCCCATCTGCTTCACTTTCTGTCCCGTGTGGCTCTCCGACTCCTTAATGGGAAATCGGTCTGCTCGCAGCTTTGACGCTTCCGGAAACCACGATGTCGCAGCAAAGGAAACGAGGGAGATCCTCCTCATCCACCGAGGACTTCAGGAAGGCTTGGATGACTCTAAATCTCTTGTTAAGAACACGGTTTTCAGTGTCCGTCTCACCACTGGAGACGACTGCAAAGATGTTTTGTTCTCCTGGACACCGACCTGGCAGAGCTCTGCACTGGAAAACACATCAGATGTAACATGCACATTGTAAACCGCTCAAACCGGACCGCACGGATTTGGGTCGACAAGAATTTCAGGAAGATGGCAAAAGGAACGTTTGTTTTTGTCTTTGGTGAATTTGCCAAAAAAACGATTTCAGATACAAGTTAGGAAGCACAAATACCAACAATTAATTAGTTATGAAGATCTTTAGTTGAGCTTTAGTTGTGGGAAATAATTGGTAAACAAACATCGTCCTTATATTTGTATGCATTTTCCTCTGCAGTAGTTTTTTTGGCCACTAGAGGGCAGCGCAACAAGCTGCTAGCACATAGCCAACATGTTATCTACGTATAGATAACAAGCGATTACCATCGATGTTTTGAAAAATACATAATTCAAATATTGATGAGAGCAGCTTTAATTAAAGCAAACATAATCGTGAGAGGATGATGAAAACCGACATTGGGCAAATGAGACATTTCCATCTATTTACCTTTTCATCCATTAATTCAAATAGATTATTGATCAAAACCTGAATCAAAACATTAAAGTGCGTTGGTTAAAGCTCGTTTTTCAAACATCATCATCTTCTTTCCTCGTGGACAAATTGTATGCAGCCTTTAATTAGCTGCACCCTTTGAGGCGACTTGTAGGAGCCCGAGGAGGAGGTTGTCGCTGAAATGAAGCAGGAAGAGATGATGAGAGAGGAGGAGGAGAGTCCGAGGAGGAGGGAGGAAGCCAGGGAGGTAAAGAGGGAGCGCGTTTCAGTGTTCAGTAATCCCTCAACCACCAGCCTCTTCTACACAGGGATATTTTGGTTCTCAGTCCGGATGCTGTAGCTTGGCGTTGGACCATCTCCGTCTGTCCTTCCTCCTCGCCTGTGTTAGAGGACGCTGCATGTCTGGCGTGCAGACATGGGCCCCTCGCTGCGCTCTGGGATTACCGTCGGCCTGCTCTTCACCTTGGCTCAGGTGATCGCTGTGACCTGCCAAGAAGATGCCAAGAATGGTGAGTGACAGCTGCCTCCCGCCCCCGTTTTTTTTTTTTACCGTAGTCGCAGTTTAACTTGCCCTGGGCAAATTAAATGAACTTTATGTTCTTGAAATGATTCTGGAAAGTTACTTTTGGCCTTAATCACCTGTATGTTGAACATCTAATGTTTCCTCAACCTGCTGATCTGCTGTCATCCAATGATTCATGACGGTGCAACCGAGCCCTGGAAAACCTTACCTCTGAAACCTTGAATCAACGTGACAGTTGTGTTTGTCTTTCCCATTATGCTCTTCTCCTATGAGGAAGTGGTTTGGTAGTTTTCTCACCTCATGCATATTTTTGTGTTTTACTTTCTACGTTAAACTCAACTCTAACCCTCATGGCAACGGCGCTTTGGTCTGGGGACTAAAGGGTTGAACTCACAACCCAGGTCAGAAAGGCTCCATTAGACGTGATCAATAAGCTGCGACGCCTTGAGGAAGCCATTCGAGATGGAGCAGATGATAACAAGCTTCGGTCTCTTGCAAGAAAAGTCAAATTCATGCTCGAGACAAAATCTCCAAATCAAGATCTTGCAGAAGGAAATGCACCAAAAACTGATTCTAAAATAGAAATTCCTGGTGAATGTGATCCTGGGTCAAAAATACCCCCCTGCAGGCAGCAATGCTATTTCAGTGGCAGGCAGAAGGATGAGTGGCACAGCTATAATGATGTGGCCTCGCGGATGAGGTGGACAAAAGCAGGCCACTAATTTTGGTCAGACTTTGGGCGAAAGGCCAGAGGAGACACACCCAGAGAGAGAGGACGCTGGATGTGAGAGACGCCTTCTCGCTTCCATTCAAGTTCTCCTCCACTGGAGCCTGACGAGGAGAAAGAAAGACTTCCCTCAAGCCTTTACTCTCACAGGTCTCAGGCCCCGACCTGTGGAAAGGTTGGATTCTATCAATAAATAAAAGTGGAAAATGAGTCAAATGAAAGCAGCGCTGTTTTGGTCTCCTCGTGGTCGTAATGCTAAGCTAACCACCTGCCACCACCACCACCACCAGCCTAAGAGCCAACCAGCAGCACCACGACGATAACTAAAGCCTCTCCGCCATGGCAGTCCTCGAGCTCCAGGCTCATTTCAAGCTGGATTCAGACGTTGTTCTGCTTTGCGGTTGTTGTGAAGAAATCGTCTGAGATTTATGAGACTGGCTCGACCTCCAAAAGCGTCGACTGGTCATTGAACATTTCAGTGTGCTCTTCTTGGCTTCGTGGATGGGAAATGTTTTAGACCTTCATCGGGAGTAACATCAGCAGACTTTATTTGGATCGCTCTCCACACAATACTGGATTTAATGGGCCATTTATTGGGAAATGAAACCTTTGTGGCTTAGTTGTGAACCTTGCGGTCTTCGTGGTCATGTCCACGCACGAGTGTGACTGAATGTTAGTTACCTGGCTGCACAGCGTGAGGCACAATTAACATAAATAAGATGGAAATAGCGTTTTAATCATCTCCTGGACTGTTTTAGCGAGTCCTAATCGCCAGTTTGGGAACCACAGGCCTGAATATCGTTTAATAATAAACCTGAGCGGGGGAGGTTTTGGCGTCTGCCAACCCACGATGTCAGAGACAGTTTCCACATCAAAAGAAGCTCACAGTTAGTCACGATAATTGCTCTCGTGTTGCTCTCAACATTGCCTTCTGTGTGCAAAACGCTAGCATGAGGAAAACAATGCATTTTGAAAGCGAGCCTGTGAGCTGCTCCTCAGGGTGCCGCAGGCTTCATGGCGCGAGTCCTCCGGGTGTGGCAGCTCTGTGCTCTCCCGAATAAAGACCACAAGTTCTGCCCAAGCCAAACGTATAATACAGCCGCGGTGGTTTCCTCTGAAATAACTCCTGCTGTTGAGAAGCTGCCTCCCTCGCGGGGAGCGGCTGCACCACATAATCAGCACTTGGGACGTCACACAAGTGCCAGGTTTAAAATACTCGCTCGGCGCTCGTAGCAGGTGGCCAAATTGAGCTTTTTCTCCCCAATGCTTCTCGTTCTTTCTTTTTTAAGACTGAGGGACAAACTAACAATTAGTTTTATTCCAAATGATTCTCTCAATTAAAAGATCCAAAGTCTTATTTTGGTCCAATGTATTCGGTTTACCATCATGAGGGAGTAAAGTAATCAGATTTTAAAATCAAACAAATACTTGAAACCACAAAAGGAATCGTTTGATTATCAAATTAGTTGCAGCTCTACATGTGTTTAAACTTTATTGTCTGTGAGAAAAATCTGTGTTTGAAACATTATGTCGATAAAGTGTCAGTAGGACAACATGAGAAGAACAAGCTTCTTCCCTTTGTGATGAGATGGCATGTCGATTTAATGAAGCATGATGTGCAAACATGAACTACGGGTTTCATCTTGTTAGCGTTCACAGCCGGAGACATCTGCGGGTGCAACTAGGATCACGTACTATGATTACATAGTTGCACGCAGACACATTTAGAGACGCATTTGCAGCTCGGAGCTGTCGAGTCCAACCACAGTCTAGTCACTGGTGCTCATGAGTGCCTTGCTCAAGTGCAGCTCTGTGGCAACTTGCCTGAAACTGCCTGTCATCATTCTCACAGTGAAATATAGTTTTTTCTGTCAGCTTTTGCCCAACGGGAACTCAACCTGAAATACATCCTCTTAATCTGGTGCTTTTCTGCTCTGCTTCGTGTTACGAATGTGCAAATCAGAAGCGCCGTGTAATTGTGTGAGTGCCGTTTAAATTCAGGTGTTATTCAAATGCCCATCTAGAGAGGAGCATGGCAGACAGCGTGTGCTATAAAGGCATGTGTATTTATATATGGCATTGGTTCTATTTAGTATTGACATCGTAAATGAAATGATAATTATGAGGCTTCAGTTTATTGGCTTTCTGTGAATTTTGTCTTTTTCTCTGTATTAGTGTTGCATTGCTGATACTGATACTGACTAAAGGGGGGAAGCACAGTTAAAATAGCATCTTGGGGTATTTAAGTGTGTCCTTCCAGATGTATAAAGGTATGTTGTTAAATAAAAGAGTAATACATGATTTTGATGTACTACCACACAAACTTTCCCTAATGATGTAATCCGCACTGCTCAGTTGGTGCAACAACTCCTCACTTTTAAGCAATTACAGATCCACAAGAAGCTTGATTGGTTTCAACTTCAGGAGGAGGCGGTTTAGCTCCATCATAGCAGAAGTTTGGATTTGGACCATTTCTCTGCTAAAATAGGCCGCTATAACTGTGAAAGGTTTTTATTGATGAGCTGGGTGGTCTCATGCAATAAGTAGTGGACCGTCGTCGAGGAAAGTCCCACGTGTTTATTCGGCTGCAGAACCCCATGAGGATGTTCACCGTCGGTTCCAAACGTATGGTGGAGACGCGGCGTGTGAGGATGTGTGGGCGTCTGCGAGACCTCAGAGACCCCCGAGGGGCTCGGCTGCAGCAGAGCGGCCCGACACGGAAACTGGAAACTGCAGATGCATCCCTGTTGCTTCACGCAGGGTTTGACTCCAGCAGTGGGACGATCCTCCCGTCTGCGTGGGGACGGCCGGTGCCCTTTGTCCACCTGGCATGAAGGCCTCTTCTTCAGGCTCAATCCTGTGACTCATTTCTCTTATAATCCACTGTGTGTCCAGCGCTTCCCTTTAACTGTGTTGTCGAGGGACTTATGATCCCAGGAGACATGAGGATAGTGGAAATCTTCTCATGACTCTTGACCGAAATTGTCAAGTCCAAAACCAGCTCCAGATACTAATCCAATCCCGTGATTTGGGTTTCTTGAAGACACCTGCACAGAAAATGGAGAAGTCTACGCTAACAACGCCATGTGGAACCCAGAGCCGTGTCGGATCTGTGTGTGCGACATGGGGACCGCCGTGTGCGAGGACGTGGTCTGCGAGGACCTCGGGAGCTGTCAGAGAACCGGGACCCCGGAGGGGGAGTGCTGCCCCGTGTGCTTGTCCGAAGCTCCGGCACCGTCTCCCGGCGGCGACCCCGCCCCAGGTAAGGTTACCCGCGACCCCCCTGGGTGCTGCAGGCCGCTCAGCGTGTGCTCGTCTAGATCATCCGTCCTCCTGTCCCAGCTGCAGATGAGAAGAAAGCGGAGAGCTGCGCGGTGGACGGGGAGGTCTACCGGCACGACGCCACGTGGAACCCTCAGCCGTGCCTCCGGTGCGTCTGTGACGACGGAGTGGCCGTCTGCGACCAGGTGCAGTGCGAGCTGCTGACCAACTGCGCCAAGGTGGTCACACCGGAGGGGGGGTGCTGCCCCGTGTGCGAGGGCTTGGCCAGCGACGGCTTGGCCAGCGCCAGCAGGGCGACAGGTGAGTGCATGTGACCTGTTCAGGCCGCAGAAAAAACATGGTGGTGTCATTAGAACCATACAAATACAACACAAACATGATCTAAATGACATGAATAATTAAAGCCTAAGTAAAGTATTTCTCTTTGGAGAAAACGTTGATAATATAACATTTAAAAAAATTAAAATAAAAAAAGTAATTTTCTTTTTTCTTCGTTTTTCCCCAAGAAATGAGGGGCTTCAAGGTAAGTCCTGATTAATTCTGACATTCATCAATAATCAAAACAAATACCAAATGTATTGTTGTTCTT